GGATCTAGCTTTTTGCTAAGGGGGGGTTGACCAATAATGACGATGCGGAGCATCGTCCACGAGCCGCGAAGCGGCGAGCCGATTTTTTGGGGGGGTGTTTATTTGAACCCCGTAAGTGATGTTTTCCTGGCATCTATTAACACAATGGAGACCATAAAAAGCAGTGCATGATAACGTCTTTTTAAATCAAGTAACAGTTAAATACACAGTTATATCCAGAGTTATCATGTGTTTGGTTAAGTTACCAGATGAGTTGAATATCTTCTCACAATATTTGCACTTGAAAGGTATTCTCTCCAGCGTGCGTTCTTTTTTCTTTCTTTTTTTCTTTTTTTTTCTTCTTTTTTTCCCTTTTTTTTTTGTTCGTTTTTTGGGCCGCCCAAGGGGGGGGTTTAAACCCCCTAACCCCTCCCGTAGATCCGCGCCTGTTTAATCTTGTGGTTATCTTGTGGTTTCCAAACCACAAGATAACCACAAAATACTTGTAAGATTTTCTTTTTTTTTACCGTCTGAATTGGCTTTCACCGTGTGAATGCGGCTAATAACAATAAAAACAATTACAATAATGATGAGGATTATTATTATCATCATCATAATTATTATTATTATTAATATTATAATTGTTATTATTATTATTATTACTATTATTATCATCATTATGACTTATTAAGTAAGCAAATATCATTCCCCAAAACCTGGGGGGGGGGGATGATTGTACATGCCATCCCCCCCCCCCACCTTGTGAGGTGGGGGGATGCATCCCCCTCATCCCCCCCCCCCCCCGTTGTCTACGCCCCTGATATTCGTTATATTGTCATGTCAAGCCTGTGGCTCATTTTTCTAAGACTTTTGATTTATGCGAATCAATTACTTCAAATAATCGATATTGCTCCTGCTATACCAACTAGTCGAAAGAACGCTAATGTAGCTCGATCCCTCTGTCAAATTTCAACACGTTGATTTTTAAAGATTTTAATATAAACTCGAATATTTCTCAGCAGAAAATAATATTTCAGGTTATAAAATCAAGGATAACTTGTGATTGTTTTGTCAAAGATTGACGTGATTGTCGAAATTACTAGTGAAGGATTTTTCATAGCAAAATTGACTTTACGGAAAAAGGAATGAGCGAACTTTTTGTAAGAACAAGGAGTAGACAACTTATCAGGAAAACACAGAAAATTTCAATTCATGTTATTACACGAATCATTCTGCCAAAAAGAGCCAGAGACCTACTAAAACACTTGTTTTTATTATTGTGTAAGGTCAAACAGCTATGACCTTTTAATACAGAACACTTCGATTTAGCTATAATTAAGATAGATAGTGTGTGAATACATGTATTATCATAATTTGTTATTAAATATACTATTTTAAATCAAGAGTAGAAGGTCATTTACCCTGACCAGTGTAAAGATACAGGAAAATTATTTAGAATTTTATAGAGGAGGAAAAGAACTTAGCAATCAAGGTAGGCAGGTTTCTGTTGCATTTACAAAAATGGGAAGAATTAGACGGAAATATGAATGTAAGCAGGTAACCTTGATGTGTGTTTGGCATTTGCGTGTGGGTATGTGTGTTTGTGTGGGGGTGTATGTGTGATGCAGGGGCAGGGGCGGATCCAGGGGGCCTGATCCCCTCCCCTGGCCAATTTAAAATCTGTTAAAAAAAATTTGCTCACTATTCCCCCCCCCCCCCCCCCGCGTATTCGGCCGTCGGCTAAATATTTTCTCACACATTGGGGTTCCTCTTGGCCCCTCCCTCGCAGCCGGCTGGATCCGCCCCTGGTGGGGTGTGGGGATGTGTGAGGGTGTTCTTGCGTGCGAGTGTATGTAATATGTATGTCAGTGTGCGTGTGTATGTGAGGATGATTGAGTTGCAAATGGTAGTAGGTTTGGGGGTTGTTTGGGGATTGGGTATAGTAAGAGAGGGAGTTCATTTTGTTTTGTTTTATATGATCACTGATTTCATTCACCCCCCCCCCCTTTTTTCGTTCGTAATTTATGAGTTGTACAGAAAAATTGTCCATACCCAACAAAAAACCTATGAAAATCAAAGCATTTAGCAGCAATGTATTAATATCACGAAATACATTAAGTATCCTCTTCCCCATTAACTGATCGATAATAATAAAGCATGATCATTTATAAATTGTGTTTCATATTTTGATTTCAGAGTTGCGATCCCCCAACTAAGATGGCTAACAGCACTGGTTTGACCGATGAAGCATCGGGTGGTAGTCCTCAGGGAACAAGTCTTGGTACATTTGAAATCTTTCGTGCTGTACTTTTTGCCGTTGTCCCGCTGATTAACATAATTATCAATCTCTTCATCGCCATCGTTTTGTTCAAAGACGATAACCTGGACTTCAACGACGTTGATACCTTTCTATACAAGAGCGTCATTTCACTCGACATCATGTTCTCGATTGTCTACCCGGTCTTTGCCTCCTTCTTCAACTTCGATGTCCTCGAATCTGATGATGTCCAGAAAATGGCGCAGGTTTGCTTGACATCTTGTTTCTGGTTCTCCTTTTTCCTCCTCGTCACGGCATGGATGTTATGCGCCATCGCAATCAACAAGTACATTTACATCACTTTTCCACTCAAATACCACATCTATGTGACGATTGGGAGAGTGAAGCTTTTCACCATTGTCGCGTTTCTCTACTCAGGGTTCAGCGCTATGATAGTCCTACCGTTTCCCGCCTTTCCCTTCATCGACATACGCGAATGCTCACCAGTGGCTTTTAGGCAAACAATGCCAAAGAGTCTCCCGTATCTTGTTACATTGATGATATCCATGGCACTACCATTATGCCTAATAATAGTTTTCAATTTCGCCTTGATACAAAAAGCGAAGGTGCAATCGAAACGCTTACGTCGTGTGGTAGTTCAACCGCTTGCCGATAATCACGGAATAGTGGGGAGGGACATCGACAACGGCGTCCAAGGCGGGATGCGATCGCGGGGATTAAAGAATGTTATTCGCCTGGTGTCGGTAGCATTGTTTACTCTTAACACGTATGCCGTTTCATTGATATCTCTCTGCTTTATTACAGGCGAATTGAATTTGGACCGAGCGCTGTACATCATGAATGATGTATCGCAATATATTTGGAACAGTAAAATGGTAGTCGTGATGCTGAGCGATGTTAATATGAGAAAGGCCATGAAAAAGCGATTGACAAAGATCGCTAGCAAGATTAAATTCAGCGAAGGAGGACGATTATAAATAGAACGTTTCAGTACCTAAACAGCGTTTCAATGTAGAATCTGCCCCCTTTTTCTCTCTCATTCAGCATTTTTTTTTTAATTAGGATACTCTCCTGTATTTTTACCAGCTTAACATTTTCATTTGAAGTAGAAACACGCCAGGAACCAAGAGGTTCAGCAGGTTTCCACAGGATATCTGTAAAGTTAGTTTCTACCCTGAATTCAATTCAGCTCTCTGGCCATTTCAGTCTCTCCTTTCCCCTCACTCTATCTGTCTCATGCCTATCCGTTTCTCTTGTATTATACTTGTCCTTGTTATCTTTCATTATACTCCATCTCTCTCTCTCTCTCTCTCTCTCTCTATCTGTCTCATACCTATCTCTTTCTCTTTTATTATATTTGTTCTTTAAACGTTTCATTATACTCCATCTCTTTCTCTCTCTATCTGTCTCATGCCTATCTCTTTCTCTTGTATTATATTTGTCCTTTAAACGTTTCATTATATTCCATCTCTCTCTCTCTCTTTCTGTCTGTCTCCAGCTCTTTTTTTTTTTTTTTATTCTATTCATCCTTTTTATTTTTCATTATACTCTGTCTCTCTCTCTCTCTCTCTCTCTCTTTTTTTCTTTTATTCTATTAATCCTTTCTATTTCAATCCTTTTTAAGTAAATTTGTAATACTTTTTCACTGTCATTGTAACCCTCGTCATTCTATTTGATATCATACCGAGATTCAGACCACATTTTGCTAGTCATTGAGTTACATGTATATACAACTTGATGGTTTATTACTTTGGACATAATTATACAGTATACATTTTACATGTAGTTTATTTGAACTGAAATATAAATCATTAGAAGCTTGAAAATGACAGCAAAGCTGATAAGAAGATGAAATAGACAAAATGGTATAGACACTGGTATGTCCAACTGGCATTGAATAACAGGGCAATTATTTCTTCGTCCTGATCCTAAGACCTTTAAAACAAAATTCACTAAATGAGAAAAGTTAAACAAATTCATGGCTATGTAGTACATGTACATGTATAATAATAATAATGATTACATTTATAGGGCGCTTTATACTGACGTTTCTAAGCGCACAGGTGGTACTGTCTAACTTATAATTATTACTGCGGGATAAGAATTTCCTCCAAGTTTCATTCAATAAAAGAAATAAATGGAGCCAAGTCATACTACACTGCCCCAGCTAAAGTGAAACTTGACTATGTGTTATCATTTTAATCTTTGAAAAGACTGTGCCTATGGTTTCAGACCTACATGTATATATCAACATCTTTAAATTCTGATGCTGTCCTATTCCAAATCAGACCTTAACAAGGCTTTTGAAAAACAACACAGATTTTCAAAATTCAGTCTTATTAAAACCATCCATACACAAAAAAATTGTGAAAATTGGGTGTCAGACATACATATCCGACTGTCACTTACCAAAATTAACTACACGTACATGTATACATGTATCACATTTCTAACAAAATTTGTAATACTCAACATTTCAAAGTTTTCAACTTAACTTTAATGTTCTGTTCTTTAATAAACCAGTTCACGGTTGCAGTCTGAGCATGAGCAGATAAAGGTCATTGCAGAACAAATTGTGAAATACACGGAGACGGAATACTGGAAACGTGCTCATGAAAGTTATGTACTGGTAATCATTATTCATTTATGCAAAAGCAGAGCACTCCATGATACACAGGTGGAAGTATTCTTTGAAAAGGGGAAACAAAAGCTAAGTATGTAGCATCTCCATCGCTGTAGGAGTGATTATTTCAAAATATACAAAGTGGGACCTCTTCATGTTTTGAAGATCGGTGAATATTCGGGGTCATTGCAGCCATGTGCTAACCGTGAACTGGTCTATTGTGACGGCACTGAATGAGGATAGCTTAAGGAGAGCCTGTAGGCATACTAAATGTATATGCAAACAATAGAGAGAGACCATGCAAGAACGCTTTTACTGACAGATTGATTGATTGATTTGTATAGCATTATTAGGGCATAATACGCTGTGGAAGTTTTTAATGAACGTGCAAGTGCTATCAGGGCTACAAGATCATTATGAACTTTGTATTGTAGATACTGAGTTCCTGCTAAGAATACAGATTCTTTGCATTTTCAAAAATCATTTTGTCAATTTCATGTATCATTTGTACATATACATGTATATGCCAGTATAGGTCACTGTTCAATAGTTCATCAAAAGTAGAGACAAACTGTTATATTAATTTAAAGATAATCATCAAGCATCCTGGTGGCAGAGGCCAACAAGAAGTAAATATAGTTGTATTTTCACCTTTGAGATCCCTTACAGCGTAAAGGGCAGAGCAGTTTGTCCAAAGCAGAGTTTAGTCAAGATTCAGGGAAAAAAGTTAATCTGATACCAAAGAGTTCTTATTGTCAAAATCATCATTTCAACAGACAAAACAAATTGTAATCAAAGAAAATTGTTATCCAATGCCGCTAGAAGACATTAACGGAAACAATCATATCATGAATAACTGATGCAATTTCAATCTTTTCCGGCTGATTCTTTCCTTGGCTGTACTCTAAACGGAATATTATTTACAAAATACTTTCACCGAGGTATCCATTAATGTACATCTCAGTACTAGAGGTCCAACTTCTCCTTCAAAACCTGGACACCTTTTGATGTGAGCTTGTCCACATTCTTACGGGATTCTTGTAACACTGTACATATCCTTTTCCTGGCAGCGTCATTTCCACATTCTACAAGGCTGGGATGGGTGAAGGAAGAAAGAAACAATTACAAAATATGAGAATGCATTTGATAGAGCATCTCTCATTGGCGAGCTTTTGTTTAGAATGATGGAACATTCGCAACAGTGAAAACAACATTGGAGTTATCTTTGTATCGGCAAATCTTGATGTCCCATCGGTCCTCCACTTTCTACAACAGTACTCAGGGTGAATCGATGATGTGTTGACATGACAATGTAAAGGTAACGTTGCTCGCTATATTGTGTCTTATATAGCACACAACAATGTAAATAAAGCAACATTTCTGGTGGCATGCCTGAAAAATGATGGAAACAGTGCACTACCTGCTGACAAAACCTTTAAGTTAAACTAAAGATTTGGTTACATATCATATAGAAGCATATTAATGACACAGAAAATAACCATGCGTTCTGGTTCTATGCCCCACTTTTCTTTATATATGCTTCTGATGTACTGTAAATAAATAGATGTGAATGCTTCTCAATAAGAAACAAAACTGCATAACATGAAATAAGGAAAAAAAGACAATAGTGATGCATACCTGACCAAGACAAAGGCACCTCTGTTTATCCTGAGCCAAGATCGGATGTTCTCATCAGACAGCTCTTCAAGGAGGCAATCGGATAATGAGCTTGATACATCTACAAGAAAATGTGTCATAAAAAATGTCATTATTGGCAAATAACAAAAGCATTTATAACAAAGATCCAAAGATCAATAAAAAGGCAACAACTTCTCACTCCGTCAGATTTCACCCCTCTATAACAATTTTGTTGAAAACATTTTCCCCACCCATGTGACCCAACCCAACCTTTACAGACAGCTATCCACGTCATATATAAACTTAGTGACAGACAATACACTACCCCCCCCCCCCCCCCCTCCATCCCCTCACATACACAATACTCCTTAAGGAGTGAGACGACTTCATCATGTACAATAATACTTCCAAGACAAAATGATTGAACTGGCTCTGCAAAGCTGTCTTTATAATAATAGGTCCATTTATATAGCGCAGCTAGTATATGAATATACTCTACTGTGCCTAAAACAAAGTATCATATCATTAGCTAAGCCCCAATTAAAGGCACTAAAGCATTTAAGGAATTTCTGCCTACTGGGTACCCATTTTCTTCACCTGGGTGGAGAGTGGCAAATGTAAATTGGTTTATTTTGAGCACAAATTTTGTACATATCTTACCTCCTTTCTCTCTCTCTGCTTTCTCATGAGCCAATAACCTCTTGAACATAAGATGTCCAGAGGGATGCTCAACAATGTGCATCTAGGTAGAGAAGGGAATAGATAATAATAATAATAATAATAATATTGGATATTTATATAGCGCACATATCCACCCTGCAGGGTGCTCAATGCGCTCCAATATTACCCCGGCTCTGCCAGGCTACTGATTTCGGTGCTCACAGCATTCAAGGAATTACTTCCTACTGGTCCCCATTTACTTCACCTGAGTAGAGTGTGGCAAATGTAGATCAATGTCTTGCCAAAGGACATTAGTGCCGCAGTGGGATTCAAACCGCGGACCTTGAGAACAGTCCGGCGACGTATCCACTCGTCCACGACACCTCTACATGACAACGAATTGAGTACCAATCATCATATAGAGTAATTAGTCTATAGCTAAAATCAACACAAAAGCAAAACAATCTTTCCTGGTATTCAGAAGTATGAAGAATGTTAAAGATTTAACCTAAAGTACCAGGCTCAGAACACAAGTCAGGGTGCAGTTCCATCTGTACCCTATTCTATGCAAGTGGGTATGGGTGCATTGACCAGTTTACTCAAAAGTGACTGATATTTTGTCTGAAATTGCATGTTAACTAAATGGAAAGCTTGAGTTCTGTTAGGGAACAAAGTTTTAGACTGTAAGCTCAATTTTCCTATAAATTGCTGCTCATCACTCTGCTTACATGTACATGTAGGTACCGGTACAAATATTCTATGGCAGTAACTTATCATTTTCCTGTCAGGTTGAACATTCAAGGTACAATCATTTTACTTGGCAGATACCACTGTCATGTTGAGCAAATGATGTACCAGTCATTAGGTTTTGTGAAATCACATTTAACTTAATTATCAGAACTTTTTGTTTCATAATGATTTTACTCACCTCATCCATTTTGCCTGGGTCATTGACCAGGATCGGCACCAGCTCCTCAGCTGCCAGAGTGGCCAACATGCTGTACACTGCACTCTTGTCACCTAGCATATTGAGAAATCGACAAGAAAATAACTTGTTGGCTAGTTGTGTTTAACAAACATGCATATTCTTGTTGGTAAGAAACCAGGGGACCTACACATGAGTGAGGCATGATGGTTTAGTGGTTGAGCAGTGGTCCCATAAATGGGGGAGGGGGGGGGGGGCAGGTTCAAAATCAATTTGATGCGCTAGTGCCCTTCGGTAAGACATTAATCCTGATCTCATAACCTAGTCCCTCGGAGTGGACTTAAAGCTGTCTGTCCCCTGGTCGCTCTCTTACAAGCAAAAAAATGCTTTCAATAGCAATCAGGTAAAACAAACCAACCAACTAACCATCAACATCTGAAGGTTCAATCATAAAGCCTTATGATTTTGATATAAGGAGGACGAGGCGAGTTGGCTCAGACGGTAATACCTCAGTCATACCAAAGAGACCAATACCAGACCCACAACTGACCAAACAAAATATTGCATTACCACAAATGGCCAAGAATTAATCCGTTTGGCGGTGAGATCAAGGTCTGCCAGTTGAACAAAAGATCCTGGGTTCAAATCCAACCCAGGTGGAAGACTGAAGCCTGAACTGTGTGTTTACATGCCCCTCCCCCCTACCATTAATTATTTGAATCGCAACTGACACAATAGTAAATTTCCGCAATTCACAAGATATTCTTGCCGTGACGATGGCTTTCATTTCAGTTTAGTTCAAGAAAGTTTCTGGTATTACAGCGACCGTGACCCTGCATTGTATTGGGAGAATATTCACCTTCTATGTGTTGAAGCAAAGCCAATGCTAGTTGACTGTTGGATTTACTATAAGCCATCTCCTTGGTGTGTGTGATAAGAAGCTTTAGTAGAGCAGGGGATGCGGCTTCCAAAAGCTCCTTTCTCCTCACTGCACTTTCCTTTTTACTGCAATAACAATAGGGTAAACTTTGTAATATTAGCCATTGTAATATGTGTTTGCATGGTGCAAATTATTTCAGTAATAACAATCAATAAATATCATAGTTATAATAATAATAATGATGATGATTATGATGACGATGATAATGAAGATGATGATGATGATAATGATGATGATGATGATGATAACGATGATGATAAAGATGATTGTGATGATGATGATGACAATGATGATGATGATGATAGAGATGATGTTGGTGATGAAAAAAAAAGTTTACATTTCCATAAAACCTGCTTTAAAAGGGGGAAATACCAGCAAGCTTTAATAATCAAAATAAAAGTTATATATTTAAACCTACATCCTAAATAATGGTTTGTTTGGGTGACCTTTCCAATTGGTTTATTTGTTCAACTATGTAAAAAAATATTACAAATATTGAAAATTAAAGTTTAAAAGTCAAGGACCATTCTTGATCAGAGAGTGTGCCTGCAGCACAGAGGAGGTAAATAAATAATAAATAAGTAAAGCATTACCTGACGGGGTTGTCATCCCCTCTCTGTAGTTGCTTCACGATGTCTGGATGGAAGTGAGATGGGTCTCTTGGAACCAGCAGATAGAGCAAGACCTTTCGTCCATACTGGTCCGTCGCTACCTCATACGCAGCTTTCATCATTTCCTACATAATTTAATTTTAATTTAGTTTAATTTAATTTAATATAAAATTGAATTGAATTTAATTGAAAATCAAATATTTCCATCATCACTTCACATGGATACACGCATAAAAAGATGAGTAATCATAACCGAGTCAATGGTATTGAAGTATTGTCTGATCTTTTGGAATTCATATATCCAAATTTATATACACAACCATTCATAGGGACGTACCGGTACATAATACAAGCTTTGCTTTTTAGTAGATCCTCCACCGTATTTAGCTTTTTCAATGTATTTATCATACTTATGATTGTATCTTTTATCATCACTATTTGTACATTATGTTCCTATATTGTATGTTTAGTTATAATTATTAAGGGATAGAGCAACGTCGATCTGGCGCTGCTCAGTGGCTGCAGGGCTCACGATCAATTGGGCAAAAAGAATTTCCATTTTTCGTTTAATAAAATTTGGAGTGGACTTTAAAAGATTATTATTATTATTATTATTCATGTACATCATGTTCAATTATGTTACTTTAGATAAAAATGGAAACACATAACTTGAAACTTGAAACTTGTTTAAAAATAATTTAAAGGCCATACCTCAAGGATGACTTTGCTGACGATCTTGGTATCATCCACACAATCAAACAGTGCAAATAGTGCTCTGTGTCCAAACTCCTCCTTGCAGATCTTCTGAACAAATGTCTTAAAGGACTTGATGATCACTTTACGATCCTACAGTATGAGAGCAGAAAGGAAATAGATGTTACATAATAATAATAATAATAAATTTATATAGCGCAGCTTTTATACAAAATATATTCAGCTGCGCTGGTTCAGAGCTCCTTTTTTTAAACTAAATTCTACAAAATGGGATCTTTCAATTGAACAAATATGTTTTTAATTTGGATTTGAAGACGTTGAGAGATGGAGTGCTTCGTATTTCTATTGGCAAGCTATTCCATAGTTTTGGGGCGGCAATAGCAAAAGCACGGTCCCCAAGAGTTACTTTAGTTTTGCCATGGGGAATCTAGAACAATAATTTATGTCTGGAACTGCGCAGGCTAGGACTGTGTGAATGGACTATGAGTTTAAGTAATTCTGTTATGCAACTAGGAGCTTGACCACTTAATGATTTATAAACAATGAACAACATTTTGAATGAAATTCTTTGACGGACTGGCAACCAGTGGAGCTCTCTCAGAAGAGGTGCGGTTGTAGTGAATTTCGACCGACGATAGACAAGTCTTGCACATGCATTTTGGACTCTTTGTAACTTAGCTTTCAGAGAATCAGGCATTCCAAACAGCAACCTGTTACAATAATCAAGCTTACTTGTGATGAGAGCATGTACAACCAATTTCATACTTTCTTGATCAAAATATTTGCGGATACGTCATTCATCCAGCCCAGTGAAATGACTTCAAAAATACATACTACTACTACTGCTTCTACTAGTACTACTTGTAGTAGTAGTAGAAGTAGTAATAGGGACTTTTAGATTTGCACAACGACAATGTGGATTGCTACGATCGACGTCCTTTTAATGGACTGCCTTGAATGGACGTCACACGTATCAGTCCACGCAAATCTAAAAGTCCCTATTGGTTCTTGTAGGACTACTGCTGCTACTACTCCACTACTACTACTACTCCTACATCTTACTTATCTTTACTACTACTTCTACTACTTTAAAATGATTACACATGCTTTAGCTCCAGCACATGTTATCAGAGCATAATGGAACTCAAGGAACAATTCTCCTACGTGTTCACTTACTACATCTGGGTCAAGAGTTTCAAATGTAAATTAATAAATTGCCAAGGATATTCTACCCCTATAGAGCTCAAACCCATTACCTTTGCATCCTCAGTTACATGTAAGTTACATGTTTAAAGTAACTTTAAACAGAAACATCTCAAAGTTATTATCAATGAGCTGATCTTGGTTGATGTGAAACAGAACCGACTCTAGTGAAATTTTCAAAATATTTAAAGTGCTATGGTGAGGTCTAATGGTTTCAACGACAGGGAGGAAGCATGCAGTCTCAGTTGCCTAGGGGTGATCATCGAACCATTCATCCTCAGCTACCTCTTAGATAGGATGTGTGTGTGTGTGTAATTGGGTTTTTAAAGACGTTAATCAATCAGATATGATTATTAAAGTCTGGGGACCGACCTTTAACGTCACCATCCGAAAGGCTGTAAAGCCATAGGGCCCTTTAATCCCCTACCTAAGAAGTTATTTGCTTTCTTAGCAGCCAAGTAACTGTAAATTCAATACATCAATCATTTAATCAATCAATCAATCAGTCAGTCCGTCAATCAGTCAGTCAGTCAATTAGTCAGTCACTCAGTCAATCAATTAAGCAATACACCCTTCCACGGTTAAGGCCTCCATTTTAAATTATGAGTGAACATTGCGCCATCAATGTTCTCAGATGCGCATGTGTATTGTTGCGCACTCTTGTAACCGTGAAAGGGTGTATTAATCAATCAGTCAGTCAGACAATCAATTCCTTACCTTTGCTGTACCATACCAGAGGCAGTGCATAGCTGCCCTAGCACCATCCTGGGTGTGTAGAATCTGGACCACTACCTCTCTCATAGCTTCAATCAGTTCCTGTTTTAATAAGACAGAAAGTGTCTTGAATGCTTAGTCCTTGAAATCTCTTCATCAGAATTATAAATTTTAAGACACAAAATGAAAGCTACCACCATTTTGAAAATGTCATGAAGACTACCTATCTCAATTTGATATTTGCTGAAATATTCTATCGCAAATATTCAACTTACAAAATCCCTTACAATACACATATAATTTGTCTGACTGGACCATCAGTTATACAAATACATATAAAATCTATATAATTAATCCAAATCTTTATTTTAAAAATAAGATATTGTACTAGAACTTAGAAGTGATACGATTGTCAGAGATAAAATACATTTTCTTGCATGCAAGTCTTGGAATACTTAGAGTGTGAGCAAACTAAATATACTTCTCACTGCTTTGTAATCATTATCATATCTGGAAGGCTTTAGTAGATGGTTAATATTGCCTTTAAAAAAAAGACAAACGGTTACTCAAAATAAGAAAGGAATGAAGAAAGGATACTTACTGCTCTCATCTTCTCAGTGGCATGCAGCAAGAAATCATAAATAGCTTTATGTACAATAGTGTGCTTGATGACAGTCCTAGATATAGGGAGACAAACAATAATGAGTTTATGAGCAGTTTTTAAAGCCCATCTGTACTAGTGTAGAGGGGTTTAGGCCATACTGCAAGGTCACTGGACAGGTGGTTACCTCATCAAATCAGCTCTCAATTAAAATAAGAAAAGGAGGAACATGGGGGACCAATGGTCACCGATTGTGCATTGTTTGTTATATAGAGGGCGCAAGTAGCTATACATATAAGTAGTGAAGTGGGCTCTGCACATCTATCCATGTAAATCCTACTGAACCAGAACCAGTAACTAATGAAATACCTTCCTCATCATTTTGAAGGTCACTCTGTGATACAGTCATTTTTCTGATTTCAACGTTGTACATCAAACGTATAACATGCAGTTCTATTTCCTTCCAGAAAGTGCATCATACATGTACTTTATAATGAGGGAACTTACATATACATAGAAGTGACCCTAAAGCTACACTGGGACAATTGTGAAAAGCTACAAATAATTTTGGAAAGGTATGAAAGCTAAAGGCTATGGAATAGTGACTTACTTATCGAGCAGAGGAGTGAGTGTTTTCAGCATATGATCCATGATACCTTGTCTAAGGGAGGGGTCTTTCTGAAGAATCTCATCAAGGGTGTGTATACCTGTAGACTGAGGAGTTAAAGGGAGAGGGTCGTCAGTTTCCATGTGAAGAAGGCCATCATTCGCTGACACCAGACTTGGTGGAAATACCATTAATGCGTGAACAAGTCTAAACAAAGCGAACCTGTTGGCCTATCAAAAATAGTTGAATCCTCAACCTAGTCGCATGACATAATTAACAGCTTTAAAAATCTGACCTCTTTTCAATTATGTTAACAATGATACCGTAAGGCCCATCAAACATCATACAATTCAGCTGCGAAAACATCTTTCAAAGAAATCACAATTGCATTGGATGAGGAAATTTCAACAACGGTAATCTTCCTGATCAAGATTCGAAATAATGGCATGAATTCTAAAATTCAACTGTTGGTCCATTGTAAGCCTTCTAGCTGAATTAAAGCGTATATCAGGTTCATAGACAATTGCACAAATACTCTGACATCATTATGAATCACAGCCGACTTGGTTGTTCTTCCTGTAAAGAGGCTTGCAATACCTCAGAACCTCTTGACCGAGGCTCTGATTGATGATATGAGTTCTAAAATCAACTCGCTCTCTTTAAAGGGATTGGGCATCATTGCCTCAGATTCTAAGCTGCAACCATAATTATAACCCTTTAGGTCAGTCAGGAATCCCATGACTTTTACAAGCCGATCGCCTGCCTGATTATCAAGATATTTATGATTGGAAATCAAAAACGTTTTTTATCACACTACAGTACATTGGGAAAATGAGTATGGTAAAACCGGTCACTCAAAGATTTTTACTATTTTGAAGCACTTCATGACCACTTTGAAGTGCAATTCTTGGAGGGATTCATTTTTACACCAAATCACAGACACTGATAACACATAGGGCCATGCATCTCAGATTTAACATTGCTAAATGATCCCTTTAATAGCAGTCAGGTACCATAAATCATCCTGTCTCACCTTGAAGACAGCAAACCTAGCACCATAGAACTCCTCCATGAGAGCAGACCTCTCCTGGGCATTGGCGTGGTTGTTGTAGGCTTCCTCCAGCACTTCTGCAGCCTCCTTGTGCCTCACCAGCTGACAGACCTTACCATGGAACGAGCGCATGATGGCCAGACGCTGCTCCTTGGAGCCGTAGCGGAACATCTTCAGCACATAGAACTTGGCATACTTGCATTTGGTGAGCTCAACAATATGATCTGGTGAGGCAATGGAAAATTTGAAATTTATCATCAGGATAATTGTCCTCTGGAAAATCACCCCCCAGAAAATTACCCCCTGGAGAATTACCCAAGTTGTCCTTGGAGGGTTCATGTCCTCGGGGGCAATTCTCTGGGGGGTAATTTTCAGGGGGGGGGGGGGTGATTTTCCGAGGATGATTGAACAGGGAATTATTGTCCTAGAACCGAAATCTATATACGATGTGTCGGCACAGTTGAAGTTTACTGCTTTATATATAGTTGTCTTCATCTGATTTTGAGGCTCCTTTTGAAATTTACTGTGCTAATAAACTTGCCAATCCTCAAATACAGTGAATTAAGAGAATGTGAACATTTTTTTTGGTAAAAAAAAATTGCTTGTATTTTATACCAAAGCACTGCACAAACTGTTTTATACATGAGGAATGGATATTACATGTCCTTTCTGCTTCTAGACATTGTTTCTATCATATTTCTCCGGGCAAGCAATGGTGTAAAAATAAGCATGATTATCATCTTACAGAAATTCTTATTTTGCTGTTTATTTGCATTCTGTTGTGTGTAAAAAAAAAAAAGGGGGGGGTGACATGAACAAAACCTGCTTTATCTATTAAAAAACTCAATCTTACACTTCAGTCTTCTAGAGACTATGAATGCTTGGTTCCTGCTCAAAATATTTGTATCAGTTAAAACACAGAAGGTACAATTGGATATGACTTACATTTAGTCTGTCTCACATAAGCCTCATGTATTTTAAAGTTGAAGAACTTCTAAATATCCTCTTTCAAAAGCCAGATGGGCATTAAACATACCTAAGTTTGATAGTATAGGAGCTTTGAATGTTAGGCTTCCTGAAAGTAATTTCAGTTTTTGTAAAGAAATCTTTGGATTGCATCCGCCAAAAGAGCTCATGATCTATCTTAGAGTTAGGGGTTCAATAGGTGACTTAACATCTTGTATTTCATTTTTAAAACAGTAACATCACAATTATCAGATGTTACTGGGGTAAGAATGAAACAGAATTGCTCTGCCTCTGCATTTTACTGAAACAAGGGAACATAATATCCCATGCCAGTGGTAATCAAAGGCTAAACTAGACGGATCTTCGACTGCGCACAGTAAAAAATGATGCCTCCGCCATAGAGCGATTTTACAATTTTTAAAATTCAACTTTGAATGTAATCCATATAGTGATGACTAGCTATTTTTCATATATATACATGGCTCTGCAAGATAAATGCATGTCCTGAGTTTGATAGTAATCCATCTCTCGGTTCTAATGATAATGCGATCACAAGTTATTTTTGCATACATGATGAGCCCTGTGACCTTTGATCTTGTGACCCCAAAATCTACTCAGATCATTGGCTCTGTAAGATACATACATGACTCAAGTTTAGCAGGAACCCATCAATCGGTTCTTCAGATAACACGATCACGAGAATGGACAGACAACCCAAACACCTGCCATCTGTCACCCGCAGTGCAGCAACTCTACCACTAAGTCATCACTGGCCCTTGCCACAGCCACAACCAACTGGAAACAAATACCTCAGCTCTCCAGACTTATTTTGACCTATTAACATTTATCAGTCCGCCATTAGGACAATAGCTTTGATTGTTAAGAAGACTGAAGAGGAGCTGAGCTGAGCATGCGTTCTTCATTTGCTGGGTGCAAGCCCAAAATTTCTAAACAAAAGCATAGGAACCAATGCCCTTCTGCCCCTAGCTGTCATGAGAGCTAGACACAGAAGGACATTAATCAAATGTGCCATCTATTGCATGCATATACGTACCAACCATACATCATCAATAAAATACCTTTTACTTCCTCAAATATCTTTGTCCTCTGCTCAGGGGTTCCAAACTGAACACAGCATTGGATCACTCTAACCGTATCATGGGCCTTCACCAACTGCAAAACAAGATAATAAAATCACAATTATAATTAAACTTTTTATTAGGTCACAAGCTGTTTTCATTTGATTCCAAATTATCAAGATACTTGTCTGAATATTATATTTTGTTCCCAGCTTTTCACTTCATTCAAATATTTCTGAGATATCTAAGCTGAAATACCCAAAGATTAATAGAATCACATGAAGTTGGTGTTTTTTAATTCCATGAAGATCTGGCGGGTGTTTCACAAATACTGAGATCAAATTTGCATTGGACTTAACTATGGAAGGCCATTCATGCCACTGGTTGCTCTAACTATTGGTCTCTCAATCATGATCTTTAGATAATATTTTTTCCTTCAATAATGAACTATAAAAAAGGTAAATTCTTAGGATTGGTGACCACAATTTGTAAATCCCTTGAGAAAACAATGCCAGGAAATGGTCAGAGAAAACATGAACAGCCTGCCATAGTTAAGTCCAACTTAAAGTAGATCTCAGTCTTTGTGAAACACTCCCCAGAAGAACTTTGTAAATAATCATAACTTACATCCAACACTCGTCCATCAAGAAGGTCACACAGCTCTGTTATGTGCTTGGTCCTCGTTTCTGGTTTGCAATTATGTCTGAGAGAATAAAAATGACAAATTGAAGTTACCGTTACACCTGTATCTCACACTGAATAACTCTGCTAATGGTAAAATAAAGGAAGAGTAAGCAAAGTATGGTTCATCTATTCTCACAGCTTTGAATCTGCTCCACAAGAACGTATGAATATACATAACATGGAAAGTTAACTTCCAAATGTCTGTTTCCTTGATTGTGGAGTGCCAAGAGTGCCAAGAACCCACTATCATAAGTGGTTTGCTTTATCACTGAAAATCAGGATCCTCAATGTACGTAATATTTTAGAAGTGTTGTTCACATACTTGTAGCACTCTTTTGAAATTCTATTAATTTATTTATTTTCATATTTTATTCTTACTCTTTTGTTTTATGCAGAGACTAGAATCAATAATCCAAATTGCCCCCCGCACTCCAACTTCAAGGCCCTCATATTGCAATCAAATGCAATGATGCAAAGCTTTTTCTCATTATCACTTCCTGCCTCTCTTAAAGAAATAATACCTACTTTCTAACAACCTCCCAAGCGTTTTTGGCTTTCTGAGCTAGTTCAAAGTTGCTATTCATTTGCTTCCTGACTTGCTTTCTCTCCTTCTTCTTCAGCTCCTCCAACTTAGGACGTTTGGTCTTTTCTGTAAGGTGAGATACAAAAGGGATCAAAAAAGTAATACTGCTAAATGAAGGGGGACAAAAAAGGTAATTTTATGCTTTATGCATATATATGCACCATACTGTGGCATTTTTTAAAAACAGTCAATGAGCAATTAAAAACATTCATTATTTGATTAAACCACTCCTAAAGTAAGTAATATTCTCTCATTCAATCAAAAGTCATCAGTGTATTTTCATTGACTAATTAAACTCATAAAAGAAAAATGGAGTTCAATCATCTTCATTTTCTAATACCAATTCACCTTTAAATGAAACATAAAAATGGTAATCGTTATGAATTAGTTGCTTCTTCTCTCTTGGGGTTTGTTTGCATGATTGTTTGAAATAAATTAAACACCACAATCCTTTTTCTGCTTTAAAAACCTGAAATCAAATAAGATTCTTACCAGAATTTCATTGCAATTATTTAATTATAAATGAAAATTATACAAAAATAATAATGAAGCAAGAAAGTTAATAATCACCAGCTTCATCACCGCCTTCTTTGCCCTTCTGTCCTTCTTTCCAAGGTTTAGTCTGCTTATCCTGCTTGAAGTGTCCTTGCTTGGGAAATGGCTTCCCACCCTTCTGACCTGACTTTTTGGTGAAATTCTCCTTTGATTTGGGGGCTGGTTTCTTTGCACTGAACCTGGGCTTGCTTGAGACCTTAGAAAGCTTATCCTTTCCATTTGGTGCATGAATCTCTTTCTTTAGCTTAGTCTTCTGATCTGGTGATAGCATCTCTCCCTTGACCTTTCCCATTTTGTTGGCCTTCTTAGCGTCACCAGTGGAGCTGTCCATTTTCTTGACCTTCTTAATCTTACTCTTAGCATCACCAGTGGAGCTGTCCATTTCAGAATGTTTTCTCTTTGGAGATTTCTTCCCCACCTGGGTATTTCCTTTTTCTGTCATTTCTACCCGACTGTAAAAGAAATAAGAGGAAGTTAATTCAAGTCTGTTCTAACACTTTTAAAGAAGCAAAAGGCATAATTGATATATGAATCAAGATTCAAATGAGGTTTTATTCACGACTTGTTAAAAAGTCCAAAGACTAAAAATGCAAGTATACATCAATTATACAATCATATAAAAAAAAGGATTCAAAAACATATATTTATATAAAAAGAAAACATAGCAAATGGAGAAGAAAAAAAATATATATATAGATCTATAAATGAATAAATGTTTAAATCAAAAGCGGTATTCTCCCCCCCCCCCAAAAAAAAAGATACAAAATATTGCTAGCAACTTTAAAAATTTAGTTTACAATTTACAAAGAAGGTATCCGAAAAGAATGGATATTAAAAAAAATAACACTAGTTTTTTAAAATTGCCAAGACTTTTACTGTCTTCCCCCAAATTTTGTATGACCCGCAAGGCCCAAGAACATTAATTTCATCAGCACCAAGGGTGCTGGTCCGAGAATGAGGATCTTTCGCATAAACAAGGATATCCTTGTAAACACAGACAAATCGCAGGTGTAGGGTAGGGTTCCCGAGCCGCGCGCTGCACTGGCAATGCAAAAAATGGATTCCGTGTAATAAAATACCCCCAGTTCACCGTTTAATTTTATGGGTTGTCTGTCTTCCCAAGGATTTATCGCTCATAACGTGAAATTCTCTGCACAAAGTAAATGTAAAATACATCAAGGAGCATCATCGCGGAATCAGTTTTTGCATCGCCAACGCGCTGATCAGAAATAAGAATCGTTTACAAAAATGCGGACAATCCTTATTTTTTTAGGACGTGTTTACGAAGACGATCATCGTTTAGAGTAAAGGAGCCCGTTTTCGGCCACTTAAGACAAAATCCTATTTTTAGGACTCTTTACTTCCTATTTATTATCATTTCTTGTTCAAATCATGAAGCAAATATTATTATTATTTAAACAAAAAAAGAATCCCAGAAAAAAATCACGAATTGCCATGACAATATTCATTTCAATTTTCACTGTTTTGGAGCCGGTTATCGGCCGAGCGTTTCAGTTTACGGCCGCATGTACAAAGTCAATAGGAAGCGCTCGCGCGCACCGTGCGTTTCCGCGCTGATGTACAGCACAAGCGGGCGGAGCAGGTATCCCACGCCTGAGCTCCCTGGTGCTCGCCTGGCCGAAGACAGGCACAGCGGTGATCGGAAGTTGGAATCTGAATTAGACAGAGATATCGTGTGTGCGTCGCGGTGTGCGGCTGCATTGATTTAATACATGCGATGAGATACTTTTGAGCTTGCGACTAGCACAAAATCGGGCTCTAAATCTGAAAAATACTTGAAATAAAGCTCATTTTATGGTACCCATATTTCTTACAGACACGCGTAAGATACTCGATTTTTCAGATTCGGGTAGCGGGACCGGCGATTACATCGCTAAAATGTGATATTTTAGGATATATTTTTCATTGCAAATGTGGTTCTTCAGTGACACTGGCATGGTATGGTATGTGTGGGATATGTGTTACGCTATTATGCGATGTATTTTAGAGTGATTTTACCTTGCATCCAACCAATCGGCCGAAAACGGGAGCTGGCCGATTACGGGCTCCTTTACTCTATGTGGACGATCCTTATTCTCAGAACAGCGCCCCTACTGATAAGATTTTTTTCTTTCAATATTAAAAAAAATAAAAAATTAGACTCTTCTCTAGCTCTAGAACTATGTCTGACTAGGCCTATACCATGCCCACTTCAACAAAAAACTGCAACAACAACAAAATCGCTCTCTCACTTTCATTTCCCTTCCACAGTTCCAAGACCAAGCTTCGTCTTCGATATTTTAACTCGCATGACCAGATGACGAGCGTGACATAATTTCCAGTCGATGGGACTAATCACTGGTATATGTTGCAATAGGGTCTACTTGTATGCACTTACACTCGAGATCAAGGCATCAAACACTATTGACTTAAATAGAACGTATATGCTTAGGAAACATAAACTAAGAAAAAACAATATCATACTTATATGGCCACAGCAATTCGGTGCAATGTGTGGTATAACTTCAGCGACGTTGTCGAAAATGTTGGCCCACGTGAAGTCTGCAACTGTATGTATGGTGGCCTTGGCATGACAAATAAGTTGGGAAATAAATAAATTTGAGGACACCATAAAACTCTCAAAATTGACACATCGATCCAGATCTAAAGCCAAATCAGCTCAGCTCAGAACAGGAGAAAAGGTTTATTTTGCTGCAAAATGTCTCGTCTGATAAGAGCTATGATCATGGGACCACCCGGATCAGGGAAGGGCACGATGTCATCTCGGATAGCCAAAGAATTCAAGCTGAACCATCTTTCAAGTGGAGATCTTCTTCGGAGTCAGATTCAACAGCAGACAGGCAGGTGGTTCTCCGTTAGCCGCGCCGGTCGCGGGCTGTGCAGAGGCGGGTCTGGCAAAAAAAAAGGGGGGGGGAGGGGAGTTCTAGTGCAGTGTCTACTCATGTCCATGTTGAAAGAAAAAAGAGAAAAAAGAAGATAATAATAATAATAATAATAATATTAATAATAACATCTCAGACTCAGAGACTCGGTCAGTAGACCTCGAACTATAAGTCTTTGTTTTTAGGGAAAATACCACACAAAAAATATGAAAATTGACACAAAATTGGTAGATCTAAGATTATAAGAAACATAACGATTTTTAAATCATGACAATTATTTGAACAATTGATAAGGATTAAGTTGATTTTTAGTATATTTTAATAGGGTATCTTCACGCCAGAGTTAAGACAAGTATGGATATGATTCTGAATTAGCGCCGATAGATCTAGACCTATTTGTTTTTGATTTATTTTCTCTTGTATTTCTGGGCCCGTTCTATAATAAAGAGTGATTGATTCAAATTATCAATTACAATCCCTATCTCTATAGTCTAGACTAGTCTCACATACACAATTCAATTAACTTTGTTTAGCTGCGATTGATTTGAATTTATTTTGAATCAATCGCAACTCTTTATAATATTATTAATAATTGTTATTGTTTCTTGTGATTTCTTTTATAGCTGTTGGACTCCTAGCCAAGCAGTTTATTGATAAAGGAAGTCTCGTTCCAGATGATGTCATGGTTAAGCTCATCACACATGAGCTGAATGGACTACCACCAAATTGGTTATTAGATGGTAATAACTATTACTAAGTAATTATAATGACAATAAAATTGTGATAAAATTGATAACAATAACAAACCTAAAAGTAATAATAGCAATTATAATGATGATAACAAAAATAATAATAATGCTAATGAATAAATGATACATTAATCAAACAAACAAATAAATAATATATGAAATCAATCAAACAAACAAATGTAAATAATAATTAATAAAGGCCTACAATTACAAAGGTGGTCCGATCCTTAGGTTAACTGCATGGTCCATTTTCTCTAACATCTGTGTAGAAATAGAAAGCATTAAAAATAAACTGTATTCCTAATTTTCCAATAAAAACTTCCTCATTTTAGCTTTGGAAGGGTTAGCAATTTTTAATTGTATTTATTGAATGTGCTTTTCATTGACTTTTCCTGTTTTCATTCCTTTTGCACCTTATAAATAGGTTTCCCACGAACTGTGGCACAAGCAGAGGCTTTGTCAAAGAATCAGCAAATTGATACTGTTATGAACCTAGATGTGCCCTTTGATGTCATAGTTCAGAGGTTAGAATGGCGGTGGATACACCCAGGGAGTGATCGTGTCTACAACTTGGACTGGAATCCTCCCAAAGTACCTGTGAGTTTAAGATCGTTGCTTGTAGTTTCTCTCTCTCTCTCTCTCTCTCTCTCTCTCTCCCGGTTTAAGTTCCATATTGTTTGACTTTGTCGATCATGCAGGCCAGCAGTTGTAGACCATGTTAATAATTATCTTGTGGAAACTTGTTAGAAAGAACTCAAATTTAATGAGATTCATGATAATACAAGGTAATTTTGCTGGTCCCAGCTCTTATTTTTATTTTACTTTTCTGCCCCAATAATATAATGAGATACTTGATATAGCAAGGTAATAATCATTTTAGTTATCATTGAGTTTCCTTTCCTTACATAAAATAATTAACATTGTATATGTATATATTTCATCCTTATTTTCAAGACGTGACGGTAGTGAGGAGAATCGTAACGCAAAGTGAATGCAATTTTTTTTCACTACCGTCACTTCGTGAAAACAGTGACAAATTTTATTAAAATGGAATGATCATAAAATGCTCTGCTAAATGGTGCTTGACTGAATTCTTCTCTTTTTACATCTGTACATGTATATCTTTTGAAAGTGTCCAGTCACTCCAGTGAAACGATAAAGATGACCATTTATTTATGGTTTCATTGCTAAAGGGTTGGTCATACTTTATACCTCTTATGTCATAAGAGATTAATGTTATGTCAAGCGACATTCTTTTACGTACCAAGAAATGTTTTTACAAAATGTTTCACCAAAGCTGAAGTTCAGCACTTGTTATGAATTAGAATGAGCTGCAAATAAAATCACTTACATGTACTTTACATTTAACGTGACCATTGTGTTTAGTTTAAGGATGATAAAACAGGAGAGGATTTGGTTCAGAGAGAGGATGACAAACCAGAGACAGTAAGAGCAAGACTTGATCTTTATCAACAACTCACAAAACCAGTCCTAGAATTCTACAGGTATGACATTTTCTTTTTCTTTTTCATTAGAATTTTCAAAAGCATACGGGTATGTGCTAGTAAATAATTGATAAAATTAAATTACAACGATGTACTAGAAAGAGGAAGCTGGGAGTTGATTATATTTTTAAGTTCTCAAACATGAAAATTCATAATCTTTTTCTTAGCTCTATTGGATTATTTTGCTGTAATGTGTTCTATATGAACATTACCTTATACCTCAAGGTTCGTACTAGTTATCAAAAGCCCCAAATCATGATTTCCATAACTTTTTCTGTTGTTTAGATCCGAAGCTGCCATACAGACCTGTAGATAATTTGATGATCTGACTTTAAAATCAATGACCTTCCTAAGTGTAAATCTCTCTTAAAATATTTATTAAATAATATCTTATGTTTCGAAATAAAAAAAAATGCAAAACTATCAATCTTTTTAAAATTAAATATAAAAAATTTCTGTTAAATAAGTATAATAATCAGTATTAATAGCATGGGCAATTTTTTTTTACTCTGATCGTGCATGATAGTAAGTTTTAGTATGTTCTTTGTTATTTGTTCTGTTCTTTTGTTCTCGTTTTCCTGTATGTGTGTTTTTAGGGGTAGGCTTTTATATCAGGAATCCCTCCTTTCTGCCTATCCCAAATGCTCTTATAAATTGCCATTGCATTTGTTATCACTTTCTTGTTTTTTATAACTCCATTCTGTATTTGTATGTTTTATATGTTTTTGTGAAGAGTGTTGAATAAACTTTGAATAAACTTTGAATAAACTTTGGAATTGAATTGAAATTGTATACATTTCTTCTTTCTTTTCTTGCTCTAGATCCAAAGGGGTTTTAACCGAGTTCCACGGTACAGAGACCAATCAGATCTGGCCTCATGTCCAAGACTTCTTATCAGGTCTTCTCCAGCATCCTACCAAGCAAAGTGAATGAAGGGAGCAGATGTACTTTCATTTGACAAGGAGCAGCTTGTTTGAGTATTACAGCAATAATGAAGGTAATTAATCTACAGACCATACATACAGAATGGGGTCCAAGACATATAGTGCAGTACCTCTATTTTTGAGAAATCACTTACTGCATTAAAAAAATCTGTTCTTATTCAAAATATATCTTTTTTAGAGTTCAGAAAGTGAAAGTGACATTTCCATGTGGTGATTATTATATATTTTATTTCATGCCAGAGCTCTTGTAGCTAATTTACTCTATTTCCAATTATATAATTCCTTCCCCACCCCCAGCCCCCCCCCCCCCCCCCCCCCCACTTGTAGCACAATCAAGGCTCCCTTGTTTACCTGTTTGCTCATTCGATCATGTCACATACATTTAATTTCAAACAAACATCAAGGATTAATTGGTTGTTTTTTTTTTTAATCTATGTGTATACTGTAAGTGTTTTTTAATCAAACCAATCATTGAAATTACATTTACGAAAATCGTATCTTTGTATTAATCTGTTCTTCATGTGACTTGCTTTTATGTGAATATGGGAAAGAAGGGTTAAGCAGTTTTAAAGAGACTTAGTTTGACTTGTATAGCTTTTAAGGAACGTGTGGTGCTCTCGATTTGCTTGTCCTTTGCCAAAAATTTGCATTAGTTATCAAAATACCAAAAAGACACTGCCAAATTTCTGCAATGTACATACATGTACGTACTCTGTCCTTATAAGTTTTCCTAATCCTGTGCATGCTTTTTAGACTGTTATGTCATATACATGTAGAATGCATTTTGAGAATGTATTTCGGTACATGTATGAGTACTTTTACATGTATTTTGCAGCTTATATTAGTGGACTTTCTGTTATGAAGTGAGAAAAATATGCTTTTAGAATGTACAACTGTATTTTATTAGTAGTACTTTGTGAGTTTGTAGTTTGTGATTATATTATACTTTCTTAAATATTCCATGAGTATTAGCATTCCTGTCCCAGATTTTGTTTCATGATGTATTCCGATACCTTTTTATTTTAGATTTATTTGAAAGAGCATCCTGCTTCATTAAGGAATAAACTTATGATTTTTAAATGGATTTGTACAATTATCATAGCTGCAAGCCATTTCTATTTCTGAGGAATGATTCCTATTTTGCATTCAAATTAATGTTAGAACCCTAGATTCATTTCGCTTTGTATTTAAACAAGTATGCAAAATGGACAATATTCTTAAGGTTGCCTTTAGAGATTCCTAGTTTTTGCAGGAAAGGCGGGCAGGTATGAAATTGAATTAAGTGATTTGTGATGCATATACATGTAGCTATGTGGTGTAAAAAATATATATATGTTGCAATAATTTTCTTAAAGCACAACTGTCTATTTTAAAATAGATGTGATTAATTATTTTGATTTGAGTTGGAATTCTAATTTATCAGAATTTTATTTTATTTTGAATATTAAGATCCACTATCAAGTCTTGTATTTTAAATGCAATTGTACAGAATGATAATGGGAATCTATTTTATTCTTTGTCAACTACTATTTAAAGTAGAATGCCATGATAAATATATTTGTGTTAAATATTTTTTTGATAGTGTAATGATTAAAATGTCGTAATTTTCATTTCAATTTGCAGCTGACTTAATTAAATAAGTACAAAAATATACTAAGCATTGTTAAGTTTTTACTAATATGTGTCTTAAAAATTATTGATTCTTCCATTTTGTGAGTTAAGTGATTTTCTTTATATTTTATTCTATAAAATCAATGTAATTGTTAGATTGTGTGGTAGGTTGTGATGCATAAGTAATGTAAATGTACATACAAATTATTCCACTTATTTGATCCATAACTACACATCCGTTTCTTAACCTTTTTAAACCTGACAGTATGTTCATGTGATGTATGTGCAGTATTTAGAAATCATGATCCGTCAAACTTTTTTAATTAGGCCTAATGGTACATACACTTGGATTTTTTAAAGTACATGTATGTATTTTTTTGTTGTAATGAATAATTATAACAGTAGGCCTACATGTATAAGTGTATTTAATCAATGAAATAATGGGCTAATAGTCGTGAAGCCAGGCAAAGTTTTACTTTTGGAGAAAAATTAGATTACATCTATGTGCACCATGTATCAAAATGTCATTGAAATATTTTTGTTTTGATTTTATATTGTTAACATGACTATGAAGATGTAAATCTAGGCTTATTCTGCTATTCCATGTCCCCGTTTTAGTGATGTGCTATAACAGTACGTGTGTATGTTTGATGGTGCCGGCAGACTGCCAGTCAAATTGATTGGCTGCTGCTCATATAATATTAAACATATCTTCTATTAATGATTTAAGAATATAAAAATTATGCAAAGAAAGATGTTTCTTGCCCCCTTGTATACTTTGTATATCTTTGAATTAGTTTTCAATTTAAGTATTGTACATGCATGTATTTTGATACGTTTGATAAACACAAAGAAAGCGAGTAAGTCTTTGGTATTAAATACAGTAAGATGGCAAAAGGGGGAGACAACAAATGTATAAGAGAGAGAGACAGAGAGACAGACAGAGACAGAGACAGCACTTGTCAGAATGTATCAGAGAGAGAGAGAGGGAGCACAAGTCGCAATGTATGAGAGAGAGAGGGGGGAGCACTTGTCAGAATATAAGAGAGAGAGAGACAGATATAACACTTTTCAGAAAAAAAGAGAGACATGTATAACACTTTTCAGAATATAAGAGAGAGAGACAGATATAACACTTTTAAGAATATAAGAGAGACAGACAGATATAACTCTTTTCAGAATATAAGAGAGAGAGACAGATATAACACTTTTCAGAATATAAGAGAGAGAGACAGATATAACACTTTTAAGAATATAAGAGAGACAGACAGATATAACACTTTTCAGAATATAAGAGAGAGAGAGACAGATATAACACTTTTAAGAATATAAGAGAGACAGACAGATATAACACTTTTCAGAATATAAGAGAGAGAGACAGATATAACACTTTTCAGAATATAAGAGAGAGAGACAGATATAACACTTTTAAGAATATAAGAGAGACAGACAGATATAACTCTTTTCAGAATATAAAAGAGAGAGATAGATATCACACTTTTCAGAATATGAGAGAGAGAGAGACAGATATAACACTTTTCAGAATATAAGAGAGAGAGAGAGAGATGGATAACACTTCAGAATATAAGAGAGAGATAGATATAACACTTCAGAATATAAGAGAGAGAGACAGATATAACACTTCAGAATATAAGAGAGAGAGACAGATATAACACTTCAGAATATAAGAGAGAGAGACAGATATAACACTTCAGAATATAAGAGAGAGAGATAGATACAACACTTTTCAGAATATGAGAGTAAGGATATATTGACTGCTTTGAGAGGCATAGTGGTTTCTATAGGGTCAAGGGAAACTCACAACCTGCTATGACCCCAAGGCGCTTGCGCCGCGGGGTCATAGCAGGTTGTGAGTTTCCCGAGACCCTATAGAAACAACTATGCCTCGAATATTAAAAGCAGTCAATATATATTTTATATACCGAAAAAAAGGAAAATGTTGACTCACCCATTTAGGTTTCCATCTCATCGCACAAAAGAAACTTATACGGTAACACGTAAACCAAAATGGGGATCGCAGCAAAATGACGTCACGTTTCACAGCCATGGAAAAAGTGCTATGAAAAATGGATATAAACCGGTAGAGCCGGGAAAAATGACTATGAATTTCAATTAGCGGGCATGGTTGGGGATCGCAGCAAAATGACGTCACTTTTCACAGCCATGGAAAAAGTGCTATGAAAAATGGATATAAACCGGTAGAGCCGGGAAAAATGACTATGAATTTCAATTAACTGGCATGGTTAAGAACATGACTGCATTTTCAACCAATCAGAAGACAGGATTAGTAAAGAATCTTAAAATGAGGTATATAAATACAGATATAACACTTTTCAGAATATGAGAGAGACAGATATAACACTTTTCAGAATATAAGAGAGAGAGACAGATACTGTATAACACTTTTCAGAATATAAGAGAGAGAGACAGATATAACACTTTTCAGAATATGAGAGAGAGACAGATATAACACTTTTCAGAATATGAGAGAGAGACAGATATAACACTTTTCAGAATATAAGAGAGAGAGAGACAGATATAACACTTTTCAGAATATAAGAGAGAGAGACAGATATAACACTTTTCAGAATATGAGAGAGACAGATATAACACTTTTCAGAATATAAGAGAGAGAGACAGATACTGTATAACACTTTTCAGAATATAAGAGAGAGAGAGACAGATATAACACTTTTCAGAATATAAGAGAGAGAGACAGATATAACACTTTTCAGAATATGAGAGAGACAGATATAACACTTTTCAGAATATGAGAGAGACAGATATAACACTTTTCAGAATATAAGAGAGAGAGACAGATACTGTATAACACTTTTCAGAATATAAGAGAGAGAGACAGATATAACACTTTTCAGAATATGAGAGAGAGACAGATATAACACTTTTCAGAATATGAGAGAGAGACAGATATAACACTTTTCAGAATATAAGAGAGAGACAGATATAACACTTTTCAGAATATAAGAGAGAGAGACAGATATAACACTTTTCAGAATATGAGAGAGAGACAGATATAACACTTTTCAGAATATGAGAGAGAGACAGATATAACACTTTTCAGAATATAAGAGAGAGAGACGGATATGACACTTTTCAGAATATGAGAGAGACAGATATTACACTTCAGAATATGAGAGAGAGAGACAGATATTACACTTCAGAATATGCGAGAGAGAGAGAGAGAGACGGATATAACACTTTTCAGAATATGAGAGAAAGAGACGGATATAACACTTCAGAATATAAGAGAGAGAGAGACAGATATAACACTTTTCAGAATATGAGAGAGAGAGAGAGACGGATATAACACTTTTCAGAATATATCAGAGAGAGACTGAAAGAAGGTGACTTACAACATTGTCACATACAGAAGCAGGTTCTGTGGAACAAACTAAACAAGCAACAAATATTTGAGAAGTAGGTTTTTCTTTTATTACTAATGTGCTGTACATATTCTATAAATTGAGATTTTTGCATACAATTGCACTTTGTGACACACTACAACTTGACATAGCCATGCATTATTAGTTAGATTAGGAACGAGCTATTAATATTTTCTTTCTACAATGTTAGTACATGAAATTCTACATGAATAGATTGTGATTATTACAATAATTTTATACATTTTCATATGTTAAATAAATCTGATCCCTCAACATCTTAAGTTGTAATACCGTCTGTCTGGAGCCAAAAGGGAGTTAACTCATATACTTTAATACAGAATCAACAACCTTCTTGCTCTGAACAGATAAAAAAGGAGGCTCTAAAGCCAGAGGGACTTTCCGTCACATCTTTAATAGGGCTTTTTGTTTGTTCTCCTGGCTCTCAACAAACAGTAACCAACTCACATTGGTTATAAAGTAGTGACGCCTTTGTACATGTACACTTTACGTTTTATCAAAGCATACACTACAACCATGAGGTAAAACCACAAAATTTTGAGACCTTGCAAAGGGTTGTCATAAAGGGTACATGTACACTTTACGGTTCATCAAAGCACAGGCTACAAACTTGATGCAAGTCACAAAATTACATGGTTCACATTTACAAAAGGTTAATGCCGCAAAATAAATAAATCACTACTGCTATTCTTCTAGTCAAAAACATAATTTTCTTTTGTTTTTCAGTATTCTTACAATACAAATACACATTTTTCGAATAATAATAATGCTGCGCTTGTGCAGCAATACAGGGAATAAAACTGGAAGTTTGAGGCAATGATAAATGGCAAGCGAAAATGATAATCAAAATTGTGACCACAATGATTTGTAAATGAAACAGAATATATTTCCATACATTATCCACCACACCATCAAATTATCCTTGGGAAACAAAATAGATAAAGTCAACAATTGCATGGCAGAATGCAAGTACGTTACTCTTATTAAGAACCAAACAAAAAATTGCTCCTACAGATGATCAGTAAAGTAAAAGAAATATAAATAAATAACAATGGGACTATATACACTAATAATTCTATACATCAAATTATATTGATAAACAAAATGTGAACTGTGATCCATGCCAAGATCAATAAAATTGGAAAAAAAATTGGAAAAAAAATTGGAAAAAAGTAGTGATATAATTCATCAACTTAATATCAGTCTAAACTGGGCTGATTACTTATCATAAACAAGTACATGTACATTTATAATGGAATATAATGCAATGAGATGGAATAATTTCATTGGAATATATATTAGAAAAAAATATTTAGAAATATCATAATACCATATTTCATCTAATTCTATTCTTTTCCATGTTTAGCTTGCTTATATATTTCCTGTGGACAAACACTGAAACATCTTATAATTTTCAAAAATTATACATCAATAATTCATTAATAAGTTTACCTTTGTATAATATGAAGATCAGTTGAATGATAATATTAAAAGTACAATTTTGCCTGGTTTCAATAATTTATGACCTAATGCAGTAGTTAAAAATTTAACTTTTGAGCTAGCAACATACTTTTAACGGTCCATTTGCCAAGGAAAATGTTCATGCAACTGTCTTTTAGAGGCAAGACACCAAAATGACTAATACACCTCTTTTAGGATTTACATAATGAATCACTACTCTTGTTTGGTAGCGAGACATGGGAGTTCTACATGTATGGCTACCATTTACATGGTCACATTCTACTTTTCCATTTCTTGAATACTTAATCCTCTCCAAAATATTCTGCGTATTGAAACAAAGCACTCCGCAGACTTTCCTCTCTTATATGACATGCAACTTCATAGTCTCTTGCTACTTACAATAACATGTTTTAAGTCTATGCATTTTCCACTATTTTGAGCAAATAAGATGCAAAATCTGTACTTTATTGAACAAAAATAAAGACCCTCAATTGCTGAAATCTTTGAATCTTTCATGTTGTAGCATAAATATTTAATGCATAAAACATGTCGCCGATTACAAATAATGAAAATTATATATTCCTCTTCTTCAACATTAAATCTCTGTTCCTACATTAGATTAATTTAATAATCAATGTTAACTTACAATATAGCTGAAGCATAAGCCTCGTTCTATTGCTATCATAAAATTGTGTAACAGTGAATATTTTCTTTTGCATAGACATACTGGAAATCCTTGGTAACAATAGACTTCCTTACAAGGCTAACACAATATTAGAAATACACATGTATACATGTATATCATAAATCAATATACATGTACATGTAAAAGCAGTGCATGGGCACAGATCAAACAAAATATGATCTTTGACATGGTTTCTTCTGAACTTTGCTCAACATGCTCCAATTGATAACATTAATTTGTAATGCCATTAAAGACACTATCAATACTGATAATACAGTTAGCCCTTATATACCTACAAATAACATGATTATCCAGAGAGAAATATTCTGTTTGATATATCTCACTTATTGAGGCTGTATATGCGTTTATCATAGCCTAACGGCTCCGTACGATAGTTGCACGCATCCTCAACTTAAGTGCTGATAGATCGAATAATAAGCTCATACGCATGCATCATTTGTATACTATATCTATCAATCAGATGATAGGAGATACATGTAAAGGGATAATAACATATTCTGTAAAGTGTTTTGAGAGGGCCTTTGGTCCTGAAAAGCACTATATAAGAACTAGCTATTATTATTATAATTATTAAAGGCCTTCAAATTATGTTCATGATACACATATCCTCTATATGACTGACGCTTTGTAATGCTACTCCATGAAATGGTATTTTGAATCCCTACACCCTCTCACCACTAGGCAAGCATCCTGTGATAGTCAAAAGACCCTCAACAAGGTAGTCAGGTTTGACAATAGGGGCATGAGATCGTCTGTGAGGCAGAGGTAGTAAACCTCTAGGGGTGGTATTCTCGAAAGCGGACTAACTTTAGTCCATGGTTTAATCTACCGACTAAGTATGGAATGCTATGTGTCCATATGAATACGTTTTTGAATAATTTCATCTGTCACTAAATTAAAATAAGATGTAATAACATAAAAAATAAACAATAATATAACTACATGTATCATATAATTATGTCATCATGGTAATTTAGGGACATATCAAATTATTCAAAAATATATTCATATAGACACTTGGCTTTCCATACTTAGTTGGAGGATTAAACCATGGACTAAAGTTAATCCGTTTTCGAGAATACCACCCCTAGATTCTACAATGTCTCACACTTTCTGATGATATTGCTTGACTTCCGCACCTTCTTATGGTCCCAACAACATTTTTACAATTGGAGATTACAGGGTCAGTGAAGTGATTTTATTGACCTTCTAGAATCTACAATGTCTCACTATTTCTAATGCAACTGCTTGAAGATCTTCATATATTGTGACCCCTCTGGTCAAACTCTTGACTTCAGTATGTTCTCAAGATGGATGAATTAGGAGATTCGGGGGTCGATTAAGTATAGTATTGACTTTCTAGAATCTACAATACCCTGTGTTTCTAATGCTATTGCTTGAAGGAGTATCCAAAAATTGTGACTGTTTCTGCCAGCCTCAGCATCTTCCAATGGGCCTGTTGAAATGTTATGTTGGAGAATGGGGTAAGGGGGGGGGGGGGGAGGAGAGTAATGGTATTGACCCTCTAGAATCTACATGTCTCGCCGTTTCTAATGCTATTGCTTGAAGGAGTATCCAGGAATTGTGACTGCTCCTGCCAGCCTCAGCTTCTTCCAATGGGCCTGTTGAAATGGTGTGTTGGAGAAAGGGGGGGGGGGGGGTAAGTTTGAATTGACCCTCTAGAATCTACAATGTCTCGCTGTTTCTAATACTATGGCTTGAGGCGCTCTTGGGGACTCGTGAGCCTTCCCGCCGACCTCCACATCTCTTGATGGTCCCAGTGAGATGATTCTGCTTGGTGATGAGGGGCATGAGACGGTCGGTGAAGCGGTGGTAGTTCCTCTCCAGCTCTCGTTGGTACTCTCTCTGGTCATGCATGATCAGACTCTTGTTCTTTCGCAATGCATCGCCACACCTGTAGAAAGTGATGAGAAACCTCATCGATTAGTCACCCGTATTTCCTGACACGACTATTCATAATTTATTGCAGATCAGTCAGTTTTTAATACTTAAATCGTCCTTTCATGGATATAAATTAATCCCTTTTATTTCCTAATACTATAATTCATGCCTTTTGCAAATAATTGGGTTTTGAATGATTAATATGTACATTCACTCCATTGAAAAGCACCCATTTAAGGAGGTACGTGATCGTATGAAATGTCTGCTCAAAAACTGAAAATTGTTTTGTACACATAAGACAAAGGTCTACAGTTGATGGATGAGGTCTGAAATTTGATGAATGTATCCTTGGATGTTTCAGGAGTAATACGAAAATGGAGAAAATTCATGTTTAAATTTTTGAACAAAAATGATCATGAGATCAAAATCAGATCAACATCAGATCACAATGTGTGTGGTGGGCTTAAAGTTAAAACTTACTTCTTTTGTAGATCTTTGAGGCAAAGCCGTAGTGTGTTGTGGTGCTTGTCCAGAGGTTTTTCAATGTCTAGGAAAATCTGTGCTACCTCCATTGGCCCCTGATAAATTGACAAACAAAATAAATGAAACGTTATGAATAATCAATAAACTAAGTTATTGACAAACATGCGACAATTTTACACACATAATAATACAAGAGAATGCTGCCAAGTTTGAAACTGGAACCTCATAATAACAAACACACAAAGAACTAACTCTATGTACCGAGGCAAAGATTAAAACTTTGCCTCATTTTAAGCAGCTTGCCAGATTATGGGCAAAATGACTAACTATATATGCCAGATCTTCAACGGAAAGGATTATCTGGGCCCTGTTGCATACAAACCTTTCTACTGATGGTAACTTTAATCGCCATCAATATTAACAACTATGGCAACATCACTCAACAGCCAATCAAATCAAGGTTTCTGTTGAAGTAAATATTAATGGCAAAGTTAACATCAATGCTAAGTATTATGTAACAGGGCCTTAGTCCTACCAGGTAAAAGTGGCAGTGACGCATGCAAGCCAATGACTAATTCTATGTACTTTTATATAGACTAGAGCGTAAACCTCTAAAAGTTAGGCAACTTTCACAAAATTTAATACAGCTAAATGACTAACTCTATAGAGTTAGACAGGGTTTAAACCTCTCAAAGTTAGGCAACTTTCACAAAATAATACAGCAAAACGACTAACTCTATGGAGCTAGGCAGGGTTTAAACTTCTCCTAATGATAGGCACCTTCAAGTGAACAAACTAATTTACTAACTCTACGTACTAAAGCAAAGTAAAACCTAGTTTACAATTTAGGCAACTTTCAAAATCATAGGCCAAATGACTAACTCTACGTACTCTACGGGTTTCAAACTCTCTTTAACCACTTGACTGCTATTGCCTTAAAACGTGCGAAAAGGCCAGATTTTTTTTTGAAAGAGCGCCATCTACTGTTCAAGACCGGTATAACACCATTGCAGTGCTAATTACACAGTAGGGCTAGGTAGTATGCAGTGCTACTGTCTTGAAAGTGCAAAGTCCTAACCACGTACATGTATGTACGTGGTGCGCACAGGGCATGCAAGAACTAGACCACGTACATGTTCGTGGCCCGCAGTCAAGTGGTTAATACAGTCAGGCAGTTTTTTTTATAGAATCTAGGCGATGTACATGTAGATCATCATTCCTACCTGGTTAACAGTGGTACCAATACATCCCTGGAGAACCATCTGAAGCATCTTGGCATCCGTTGGCTCGTGGAGGGTAGCCACTTCTAGCTCGTTGGTTTTCTTCTGGATATCTTCAATGGCCACCTCGACAGGAGATAGCACAATCTGTCAGGGATGCATATATATTGTCAAAGAGTGAGATAATGTTTACAGAGAAAGTCGAGGTCTGATGAAAGTAAAAATAATTTAATTGCAAGCTTTATCTCTCTTTGTACGTTAGTTTGGATTCATATCGCAAAATGAAATATCTCCTGGAAAGGCCCTCATATTCGAAATGTGATGAGGAAAATCTGTTCAATAGTTTAGACAAACTTTCATGTATGTATAAGTCCCATGTAAACATGTCTTGCGCAGTGCATGTGGTTCTCAGCAAGACTCGGTCAATTCCCTTTCAATTGAATCATTCTACAACCGCAGAGAATACACCATTTCTTATTTATTACATAATCAATCTTTCCCAATTGAGAGATTTAATTTTCTCAATGTAATGTCATGACCAGTACTCTACCTTATCTTTCTCTTTTAATACTCACTGATTGAAAAACTGGGTAGCATTTAAAAGATAACCATGCAAAAATTACATCTTTTACACGTACATTAGTTATAATTCCTTCTGGAGGGAATATACTGAATTCTTATTTCTATATGATGCTGATATATTGTCTAAAGCCCACATACAGTTTTGGTACATGTACATGTTGTACAAAGGAAAATTGGAATGAAGTTTTTTTTACTATAGTCTTCATATTGTAAAACCTTTTAGTGAGCTATAATTCCTCTATTGCTCCTCGCCTGTGGAACTCCCTTCCATAATTTCTTCGCGAAATTGACAACCTGGACCACTTCAAAGCTTTGCTCAAGACTCACATCTTCCTTCACACATTTAAATGCAAACTTTATTGGAGGAGCTTGCGCCTTTAAATGTTTTTTCAACAGATACATGGCGCCATACAAATGCTGTGAATCATCATCGTCATCATAATTAATTTTGAAGGTAGTTTACTGACCTCTTCTTTCTGTATGATGGCGACTCTTGTCTTGATGTAAGGGAATGAATGCGAGGTGGTGAGGATGGTCTTCCTCTTGCACTGGTCCTTCAGCTCTCCATGGGCGCGGCCTTCCTTGGTGAAGGGTGTGGCAAACATGAAACGCTCTGAAATAAATATAGAATGAATTACGATCAACAAGATTTTGAAGACAAAAAAAAAAGCTGCAAGAACAATCTTAACCTGTTGACGGGTGTGGCAAACATGAAACGCTCTGAAAAAATGAAAAATGGATTACGATCAGCAAGATTTTGAAGACAAGTAAAAACTATAAAGCTGCAAGAACAATCTTAACTTAACCTGTTGACTACTGAAATCTCTCAGACCCAAAGACGTAACATAGTTTCCATGGGGTTCCCCATAGGCAAAGGCTCGATGTTACATTTGACCTTGACATAGCCAGGGGCGGATCCAGCCGGCGGCAAGGGAGGGGGCCAAATAGGGGGCCAAATTTGTGAGAAATATTTGGCGAATAAGCACAGGGAGGGGGGGGGTTTACTCAACACCCACCCCTGCCCCCCCCCCTCCCCCTGTTTGGCATTGCCCCACCACATATCGGATGAGAGGTTTCATCAGAATTAGAGAAAACTGAGCAAGAAGATAACCCCTTCATCCCCCTCTTTAACCATAAACCTGCAAAAAAAGGACTCAAATCAAGACAAAGTTTTCGCTATTCTACTTATGACCGAATATTCAAGTGAGGCACTGTCCAACTGGTCCTGTCTAAGTTGCCTTCGACTAGAACGGGACATTGCTAAGTCATCATGCATACATGGGGCTATAGTGAAGAGGAACAGACGATGAAACACCTTTTAGTCTGCCCCCCCTCCTCCCACAACCCTGTACCGCTAAAGGCCTAGAGGGTTTCACCGCCAAGGCCGGATCCTACTTCCTCCACTTAACCGGGCTTGTGAAGTCACTTGAGTAGGAGAAGAACCTTGACTTATCTCAGGATATTTTTTTATAGCTGAATAATGGGACATAAGTCACTACTGAAAAGGTTGCTAACAACACAATGAAAATGAAAGAATTCTGAAAGATTTCTTTTATTTGTCTCTGAGTCTCTGAGTTAGGGAATACCGATACACATCAACATTTTTTAGACACAGTTGTGCTTGACTTGGATCAATCGCAACTCTTTGTCAGACAGGACCCTGTATTTTCCTTCCCTCATGACTGCCAGGGATAAAGGATGTAAACTTACTAAGGTTGTAGTTCCTACTGAAGAGTGTAGGTCTCTGTAGGATCTCATAGTAGTCAAAGTAGGGTTCTACGTAGGTGACCTGGATGTAGGCTTGTAGAGGGTCTAACTTGGATAGGTCCGGGGTGTTGGAATCCTTGATGGTTTGTACTAAGCCCTCGCCAAAACGATCCGTGTAGAATTTCTGAAATAAATAAAAGAAATCATGAAATGAGAAGTACATGTACTTGTGATTATCCATTGATAAGGCATGAATAAATGTTCTGGTAATAATTGAATCAATAAACCTTTACTACATTATGAGGATGTACTGTTAACAACAGGGGTGATAGTGAGCACTAAAAAAAGAAAAGGGAGGGGGGGGGGAACACAAAGATAAGGGAATAATCAGGAAAATCAGGAAGAAAAAAAAAAAAATAGAAATGGGGGGGGGGGGGAATTAAAACAAATTGGGAAACCTGATTTAAATCAGGTAATTATCAGGCCTGTAATAAAATTAAATACCTCTAGTCGCTGTGCTATTTCGGGCAGTTTAGTGATGGCAGGTTCCTTGTAGACAAACTCTTCTCCGTTAAGATCTCCAAACTTTGGTCCATAGAATCCCACTCTGAAGTAGGTCCCAAAGAGGCGCTTGGGACCCTGGCAATGGGATAAAGAAACGTGTATTTAAGTCAACGGTTAGATTTGATTTTTTTTTTTTTTCTATTTTTATGCCTCCGCTACAAAGTAGCCGGAGGCATTATGTTTTCTGGTTGTCCGTCCGTCCGTCCGTACGTCCGTCCGTCCGTACGTCCCGTTCTCGTGATCGCGTTATCTCAAGAACCAATTGATGGATTTTCTCTAAACTTGGATCATGTATGTATCTTGCAGAGCCAATGAACTGATTAGATTTTGGGGTCACGAGGTCGAAGGTCAACGGTCACAGGGCTCATTATGTATTCAAAAATAGCTTGTGATCGCAATATCTCAAGAACCGATCAATGGATTCCTGCCAAACTTGGGTCATATATGTATCTAACAGAGCCAATGAACTGAATAGATTTTGGGGTCACGAGGTCGGAGGTCAAAGGTCACAGGGCTCATTATGTATACAAAAATAGCTTGTGATCGCGTTATCTCAAGAACCGATCGATGGATTCGTGCCAAACTTGGGTCATGTATGTATCTAACAGAGCCAATGGACTGATTAGATTTTGGGGTCACGAGGTCGAAGGTCACAGGGCTCATTATGTCTACAAAATAGCTCGTGATCGCGTTATCTCAAGAACCGGTCAATGGATTCCTGCCAAACTTGGGTCATGTATGTATCTAACAGAGCCAATGAACTGATTATATTTTGGGGTCACGAGGTCAAAGGTCACAGGGCTCATTATGTATGCACAAATAGCTTGTGATCGCATTATAATGAGAACCAATAGACAGATTACTATCAAACTCAAGACATGTATATATGTATCTTGCAGAGCCAATTAACTGATTAGATTTTAGGGTCATGGGGCTCATTATGTATGACTATAAATAGCTTGTGAATGCATTATTATTAAAACCGACAGATGGATTACAATCAAACTTGAATTTTAAAAATTGCTTCCGTTTTGGTTTGTAAAGTTGCTCCATGGCGGAGGCATCATTTTTGACTGCGCGCAGTCAAAATTCCATCTAGTTTTTTTGTATTACTATATTCTATTTTGTTTCTTCATTTTTTACATTAAGTTTTTATGTATTTTCATATTCATTTTGTAAAAATGTTGTAATTTGAAGAATCAAAGAAAGACAAATTTCAGCTTTACTTCTTGCACTCATCTTTTTTTTAAATTACCAATTACTTCTTTAATTTAAATCCTGGATATTAAAATTATCAATAACCTTTTTTTCTTTCTTGTTTCAATGAAACCAACTACCTTTTAATCTTTATTTGCTACAAAATGACTGGTTCCATTGGTCAATCAAGGTGAGAAATGATGTTAAATTTGTTACTGTGAAGACTTACCAGGACTGAAATCTTGTTGAAAGCTTCTTGTAGCTTGCCATGGATAATGGAGAGTCTCTTGTGTTCTCTGTTAGCTTCATGGATGGGTATGAGAATCTTGTATACCTCATTTACTACCTCAAATAATCCAGCCTAAAGATAAGAAAGATAATATGTGTACACAAGTTATATCATACACAGAAGTATTTGCCATGTGTGAATACAACAAAAGTTTTTGCAAAGTACATTTTTTTTTTTTTTTTTAATTATTTATTTATTTATTTATTTATTTATTTATTCATTTATTTATTTATTCATTTATTATTATTATTTTTTTTTTTTTTTTTTTTTTTTGGGGGGGGGGGGGGTGCCATATCTTTGCCCCAATGGGCAATTTTTATATTTGTAATACTAATTTTTGGGGGTAAATGGTGTTACACCAAGAATAAGTCTCTACAGCACACCTGCATTATCCCTTGAGTTAGATTTGCAATCATTACAAAGGCGGCATGTTAAGCAATCCGCCTGTTACATCAATTCATGAATTTCTAGATTCTGTTGAAGTTGAAACCATAACCCAATAAAATAAAACCTGGAGCAACAGATCAGTGGTTACATCTTTAGATTAAGTATTTTACCCAATTTTAACCAAGCCAGGTGCATTAGAAGGATACTTGGCAATACAAAGGAAAGAATAATTGCAGGACCTTAAGGAATAGCATTAGTAATACAGACAAGGTTACCCAGGATAAATAAGATCATAGTATCATTAGATTTATCACATAAACTGTCCCGAAGCAAATATCAGGGCCCCATTTCACAAAACTTGTCATCAGTTTCAAAGGACAGTTTTTGTTATAAGCTAGTGAAATCCTTGCTTCTGATTGGTTATCAGCAGATTTGTCCTGATTTTTGTCATTTGTCATTGAAAAAAGGCTTTGTGAAACAAGTCCCAGATCACAGACTATGATCATGATTTGAATCAAGACATCTAAATTGTATACACGTACGTCATTGAATAATGTAGCAGCTTGTTCCAATAGTCCCACCAACCCACTCTCAGTGAAGTACTTCCCAGTGCAGATGCCTTCCTCGTCTGGGGAGACTACATCGTCTGAGACGGCACTCTCTTCTAGCACATTCGGTGAGATTTTCTATGTCGGAAGAGAACAAACAGAACTTCTGGTAATAGACCAGTTCACGGTGAGTACATGTCCCAAATGACCCCGAATATCCACATATCTTCAAATCATGAAGAGGTCCCACTTTTAAATAATCACTCCACCTGTGTATCATGGAGTGCACTGCTTGTGCTAAAATGAATAATAATTACAAAACTTTTATGGGCACGTATCCAGTATTTTGTCTCTGTGTATTTCACAATCTGGGGGGCGTTTCACAAAGATCCTAAGTCAAACTTAACCCTAAGTGGGACTTAAAAATTATGGAGAGCCATCTGTAGCCTTAAAATAAAATGTATTCAATAGCAAAAATTCAAGTATTTTAGGCTTTTTATAAATTCAACATCAAGAACATGAAATCTCCTCGATATTAGAAAATATGAATGATTTGAATCAATAGTTTATGCCTTTTAAAATAACTTTTACAGAATATTTTCATAGATGCTAATGGCTTTCCATAATGGTTAAGTCCAACTTAGAGATAATTTCAACTTAGGATCTTTGTGAAACACCCCCCTGGTCTGCAATGACCTTTATCTGCTCATGCTCAGAGTGCAACTATGAACTGGCTTATACCTTATAATCATCATATTAAAGATGATGCAATCGCTACATAAAAATAAAGACTTCCTTTGAACTGCTCTCTTTGTAAAAGAGTAGGATAAACTCCAGTTTAATGGCGCATCTGTACATCCTCATCAGTTTTATCAGGATGAGAGATCAAAGGGTCACATTGACTAAGTTCACTTTTCCCTTCCCAGGCACAGGTGACACCAAATCATTAATGATAACAATACTAAAAGTACATCTACAGTAAAGCATCAAGCACTGGCTGCTGGAAGGTTTTTTTTTCTAGCTGTAAAACTTTGCACAAAACCAAAGAGAGAAAATCCAAGTAATGTCTTATCCGCTTGTTACCTCAAACTTGACACAGCCGACTGGCAGGTGTTGACGGTCTTCTAGCATGTGCAGGTACTCAGCAACGAGGGCAGCAGAATGGATCAGGCACTCGGCAGCCTCTGTCAGTTTGCCGTGTTCGTTGAGCTTCCCGGCCATGTTCTGGAGCCAAGTCAATCTTAGGTCTGGAGAGTTCTGGTACCTGGGGGAAAATTGTCAAAATTACATGTAGCTTAAAAAGTTCAACAGAGTTTGCCACCTGTGTCTCCATAAATAATTGTTTAATGTTAACTTTCCCCTGAATCTTGAGTAATGACGAGACCTTGTTAGAAGTACAGTCAAATCTGCTTGAGTGACCATTTGTTTATAAAGACACTTTTTGACTCCCCTAAATAGTGATTTACATTGAAACGTGTATTAGATCAGGGTGTATTCCATAGAGCGTAATTGTCTGAAGGAGAAATTATCCTGTAGGATTATTTACCCAGACCCAGGCTAGGGGGAGATGGGGTACTTTGTAATACTTGAAGTTATTTTCCTAGGGGGTACGGGTCAGTTATCGTAATGGGTAGTTTTCCATAGAGTAGTTGTTCTAACAAAGGATGGGTGATCGTCTAGGGGACAGTTGTCGTCCTAGAATGAAAGTCAGAATGTGAAAATCTGGGGGCGTTTCACAAAACTTGTCATCAGTGACAAATGTTATAAGCTACTGAAATCCTTGCTCCTGATTGGTTATCAGCAGATTTGTCACTGATTTTTGTCATTTTTCATTGAAAAAAGGCTTTGTGAAACAGGTCCCTGGACTTACCCCTTGGCGATGCGGTACATCAAGTCTACCAGCATCTCGGTATCCTGCTTGAATTCCTTCATCTTGACGGTGTCGGAGAGGATCATGTGAAGGTTGAACACCAACTCACGCACCTGGAGAGAATTTCACATTGACACTCAACAAATGGAACACTAGAGAAAGATTTTGTTTATACCAGTGGGAAATTACATGTTTTTAACAACATCTTAATTACATCATAGTTTTGATTCATCACAAACTCCTTGCCAATATCTAATAAAAGTAAGAGCCATATCATTGTCAGTGCATGTGTCAGCCAGCATGTCTTAGCTCAGTAGATGGTCCAAGGTCTTCTTCTCCAATCTAATTGACCATCTCATTTACATTGGCGAAACAGGACCTCACCCTTTGGTCAAGATGTCTCAAACGTGGATGCTCAAGCTCTACCTCCTCTGAAGTGTCCTAACACATTCAAATCGAGTCCCCAGGCGACCACATGGACATAAATAACTTTGGATAGAGAACCATGTTACGGGGCGTTGGGGCGTGCGCCTGTAATCCAGCTAAAAATGGAATTTACAAACTGATTCAGCCCAGGACGCAGGTTCGAAACTGAGTCACGTCTTTTGGATGGTGACATTAAAGGGTGGTCCCCAGACGTAAATAATCATATCTGATTGATACACGTCTGTAAAAACCTAATTACACACACACACACACCATGTTACTTTAAAAGGGGATTAATGGGTGCTTTTTACATCAAGGCCTTCAATCATTCTCTCAACAAAGACACATGGGGCACTACTTATTACCAACTGTCTATGACCCAGTTTGAGTTAAAACATGAAAAGCATGAAAGGGAGAAAAGGAGATGAAAAGCCCTGTACCTGTTCAGGGAATGTAGTTTGCTGTAGCTCTGTATCATCCTCAGCATAGGTCAGGATGGTCTTGAGGGAGCGTCTCAGGTACTCCTCGTTGAAGTTGGTTTCCGTTCCAACCAGGCACGAGAGGGACATGGTCACCTGCATCTTCACTCTCGCAAAGTTCTATGAGGATAGCGCGGAGGACAAGAAAAGATGATATATGAAGCGTCCTTTAAAAACATATACCATTAAAATGCTGTTTATTTTACTATGCACGACTGAGTAGCGTTACCTAATACACAGTTTCAAAAGTTCTTTCACAGCATTCATTATACAAGTTATATATATTTCTCATGATCAACATCGAGTAAGATAGACATATTATAATAAAGTGTAATTCAGTATTATTTTCATCACAATTTTGTAACCAAAAAAAAAAATTAAAAGAGAAGAAACGTAACCTGTAATATTTCAAGCTTGCTTTTAAAGACAAAGAATGGGGTTACCTTCTTCAGCTTATATTCCACCTACATTTTTTTTTTAAATCAGAAGTACATAGCATAGCAAGTTAAAAGGTAAAGACCAGTATTGGAAACGCCCCAATTTCAAAAAATGAAATGGAAGCTCTTATTACCAATCATGTGAAAAAATATGTTTTGAATAATACACGATGATAAAAATTTTGCCGGGAAACTGCCTGCTAATTGATATATTTGGTAAATTAGTTTATCTATTGGGATGTGAGAGATAAAAAATGCACATGTGCGTAGTCCCATATACATCTTTCTGTGTACATGCTTGTAACTTTATGAAGACTGGGCCCAATTCTTATCATTTCAATGATTCCAGAACCTTGCAGTACATCTACGCTAGATGATCAACCTTTTCTGATCGATTTCACAACGTTTCTTTCACAATGCAATCGCATGACCATAACTGGTCTTTATCTTTAAAGGAAGAAACTAGGAAAATACAGATGAAAACAAAAATGTATGTTATGTGTTTTAACAAGCATTACTTATAATTCATTCTTACAAGGAAGAATGTCTCATCAAGCAACCCTGATATGAGTAATATAAATGAGCATAACTTACATTTCCAATCTCAAAGTTCTGTCTCATAAGTAGATAGAGAGAAGCGCTGGCATGGGAGCGTACACTGCTGATACACGAGCTGCAGTGATGTAGAAGACGAAGGCAAAGGTCTGCACACTGCTCGGTCTGCTCCTCAAACAACAGCTCAGGGTACTGCAAGTTTGACATGAATGTAATAGTAAATGCAATAGTAACAGTAATAGTGAATGAAATAGTAAATGTAATAGAGAATGAAATAGTGAATGTAATAGAGAATGAAATAGTAAATGTAATAGAGAATGAAATAGTAAATGTAATAGAGAATGAAATAGTAAATGTAATAGAGAATGAAATAATAGAGAATGAAATCGTGAATGTAATAGAGAATGAAATAGTGAATGTAATAGAGAATGAAAAAGTGAATGTAATAGTAAATGTAATAGTAAAAATACTAGATAATGAACACTGATTATACATAAGCTACAATGATGTAGTAGACAAATGCACAAGTCTTTACACTGCTCTGTCTGCTTCTCAAACAACAGCTCCTGGCCTCTCAATGGTCAAAATAGCAGGCATGAAATACACTACCAATTCCTGGGCAGTATAGCGAAAATATTTACCACGCATTGCTTTCCTTGCTTGTACAATGCAATGACACAATAGATGCGCATGGAGTTAACAGTGGATATGGGCCAGTGAGACACATGCAATACTCTTAGATTGGTAGATTTTCTACAAATAAATACACTTTGACTGACATATTTTGTCAAAATACATGTATCCCTTTTTGAGAATCCACATGCAAAATGCAGTCTATAAAACAAATATTGACTGTTTTTTTTCTTTTGGCAGTCATGGTTTTTACTATAGCTCCTCGAAGATCTCTTGAGACTGTACTATGCCAATAACGTTTCAAGATCTTGTGGGCAACAATTTGCCCCTCAAATTAATCAATATTTGAATAGTACAGTAAATGTAATGGTGAATGTAATAGTGGAAGTTATTTAAAAGAGGAACTCAAAATAAAATTTTGACAGGACCCTCATTCAAAAAGAAACCTCCATAAATTTGCTCATAATCTCAATATTAAATTTGTAAACAATGAATGGTGAAACTGATAAGTGGAACTATGCAATACCTTGAAGACGAGAGAGCGTTGTGTGGCAAGAATACTCTCCATGACTATGGTACTCTGGTTACAAGCTAAGGCATGTAGAAGGACTGTCATGATGCCCGTCAAACAGCCTTGGAGATGATCAGTCTGGGACACAGTCTGAACAAGTACAAAAATGTAAAAACACGCTAATATTCTGTTTCTAGCAAACATATCCTTTATTTGGAGCCAGAGGGTGTTAACTCATATGCTTTAAAACAAAGTTAATGCTCTTCTGCGTTTGAACAGTAATAATATGTCCTCACGTGTTTCTATGTCTAATATAACTTAATTTCCCTTGCTTACAGCCTTGGCAGCCATTTTCAGGGCAAATATATTTCAAGGTGGGTATTCTACAAGGTGCGCACTTACACTGATACACATGGGTCTAGAGAGGCAATTGAAAATAAAATGTTTTGTCGAAGGACGTACATGTACACATTAGGCTCATAAATTCAAATTATACTGAATTTCAATGGAACAGATATGCTTGTTTTAATTCCTGTTTTGTTGTTAATGTTGTTGTTTTTTGTTCTTCCTTTCATTCCCGCAGTCCTAAAATCCAGGAGTGAAACACACAAACACTGAAGCTGGGACCCAAACAAAATTTCTGATCAAACATTTGTGTCCAATACTACAAATTCTCAAGTAACAATCAACATGTTAAATATACTGCTGAGGGGCAACCTCTTTCTCATTATTGAATGATAGGCAATTTTAAAAATTGCTTTAATAAAAATTCTGACCAATAAGGAGAACACATATACAATGTATATCAAAGCAGACATTGTTCGTATGTAGATAATAACAAACTTTGAGCAAGCCATACAAAAAAACAAGAGGGGGTGATCGACTTTTCTTGAAGGTTAGATCATACCTGTACTAGAAGTTCCATGGCATCAAGCACAGCAAATGAGACTTCATTGGCCAAGAGAGCCTCCAAACGAGCTTCTACTTCCAACTCAGCCTTTGGTCTAATAATGGGGAAGATACAAAGAATGCGGGATGATTAGTTATCTCATACAGACAAGTGCATCCTTGAGACTATAAAGCATAATCATTCTGTTAGGTATATCATGTACATGTACAACATCAAAATGCGCAAGTGTGGATACATGAACACTGCAGAAGACTCTACAGTGAAGACAGGGCCCCTAGACCATAGACTGAGGGACCTGGCTGAGGCCAACAGGCTTCTCAACATTTGGTCTGGAGGGCCAGTCAATTTGTGGTCTGAGGGCCGGCTGATATGTATTTTATAGCTTGAGTTGGTCAGTCGCATCAAAATTCCCAAACCAAATCTTCAGTCTCTGTCCGCGCGGCCCACACATGGTGTTTCAAACGTAAGCAAATGATGGGATCAAGATCTATGCTGGATTCTGTTGCAGTCAATATCTAGTGTTATAAGATGATGACGTGGATCCTAATCAAGTGACGTACACGTGACCAGGCATTTATTTTGCCTAACACGTAATTTGATAATGACCGGTCATTAGTAGAATCATGTTATAAACATCATTTTATGTGGGTTATTCTTACTAATGCCCTCACTGCTGTACATTATTTGAATAATTCTCTACCCACCTTTCAGGTATATCTGCATTCTTTCTGAAGTGTGTAAGATCCTTCCTCCATCTCAGTCTCTCTGCTTGACCCAAGGCTGGGCTGAACCCACGATCTCCTGCAGTGCAGTGGAACAAAATTTGAACATATTTAGTGAAACATGCAAACAATGCAAAGATTTATGTAGGAACTCTCCACTGTAGCAGATGGCATAACGTGACTTTTATACAACCATTTGTTTGAGGTCATAAAAAAAAAAGACTTGTTAAACTTGGCTTTTGCTTTAAAGGCAGTATCATTTTGATAACATATTAAACGAAAAATTGCATTTGACCTTTTACCCCTCGGCTAAGATGTAATCACATAATTCTTCAATTAAGATGAATACTGTTATCAAGTCACGATTGGATTAAACCTCAGAATGTTCTTTGAATAATCAAACTGTCAAGATATGTGGAGTACAGGAACACAAATATAGCACGGTGCCCCCAGCGCCATCTTTAGGGCAATTCCTTGCATTGTGGCCTGTAAGACATAAGACGTTATCCTTTTATTTCATGTAACGATGAAAATCTCTTGAAACGACCACTGACTAATGGTTCTTTAGTCATTACGATTGACTAATAGTTTTGTTTAGCATCAGTAACATTATTAAATGGTCATATCAAGATAATTATTTTTAATTTTGGGTTGAAATAAATGGGAAAAAAGACATGTGTCATACAGGACACTGTGCATGGAATAGCCCATCAGTGGCAAAGGTCAAAAGTTTCAATTGCTCTCTGACCTGATGATCCTTGTCTTGTATGTCTCTGCATCATGTCACTCCTAGCACTAGCTGTCCCCAAGATGGCTTCCTCTAGGCGCTGCTTCACATCGTTCTTCTTGAAGGACATCCTGTTCATGCGACGGATGATGGCACTCCTACCCTGTAGCAGTGACGAAATCAGGTTTGTGGTTAAGAGGACATTACAAATCAAGCTGTCATCACTTGGTCTAGTATACAAATGACTCATTCGTGAATGAGTCCATTATACAATATAAATGCATTGATTTGAGGCCGTGTCCCTCTACTGTACAAAGCCTGAGGACGGTAGGTGTAAACAGCCTCAAGAAGAGCGAATAGATTGTATATTGGACAAAGTAAGACATGCGATATATGATTTATGCAAGTCAACTCCTAACCCTGCCAAACCACACCCCACTGTACGAAGCCTGACACCTTTGTTTGTTAGGTGCGGATAGAGCGTATAATGAACTCATTTGCATGCATAATTTGTATAATAAACACACCAATAATTGTAAGAATTCTTTAAAGATATTACCCACATTTTCTCCAAAATAGATGACAGATCTCTAATCTTATTGACAAATCAAAGTAGTCATTATACCTTGTATTCAAAGCTGTAGATGCAATAGAACATGATATCCAGCATCTTATTAACCCGGGTCACTCTCTGAGAAGCCCAGATCTGCTGCAGGGTCGTGGGGTCAACGTTCTTAATGACCCAGATGAAGCACATCAAGAGGTCACGGGTAGACTCCTCAGACAGGGGGGTTTTGCCTTGAGGCGGCCGCTGAAAGAGATAAAGAAAACTGTATAAGGTCTTCTTCTATCTGATGGGACTAAACTACACGTATGCTTTCCAAGTTTGGTTAATACCTATGTGTATTTGTATACCTTGAGAATTTAAAGCTAATTTAATGGAAGAGAACACAACAAATATGACAAATCGTTTAGCCTTTATACTTTAATAGTTCCTTGAAGTTTGATATTGATAATGTAAGCAATGTCATAAAAGATCAGGTACAGGATAGATAAAGTAGCCTTTATGTGTACCATACACGTACATTATCAACAGGTGTTCAGCTTTGTATCATTTTCTGCCAACAAATGAGTATCATCTTAAAGCCTGTCTGCACTAGTTTGGTCAGGAGGGATTAGACCACCCTGCTGGTCACTGACAGGTGGTTATCCCTTCAACTCAGCTCTTAAATAACATAAGAAAAAGAGGATCATGGGGGACCAACAGCACCACTTAGGCATTGATTTCTATATAAAGGGAGCAAGTAGTTTCAAGTAATACAGTGGGTTTAATGCTTGCAGAATAATAATAATAGCTATATTGTGCACATATCCACCTCAGGGGATGCTAAAGGTACCTACAAAGTACTATCATTCCCTTGGCTTTAGCCCTGCTTCCCCAAGGTGCTGAAAGCTTTCAAGGAATAAAATTCACACCAGGTAACAATTTACATCACCTGGTTGGCGAGTGGCAGATTGATGTCTTGCCAAAGGACACCGCACCTGTGTCTTGTACAATGACAGGACTCACCTGTTCGTTTTGGGCAGGGTTGGCCCGCTCTGCTGCTGCTGCTCCTGCCGCTCCTCCCGCTCCTGCTGCTCCTCCTGCTCCTCCTCCTGTGAAGATGCTTGTTCCAGCTATCGCCATAGCAACTGACTGATTCATAGGAACATCCACATCATCCATCTCCCCAAAAGATGCAGAGGGTCTGGCTTTGGGGTCCACAGCAGCACAGTTCAGCTGCGGCAACGCGTCAATGATGATACCCAAGAGTGGGAGATAGAGGGCGGCAACACGCATTCGGCATTCGCGCATAGAGAAGCGCTGGTCAGCATCATGAGAGGCTAGAAGGTTGCTGACGGTGTCGATGGCCTGACGATGTAAGTTGCTATTGCTACACAAACAAGATATAGGGAGGAGGAGTGTCATTGCCAATCTTTATGCCAATGTTACTTTGGATGTTAATGTCAGCAACATGGAAACTGACATTGTTACCATTAATTTCAATGATTATGAATGATTTGTTAAAACTGTAAATCAAAATCTTGACAAAGGAAGTATCATATTGAAATGAACATAAGAATGCCATGAGTATCCAGAGCAAAGAACATGGTAAAGACAATCTGAATAATTATTTCAAATAACACCAGAAGATCAAATGTTAGAATGAGTAGACACAATTCAAGTAAAATGGCAAAAATATGAAGCAGGTCAGGAACAGGTTACTTTGAAACAAGGGCCATGTCTGATAAATAGTTGTGATTGATCCAGATCCATCGCAAGGTCCTTTATCAACTGCAAACTTATGAACTCCTGTCTCATTTGTACACAGGTGTGATCAATTTCAAGCTGCAATTGATTTGAAACGATTGGAACAATTGGAACTGATAGTAAGACAGGTCAAAGGTTATTCATATTGGACTATTTTAATATCTTTACTTGACTTGAAAGGTTTAGCTAGTGTAAAGAAATAGATTGATCCTAGTGGTAGAGTGGTAGTATTGAACAATAATGCATACTGTGTTGTGAGGACATTGGCCAGATCAAGGAGAAGCAAAGCCGCAAGGTAGTGCTGCTGTCTGTAGTCGTACGACAACTCGGCCATCTTGTTTGTGTCTCCCAGCTGTGTCAAGGTTGTCTGGATGGAGATGAACGATGCGATGGAGTTGGTGCTGGTGATAGAGGGGGTCGGCGATGGGGGTCGAGAGAGGGAGGAGGAGGTGGAGCTGGATTGCTGGAAGGGGAGGTTGAGGGTGACGTAGTGCTCGTGGCTGCAGATGATGCGCAGGAAGTCAAGCTTGAGTAAGGCCAGCGTGGTGGGGTCGTTGAGAGCAGTGATCTTACCAGATACCTTGAAGATAGAAGAGTGAAAAGATCATTGTTTACCAGTCATGAACAAGAATACATCTGTCTTCATAATTGAGTGGTTATTGGCCTCATTTGACATTTACACTTTCATTTTGTTAATTTACTAAATCAGCAAGCTCTCTCAGAGTTCTGGTGGGTCGATCAAAGTGGTCACTGTCGATTCATGATCAATTGATATAATTCAAATAGTGATATACGTGTTCACAATAATATTATTAATGTATACAACAATAATATAAATGTACACCTTAACGTTCACATCTCAATTAATTCAAAATATCACTTCATTACAAGAAGAAATGTGTTGTTCAAGAGATATATGCGTTCATTTTTTTTCTTCAATTCCACGGTTGTATAACATATAAAGTTTCAATCAACTGTACTTCCCCAAAATTAATATTATCCCCTTCAATCATATCTTTACAATCAATAGTAACTCAAATCAATTTTAAAGATAAAATCAAAAGATAAGATCCATTTAAGCAGGATTGGAGATACATCTTTACAAATGACTCTACGTCAAATTTTAAGTAACAGGGCCTGGCCCAGGAATCATTTCCAAACACTTTGTTAGTAGTCCTCGACACCCAGTCCATGTTACCTGTTTGACATAGTTGTGAATGAGAGCAAGAGCAAATCCCCTGTCCATCAGGGTAAGAAGCTCCTGGAGAAAGAAGGCTAGGCTGGCATTCAGCAGCTGCATTTGTCTGACATCCTGGTACAAAGAAAGGTAAAATATAGACATTGGCATACTGATGGCATACATGTATGTTCTAAGGAATTTGATATGATTAATTTATGAAGAGTATCAGCAATAATTTCTGTTTTTGTGATTTTTTCACACAGATATTAGGGCACTGCCATGGAAATAATACATTTTCTGATTTAAATTTTAAAGCAATAATGATATTTGACGTTTCTCTTTGGACTGCAACAACCAGATTGATGAATGTTCAGAAATGTTCAGCCTCTCACTCTCACTTTCAATTCATACCCAAGACTACAATAGGTCTGAATCATTCAGTACCCATTACCCATACTGTAATTACCCATCCCATTCCAAAATTTTCAACATTATTTCAACATCAGCAACAAGATATATTTTTCAAATTTATGATGACAAACAAGGAAACAGAATTGGTTAGTGAAAGTAATAACTCATGGCTCTGTGATGTATACGTACATGCCAACATTTGAAAATCAGAAATCTGTACAAATTATGCTATTTAAAAAAAAAAGAGGAACAATCCTAACTCTCCTATTCAATACTACAGACAAATTTGTACAGGAAGAGGAACACCTGCATTAAAATGATAATTATCTTCTCCCAAAAAGAGGAATGTTCCTCTTTAATCTGAACAGTTGGCATGTATGTGTATATAATTTATGATTTCAATATTCATGTTAAAATTGTGACATTGGAGATCATGATTGAATGAATAAAATTTCAGCTATTAAAGCAACCACCTGATTTTGTGCTAATTATTACTATTTTGTAATGTTTATTTTGAAAAGCGGAGGGGGGGGGGGCGATTGACGTAATAACAGAACAGCTCTAGTAAAAGCACAAACCTAATGAATGTTTCACACACCACCATGCAAACCTTAACATTTAATGAATCATCTAACCCTATCCCCTTTGGAAACAGCTTATAGCTGACAAGGGCAATCCAACCCATGAGTGGAGAATAAATAAATAAAAAAATATATAAAATAAAAATCAAAAAAACCTCACCTTGTTGAACCTGGCAATGATTTCTGATGTAACCATAGTAACCACCGAGTTGATATCATTGCAGAAGCTTTCTGTAAATCTCATCCTACGGTAGGAGTCCAGACGCTCACAGTCAGCAAGGTGCTGGGCCATACTCTTCACCTGTTTCATGATTGAGACACAAATATTTAGAAATTGATGATTTGACAGTTTGTTTTACCCGACTGATAAGAAATCATGTTCATGCTTGTACTTAAGCATTTACGGGACCAACAGCTTTAAGTTCTCTCCAAGGGACTTAAAAATGAGGTTTGATGCCTTACTTAAGGTCATTAGCACGTCAACTGGGTTTTGAACCCAGAACCTCCTGGTTATAAGACCACTCCTCTACCATTGAACCCTTTCCTTATTAATAAGTGAAAGAAGTTTGTTTATTCAACACTTTCATAAAACATTACAAATATACAAGTAGATATTATTAAACATCTGTTTGACAAGAATACAGTGAAAGAAACAATAACAAACCTTTCACTACATGTAAAAGTGTCAGAGAAACAATAAAAACAGGGTCTTATTTAACGCTGATCTTTTTTCCACAAGAAGAAAAGATAACGGACACTGGACAAGCACTTGCTACTCTAGGAAAATACACTACAGACACCTTTCAAATCATGACGAATCATGAAGGTTGCCCATGGTATTCTTGACTATATCCTTTTTTAAATCTTAAAACCTCTGTAATTTCTTTAACCTGGTTTGTACCACAATACTGTGTATAACACCTAACCCACTGAGTACTGAATTCTCTACTTCCAACATACTTAATATAGGGACCATCCGGTTTCAGTATGATGACAGGTGATTCTTGATTTTTAAAACTAGCATAGGTGGACTCAAAAATAATGTTGGCCCTACAGTACTTCCATTTAAAAATCTAAGATAAGTCAAATAATTATCTTATGAAGATTGTATTTAATTGATCACAAATCATCCAATTAATCACACATTAAGGATTGCCTACCACTATATTAAGCTTCAAACACTACAACAAGACCCAATCCATTAAAACATGGAAGTAATAATGATATTATTATTTACTGGAAAACTTCAATACTTACAATGAGTTCAAAGAAGAACCAGGCATGACTGAAAGCTTTCTCCTTGGCCTTGCCATTAGATACTACAAACTGAAGAGTTAGTTCTTCATGGACAAGCTGAAAAGAAAAGGAAACAGTGAAATCTAGTATGAATATTGTAATACAAGATTTATAAATGCTTGATTGATTAACAAAGACAAAACATAAATATACAAGTGTGCAGAATATTGTCAAATACATAAATGTTTAATAAAACATTATTTTCTAGCTATATTCTTGAGAAATAAAAATACCACATTGATTATGAATATTCAGAATAATCACCTTTCTTCTCTTTTCTCTCTCTCTCTCTTTCTTTTTTGTTGGGGGGGGGGGGGGGGGGGGGGGAGGGGGGAGGGGGGAGGGGGTCTCCTCCCAGTATCTACAGCTATTGTTATCTATCTCTTTGCATATCTATATTTCCCATCATTCCTTGACTGATATGTATATTTGCCATTTCCTATTAAGCATCATTTAATGCTTGTACCATTACATTAATTTGTACATAGTCCTATGGTTATGTTTACAAATGTAGATCTCTTGGTTAATCAATGTACTGACAATCACATACTTGCACGTTCTTACTATATTAACTGAAATCAAATCATTAATGCCATCAATCTTCAAAACTATGACAAAACTCCCTCTCACCTTCCGAGGAGGCACCCGTCCACCGAGTCCAATCACCGGAACGTTTCCCATCCCAGTCCCGGACCTGCTCGGTGACCTCGCCGACCCCTGACGCTCGCTGCCGAAGCGGTTGTGCAGGATGGCATCCATGTCATCCTCCGGGGAGGCTGGGATACTCAGACTGGTGCTGGAGTTCCGCAGGGCCGCGCGGTGCTTGAAGTTGAGACTGTTGGAGCGGGCGACGGTGCCGTAGTTGCTGAAGTTCATGGATTGGGTGGGTGTGTGTGGGGAGAGCCCTTGAATGAATACAAGCGAGTATATTTCATGATATATGTAGCAACATTTTGTTCCACTCGTTTGCAGTGTGTTAAAAAGAGGATTAAAAGACAATCATACATGTCACTAAGAGATGAGAGTATGACTCAAAATGGACCCTTCATGGGAGGGGGGGGGGGGGGGGGGGGGTAAGGGTAAAGGTACATGTAACACCATACCTGCCAACATTTGAAAATAAGAATTAGGAATTTCTAGCACGGTATGCCTTCAAAAAAAAGAAATCTGTACCCTTAACAGGCAGCAGCAGCATAACCGGCAATACATGTAGGTGGTAAATCTGTACAAAAAAGCAAATACAAATTCGCTGCTCGATCATGCAGCCATTCAATACACGCAATACGTGAACTCTCAAATTGGGGCACATGATAAAACAAGCTTAATTTGGCTTAACCAAAAACCAAAAAAAATAAGAATTTTGAATAATCAGAATATTCTGAATTTTTAGGTCCTAAAAATCCAGAAAATCAGAATATTCTGGATTATTCGGAAGGGTTGGCAAGTACCCTTATTAAATCCTACCCAAACAATTGATAAGCCCATATAATACATCCATTTCTGAAGACAAATACATTTTTTAGCTCTCCCTTCAGCATTGTCAGGAAATGATCATGCCTTCACAATTTTCTATATCTTTGATGTGGCATAAAGTAAATTGTTTCTTCCATTTATATATTCTATCCCAACAACGTTGTATTTTCATGTCAGGGCTTTTAAGTGATTTCATTTTTTTGCACCAGTGCACTTTCAGCATTTGATTTCAAATGGGTTTGCCATCTTGCTTGTTTTACATGTCAATGTTATTATAATAATAATAATAAATACTTATAAAGTGCACTTATCTAATGACTTACTCAAGGCGCTATACAAAACAAATTACACAAATCTCCCTCCAGAATTTTAACAACACACTATCATTAGTAACTCTCAGTAAATAAAACCGTTTAAACATGTTTCTGAAAGGTTTCTAGGCATTGTTAAGTAGTGTTTTGTTACAATCATTATTTTAAATATTTCACCATGCACTCCATTACAATGATGTCTGTATAAATAAACGGCTGAAGACACACATACCCTTACCAGTAGCTCCAGCCACCATGTTGGTATTGTCAGCGTCAGGAGGCCTGAAGACATAGTGGACAAAGGATGATAGGAGGGTGTTACGTCCATGGTTGTCCAGTCTGTTGTCCAGTAGGACATGCAGCCGATCAACGATCTCGGCCATCGTCTCAAAGCACACTTGACCCATGTTCACTGAAAAATGTGAGGTAAGGGTATGAATATATTTATATGAAATTACAAGCAGATTCATTAATCAATCAAGCTACTCTTATTACAATAAACAATACACATAAATAAAGGTCAATCGATCAATCGGTACACAAACTGGCTAATCGATCTATAAATTAACGCCCCAAGCAACTACATCATTTATATAAATGTGACAATTCCATGCATGGAATTGCAATGACACTATTAATCATTTATGAATTGCCAGTTCTGGGTACATGTACCCACTACTTAGCAGATGATGCCAGTGCATATCTGTTATAGAAAGGTGATCAATGAAAGAACTAGCGAGAAAACAAATTATAACAACTGAAAAAGAATAACTTCTGAACTCTGTCAAAAGCAGGTCTGTCAAATACCATGATGACACTGAGGAGACCGATATCAGACAGACAACAGAACAAGCAAACATTACATTTTAGGAATGGTAAAGACTTTGATTATCAGTTGTTTGGCAGTATGACTGGGATGTATTCTTTCATTTTCCATTAAAATTTATACATGCAGTGCATTAAAGTACAGAATAGAACTTAAGGTGAATGCACAACCGGGCTCATCAATGGTTCACAAAATATTGTTTCATTCACAAATCCTTACTCACCGATATGACCATTGATGATAGGTGCCTTGACCATCATTAGGATGAGCTTGTCCAGGACGATATGAAGGAACTTGACCAGTGGTTCGGCCACAGCATGACCAAGGTTGATGGTGCTGGCTATCAGCTCCCCCTCCATGTTCTGATCTCCGATGGATCGAGGAATGCTTCCCTGCTCGACGGCATGGCAGAGGTGTAAGAATCTGTCCACCTTCTCATCCTGCAGTGGAAGATGGAGGAACAAGAAAGATGTGTGCACTGTACATTCAATTCAATTCAATACTTAAGTACAAAATCTAAGCTGTTTACTTAGTATTTGGCTTAGATAAAATACCTCACCAATTTTGGTATTCAATTCAAAATTTTGGCTAAGTATTTTACCCTAAATCTAAGCCAACTCCATACCAGACTTAAGCCAATTATTTGAAGTCCTTGATTGGCAGGCATATGGTTTTCTTATGCAGTATTATATCCTGCGCACAAATTATATTGGCGCGCATTTATTGCAATGCCTTAATTGCGCATTACTTTTGATTGACCGTGTGATGTCACAATGCTTATCAGTTAGTATTTTACTTGGATTTTTTCTTACGTAAGTCTAAAATGCGATTTGAATACGAGATAACTAAAAATCTTAGCTTAGCCATTTACTTCGTAAATTTCTTACTTACCGTATGCTAAGTATTGAATTGAATACCGGCCCTGGGCCCCATTTCACAAAACTTGTCATCAGCGACAAATGACATGTTTTGTTATAAGCTACTGAAATCCTTGCTTCTGATTGGTTATCAGCAGATTTGTCACTGATTTTGGTAACTTTTCATTGAAAAAAGGCTTAATGAACGGGTTCCAGAAATGAAAATCTTACATTATGCTAGGGCAAAAGGATTGAATAAGAACATTGAGTATTTATTTAACCATCTTTTGAATAAGCACTAACGATGGCTGTATTGTGACATAGATAGGTCAAGGTAACAAGTACACGCCATATAATAATAATAGTAATAATAATAATAATACTCAGTTTTTATATAGCACTTATTAGAATCACTAAGCGCTTCCAAACTTGGATATTATTACCCGGGCTTTAGCTGTGCTGCCATTGCGGCGCTCTAGCATTTCAAAGAATTAATTCCTGCAAGGTACCATTTACATCACCTGGGTCGAGTGTGGCAAATGTAGATCAATTTCTTGCCAAAGGACATTAGTGCCGTGGCGGGTCTCGAACCGCGGACCTTGTGAAATATGTGAAATCGTAGTGGTACGTTTGCAGGTCTGTATGACTATGACACCTCAGAGTCTGCTATTCATGTAGATTCGTCTTACCTGAGGATGTACTGAGGAAACTCCCTTGAGAGTCACACTGAACAGCTGCTTGTGTCCATCCACCCACTTCATTCCTGGTAGCTGGACCTGGAAGGGTCAGTGAGAAAACACAACACCATTTACAATAGGTGGGACAATAGGAGAATATTTTAGACTTACTTGAGACTAGATGGTGTTAGTTTGCTCAATAAAAAGATGGGTTTAACATCATTAGTAGAATTTGTGATGATACAAAGTGCACTCAGACTTAGTAGCACATCCCCATGGTGAATTATGAATTGCCTACATCCAATGCAGTGCATGACTTAAAACTGTATGATATGGAGCCAGGAGGGCATTATCTCTGTGTAAAATGACACGAGCTCCCCAAAAGAAAATTTCAAAGATAAATCCATCATTGCATATCATTCCTAGTAGAGAAATAACATTGTAAATACAGGAAAATATACAGTACATGTGTATATCCTTTTATCTTCTCAAAGAAAACAAAATCATTTCCAGTACGAGCTATACCAACAGGCTTGCAAAATTGTCAGACAAAACAAACACAACAACTCTTACTGGAGACATTTCACATGCATTTCCAGTGGCTCCAAACATGAAATACATACATGTACATGTGCAGGTGTATCTTGGATTTCTTATTCAATGTATGAAGGAGAGCTATTCTTTTTGAAGAACAATGAACAAATTCAGGCGCTAGCTGACTGATGTATCTACTGTACAGTGAACTCCAACATTGCCCCTTTTTGTAGATATTTGGGCGGAGTCCGAGTTATTTGGTCATTTGCTGTCCAATGTGTTACCAAAAGTAATGGTAAAATAACATATAAAATCTGAAGTCTTTGTTTCCTTGATAATTGGTTTGATGCAAGCTCTAGTAGGACTACCAACTTCACATGATTATTAGAATTTAGAAATACTAGAATCCCAGATGTAGTTGGTACAATGTTAGACAAAATATATGTTGGACTTGCCCATTTGCAAAAGGATCATGATTATTTGAATTAACGGTTCACACCATCAAATTGTCCTGGTGGCACTCAAGACAACTTTGACCCTTAGAAGCACCAAAATGTCCTTTGCAGAACTCCAAATGTATGTGGTTCCATAATTTTTCAATAGAGATCATTTGAAATATGAAAAGAGCCCCAGGAGAAAACAAAACAAACGTTGTTGAAAAGCCCTTACCTACATGTACAATGTGAAATAACAGTTACATGTACATTGTAACTGTAGATCTCAGCTAAAATGTATTCTGGTTATAAATGATATTTTCTAGAGCACTATATGTATGTATGTAGCATATTATAAATTAATATGAAGAAATTTCATATCATATATAAATATCTATTATTACCTACATGTTTCCTAAGTTTGGTTTTACAAGATGCAAATTGATTACAGTGTGAGAAATAGCACATGTACATGTATGCTACTGGGGATACTTGTGCTATATAAATAAAAACAACTCTTGATATTTAAACATCCCAAAGAGAACCTCTGCAAGTCCATGCTATCAAATAACTACAAATATCGAGCATGCGCAAAGCAGGCTACTCTGCATGGGTTTATTGTCGTTTGGTCTAAAACCATTTCACCTACTACCTAATTGGTCTATTGCCATATGATCTACACCCAGCCCATCAACTATCTACATGGTCTACTTATAATTTGGTCTAATGATTATGTAGGCTATTACAGTCATTTGGTCTAATTTCTATTTGATCTAATCTCCAATAAGTCTATCACCCATTTGGTCTATTGCTCATTTAGTCTAATTTCCAGTCAGTCTCATTCCCAGTTTGTCTAATGCCCATTTTGTCTACTATTCTATTGGTCTAATAATCATTTAATCATTGATAATATAATAATAATAAACATCAAATGATTATTAGACCTTAGAACTTGTAGTAGACCAAACAGCAATTCATCTCTGTATGTTCTTGGTGGGTACATACTGTACATATAACCAAATGAATATTAACAAATCTCATGAGTACAATTTTATATCCCATGAATAGTTCATTCTTGATACCATCTTATTGAAAAGTGTACAAATGTTTGTAAATTGTCTTTAAATATAGCCATCAAAAACATACAGTACAATGACAATGATGATAAGAAAGAAAATTTATCGACAGTCCTTTTCAGGACTCCCCAATCCTCCCCCCTCTACCTCACATGGTGCAAGTCTACTGAACATTGACAATGATGCTGTGTATAAATACATGTAACAATAGTAACAAAGCAAGCAACTGATACGTTTATATTTAAGAGGTATGTATAAACCATTATACACATCTGAATACAAAGTAATTAAGCATTATGTAGCTTATATATATATATAAGTAAATATTGGGGAAATAATATTGGGGAAATATTATATTCAAGCGTACATGTACATGTATATTTATAGCAATTAAGGGGTCAAAAGTCCAAATATTTATGAGTTGGTAGGGATATGGGTCCACATGTACAGGTATATCACAAAGGCTGGCTAGAATATTAAATGGCAATTTAAGCAGGGTTTTTAAATACCGTAATTACTTACATCATACGCCTGTAAGGCACATATAGATATATATTGGTATGTTGTGTGTAAGTTGATCCCATGGTTAACGCATATGAAGGGATTCAAGAAAGGGAATATAAATGATATACATACACATTAAATTGGCAACACATTTATGCTCATGATCTCCCAGCTACATGTACAAATCTACTAGGATGTGCAGGTTCACAGAGATAGAATGTATTTACTCATCAATAATCTTTTCTTCTTGAATGTGGTGTATGTAAGGTTCTATGACACATGGTTTAGTGACGATTGCTCAGTAGTCAATATCCTGCACTAAACTACATCCTAGTTTGAAACCTAGCAGACAGTGCATACATCATGTACATGTATGAGGTTACTCTAATCCTAAACCTAACCTACATTCCAACAGCAACACTAACCCCAACCCTGATCCAAAATCTTTGAAAAATTAAGCCCAGAACAAATATAACAGGAGAAACTGTCAGGTTATAGTATGTACAGGTGTACCAACAGAAGCACACACGCACATATATATATATATGTACCATATTGCTTATATCACAGTGGTTTACATGTTACACACATGTATAAATCACAATCCCATCAAAATGCTTCAATTTCCTCATTGAATTACATTTTTAGACTCTTTCTATTAGAGTCTTAACATTCAAAATGCTGGTTGGAAGAAATGCATAAAGCCGAGGAGAATGGAAAGCACCCATGAAACCATTTGAAGCGTTGCAAGTTGAATCAGATGGAAATAATTATTTTATACCATGTTTTTTTTTTCATACCATGAATTAAATCCCTTTTCTGCATCACCACAATGATCAGAGCCTATGTTAATGCAAAATGCAATTGAAGAGTGTCTCATGAACATTCTAAAATAATTTTTTTTTTTTTAACAATCTAAATGAATACCTGCCTATGGCTTCTAAAATACACAAAATTGGGATGTTTACTGCTGGAAGATACTGCTTTAATTCATGAAGAGTACATATAGTCTATACTTCAAGCTATATATGGGATACTGATCCATTAAATAATGAGATACTGTACTTGTGCTTTACGAATGATGCACACTGACAAAATGTGATGTGATACAAACAAGTATGTCTAGTGTACAGAGTATCTTCGTGATCGATTGTCCAATTGTATTCTGAGACAAACTTAACTTTTGCAAATCAAGCAGAGTATTCAAGGGCTGATTTATAATGAAGAGCATGTAAATACGAAACCAAATTGGAATGGCATTTATAAAGGAAGTGATCATTATCTTAACACATTTTCAATCACCACTGACTGAATGAAGATGAAATACTGAATATTGTAAAGTAAACCTGTTAATAACTGCTACCACATATCCTTAATCTTGTCAAACAATATGTGGTCTACACTGTATCTCTACAATGGAACTGTCAGTGTTCACTTGAATGATATAGCCTCTTAGATCAGAAAGATACTCTACACAAGGATGGGTCACTATGTATGATCACAGCTAATGTATATTACATGTTCTCTCTATAAAGTGGATAGATTACAAAATACCAAATGCCTGTGTTTCAGATATCAATGAAACATTAAAAAAATAGCAATTTACAAAATATACTCTATATGGGGATGGGGCACTCTGTATGATAATGGCAAATTTATGCAAGTTAAATTTCCCACACAAACAGTGCATGGATTACAAGGTACTAATACACCACACACACAAAGTGTTTCTCAAGTGGAAACGTCTTACTAACTTGATCATTGGACGAGGCCTTTTTCTATAAAAAACAAAACAAACATATAAAATACAAATCAAATGACCCAACAGAAAACCGAAAGGAAACATCACCAATATTGTAGGAAAGTGACTCCGCCTTAACCCTATTTAGCCCGGGCTATTTTGAAACTGTATAGCCCGGGGGGGGGGGGGGGCTTCTAAGGCCCCCCCCCCCCCCCCCCTATGATCTCGGCCGTGAAACAACCGATCGCCGCGAAAATTTGCATACATGTCAAGTGAAGTGTATAGAATACTATGGGAATTTCAATTTTTTGAAAAATTTACTCATTTGAATATTTATGGTAATTTATGCAAATAAGGTCATCAAATTCACATGTTTGCCCATAAATCAGACATTCATATTTAAGCATTCTTTCTCACTACATATATTTGTTAGACCATTTGGAATAGTAAAACAACACAAAAAATTGAAAAACCAGGGTTATTCCTTATGTTATCTATTGTTTTGATAATTTCTTATGCATTTCTTTGTTTTTTTAACTAATGTATTTTATTGTTTTTGTTGTTTTATTTCATTTCCAACTATAATTCAACTATTTTGACCCCAAAATAAACACCTAAACTATAAAGAAGACCAAATAACCAATGTTTTATCTCTTTATTTGAAAAATGAGATTTCCATATGTTTTGTACACAAATCACAAAAATGAGCGATTTTCGGGCTGACATGCAAAGACAAAAGGACACGTGACTTTGTAATGGTAGGTCCGATTTTCGAAAAATTTCTTTCAAAAGATGTGCAAGACTGGAAAGAAAAAAGTCACAAAATTTCAGTGCAAGATTTTCTTGAGTTAAAAATTATCGCGAAAAATGTCGAGGGGGGGCTTCTAAGGCCCCCCCCCCCCCCCGGCTAAATAGGGTTAAAGCACATAAATAAGAAAGGAAAACAAAACATATAGAACAAAGAAGACAGAGAATACACATATTCTACATTCACCAGGTGGTTCAATAAATTACTCCATTAATAAAATTCAAATTCTTCATTCGTAGCTGAAGACAGATCATCACTAAATTAGATATGAAGTTAAAAGATTGTCATTACAAGTTTAACTTTTTTTTCTCCATCCCCCTTCCTCTTTGTTTTCAATTGAAATGATTCAAGGGCAATTTATTATTAGAAGACATCAATTTCCACACATAAAATTTTGGAGCCCTCACAATGAAGCTAAGGGGTTAAGATTGATCTAATATCAAAACCCATGAAAGGTAAACTTGAAGTTAGACTTCCTTAAATGTACATGGGGATGTTGATTAGTCAATCACAAGGGGATCTCTGTTGTAGTCAAACCTGCCTTAGTGACCACCTGTCTACAAAGACCACATTTGTGTTTATCTTGAAAATGGTTTCCCGTTGAAACATGTACTAAAGGAACCTGTCTTCAAAAAGCACTAGTCTACAAAGACCACTTTTCCCTTGGGCCGTTGTTAGGGAAAATCTTTTCATACAACTATTGTTTTTTCTGGTATCATTTACATAATTCAATGATAATATCAAGACATTATACTTTTCTGGATGTAAATACATGTTAATGCAAAAGGGACATATGTTGTACAAGACACAACGCATGGAGTCGCCCTTAAACATTTTAAGATTGCCCATGGATAGTGCCCTTGATTTAAATTTGAATACATGTGATATCACTTACAACATGGGAACAGTATCGTTATAAACGATGTAAATATGTTCATGTTTATTCAGGGCCCCATGGAAGATCACTACTTATTGGTGAATGGGCTACCCTGTCAAAAGATTGGAAATAAATAAATAATAAATAAATAAAAGTATCAAACACAATTTGAAAGAAAAGAAAATAAAATTGGAAGAGAGTGTACTTACATCTGGTGAGAGCATGAAGTAGTTTGGAGGTGGTTTCTCTAAGGAAACAGGAAGATTGTAATCACCGGTTTGGAGTCGGCCATCACGCAGGAGAGGAAGCCACTAGTACAGGGGGAAACAAAACAAGTTTAGCATCATCGAAACAAGACCCATAAAAAAGGCTGTTCATCAATAAAGGATTCTTTTTAATCTTCAATAATTGTGATGAAGCGAATGGCTCAAGACCGAAGAACTTGGAGAGACACTTGATATAGAATTTCGATTGGGTCACTGAACCTGTCATACTCTGACAGATCTGTATTGATGATGAATTGTTATTTTACTGTTTCACAAATTTTTCAACAAAAAATAAAATTTGGAATTCTATGAATTTTTTTATTTTGATGAATGTCTTTTTTAAAATATCTGTTTATATCTTTTTATGAATATCTTTAAGAATATCGTTATGAATGTCTTTTTTGTGATAATCTGTTTAAAAAAGTTGTATCAAACAAACAAATATCTATGAATACGTTTAAGCCCTTAAGAACATCTTTCTCAATATCTCTATGAACATATTATAATAAATATCCTTTTGATGAATAAAACGATGATTAACTTACTGAATAGCCGATGGGAGTCTCGATGGGAGTGACATCTTGTTTGCGTTGGCAGGAGATATGGTAGAAGGTGAAGAGGATATGATGCTGATCTCGTAGATCGGCTGGTAGACGAATCTTGATCTCTTCGTAGAAGTCAGGTGACTTGTTGTGGTAGCACACCGAGGTGTAAGCCTGGCGACCATATTCGGGGCTGCTGGACTTGCCAAAAATGCACTGCAATAATCAAAGATGCATAGTATAGACAGAGGTGTTTCTCAAAATACATAATATGAATGATTACTATTAATATCAGGACTTTGAGCTAAGCAGTTAAATACACATATTTTTCCTACTCTCAATGGCAGAGGACAATATTTTCTGATCTAATGCTTCTTTCAGGAAAATCATATTTTTCCCTTTGACAATGTGAAAAACGAATATATCCACAAGATAATATGAGTGTGTAGTAATACATTTAAGAAGCCCTACTATTTTTGAAATTGAAATCATTAAGCATAGCTGCAAGGAAGAATGTTGTAAGATTTAGTGTACATTTAGTATTGTATGACTGCAGTGCCCCCAAGAAGAACTTCATTAGCACCGATAATGCCTCAGTCACACCTTTGTGTATTTGGCTTGCGTATTGCTGCGTATTTATGGCAAGCCGCTTTAACATTTATTCAAATTTCTTGATATCAAGAAAAGATTTTCTGTTGTAAAGCAATGGTAATTCTTGATATCAAGAAATCATTTTTTTGATATAAAGAATTTAATTATTGATATCAAGAAATAGGAATAAATGTTAAAAAAGGGCTTGCCATAAATATGCAGCAATACGCAAGCCAAATACGCAAAGGTGAGACTGAGGTATAAAAGGACTACTATTTGTTCACAAAGAGTAATAATAAAATATTGTTCTTGTTCTTGTCATCATCATCATAACAATAATAATCATCATAATCTTCCTCCTCCTCCTCATCATCCCTCTAGGGAGTTGTGAGTTGGTCCAGCGGTAATACCTGTGGTGTGGTCAGCTCTCTGTTTTCGCCTACAAACTGACTAAGCGACATTGAAGGTCGGTCCCCAGACATAAATAATCTTATCTGATCGATACGTGTCTGTAAAAATCCAACTACACACATCAACAATAGAAAATTCTTTCCCATACCTCTATTCCACTTCCAAAGTCATCTCCTGACAGGAATTGAATCTTGACAGTGATATTCCTAGCAGAGCCTCCGCGGTTAGAGAAGTTCAGGGAGCGAGGGTACAGGTACAAAACATTCCTGCAAAGTGGAACAATACAGTGAATAAAATGGATTAGGCACGAGTCATAACGTTTCTTTTTAATTTCAAACAAAAAGAATAACCTACAGTAAGAATCAAAACTTAGAGGATGATCAAATGATTTCAAAGGTAAATGGAATAAGCCTGTCCTGAGAAAACCCTGATGTTTGCACAGCAATTGATTTATGCAATGATACATGTGACATGCCAATGAGGAATGTAGGGCTTTCTTGTGTGGAAGTGTGTGGTAGGTGATAGATAGTGTGCCAGAATCTTGAAAGATTAAAAAAATTGTCATTTCACTTTGTTAAAGAAAAAGGTGAGTTCTGGTCATGCAATTGCATTGTGAAAGAAACGTTGTTGAATCGATCTGGAATCATCAAAATGATAAGAAATTTGGCCCAGTCTTGGTAAAGTTACAAGCACCTGTACACAAAAAGATGTATATGGGAATACACAAAGATGTGTCATAAAAATCTGTCCCGATTTATATGATGTTACATGCCATATTTAGAATATCAATGCATTTGAAGAGCCATGCTTTTCAGGGAACACTTTTTCTCTGATGTTCTTCTGCACTTGCATAATACAATAACGCTCACAAATTATTTTTCGCCTCTTCACAGAACTTAACCTTTTCTTAAAGGAAATTTTGGTGAACTATATGCAACCTCGGCTCAACCATTTCATGAAAAAGCATGTCAATGCATGACAGTGTGTGAAAAGTACTTAACTTTGATAATCAAGGCAGCTTGACAATGTATGCCATGGCATAACCATAATGTTGTGAAGTGAGCTTATGTCACAACATGGCGGTATTGGCTGAGATCCACAAATGGAACAACTTCACATGTACAGTACAGGGCAAGGTCGCACCAAAATTTGTGCATGTGTCAAGGTGCATTAAAACTCGTCAGCACTAGCTTGGCAAGGGTGAATTAGACCTCCCTGCAAGGTCACCGACAGGTGGTTATCTCATCGAATCAGCTCTCAATTAACATTAGAAATAGGGGATCATGGGGGACCAACAGGCACCGATTAGGCATTGTTTGCTGTTGTAAATACAAACCTGTAAATAATTTTGACTTGAATTGCTTACCTGTAAACACTGTGTGGTACATAGACCTCCCTTGCAGGGAACTCCTGTATCTCTTTAGTGGGTCTGGTCCTGTTGTCTGGGAATGGCTTGACCTGGTAGAGGTCAGGGGTCAAACAATAGGCAGGGTGGTCTATCACTGGGGAGATATCAAGCTTGAGAGAACCTGCAAAGATAGATAATGTAGATGTAGTCAAATTTATTTCATTCATCATTTAAAACATTTAGATAAAATAACATACAGTATCGCAAACATGTACATATAAAGACAAAACAACATACAATACAAGGATAATCATACAATATAATATACATCATAAAGTTAATCTGTACAAAATATAGGGAAAAGTGAGTATTTATGAGAATGAGGAGACAGCTAGAAAGGAAATGATGGGAGAAGGAGATTTGCTTGCGGAATCAAGAAATGTACATGAAGCAAATGACAGCCATTACATGTACACTGTAGTATGCTTAGCAATTTCAGCCTAGTAGCTCTTGCTGGAATCTTCCCCAGGGAGTGAAGAAAATGCATAGATTGTGTGCGGGCAAGCCAGAATCTGATGACCGGGGTAATAATGTAAAGCGCTTTAATAGAAACTCGGACATTGCTAATGTATTAAGCGATATATAAGCAGAAATATTATTAGAAATATTATTATTATGCTATGGCGATTTGATATGAGACTCGAAATATTTCCATTTCCTTATTCATACAGGGATTGTATAAAAACATATGTCTAATGATTGGATCTAGGGTGCTTGTATGATTGAAAATGGTATTTACAGTACAGAGTAAATGGGGGGGGGGGCAAATGAAAGAAGACCTTTTTGATCTACAGTATATCTGCTTCAAAAAAAAAGGTTTAATGGATTGTGCTCAAGCTTTCACTGATCTATTCCTCTTTCAATTTGCCCTTTCTTACCTCTGATGCATTTTAACCTCTTGAGGACGGTGGTAGGTCTCTTGAGATCTGCTAGAAACTTGTACAGGTCAACATCACTCAGCTTGTCGCCCTCCTAGAAAGTTTTAAAAAAACATTAAATATCATTAACAATGATCAAAATGTGGCAAGTACCAAATTTTAAAAAAGTTCTGTATGTTATGGGTTCCATGTCACTGTACTTTTTTTGTCAAATATGGGCTTTAAATTTACTTCTATGAAGAGATATTGCAAGTAGGCTTGCTGAAGCATCTGTATTAAGCACTTGCGTAAAACATGGCCCAGACGAAACCCAACTCTGCCTTGGGGTCTGTGTGCATTTTTTTATATCATATATTTTATGATAGGTGTGGCCCAACATATCAGCTTCAAGAGGCTGGATATTGTGATAGCAACAGGAGGAGAGAGGGTAAAAGAGAGAGGAAAAGAAGGGGGAGGGGGGAAAAAATCTTGGATCTCAGAGGCGAAGGGGTGAGTGAAATGGGCAGGGAGGGGGAGGAAAGGAGGAAGGGGGAGGATAGGAGGAAGGGGAGCATAACATACATGCTTGAAGAAGCTGGATACTGTGATGGTGACGGGATGGAATGTCTCCAGATTACTGATGTCATCCTCCACCTTGTAGAAGCTCCTTCTCTCGGATCCGTTACGCTTCAAGGATGAGGAACCGGTCTCCCCTCGGCGGGGCAGGGAACCGTACTGCCCTGGCTCAGTGACAGTGCTCTTCTTACGTCCCATCTCTAAGCTGTTGGACTTTTTGTCTATGATAGAGGGGAAATGACAGTGTATTCAACATACAAATGAAATATTAACATGCATAGCTAACTTAACCAGCACAATAAACATATCATATTCCACATACTAAGAATCTTGCTCTACGATTGGTCAAAAGTAAATCACGTGATGAAAGATAGTTCGCCCATCATTGCTGGGAGAAGCAAAAAGTTTGTTACACTGTGTAGATAGTAGTACTATTTACACAGGGCAACGCACTTTCACTGAAGATAGAAGTCCTATCTACACAGGGCAACGCACTTTAACCGATACGCTGTGTATTGCTCTCCTCTTTAAGCGCTTTTAGTGTTAGTATGCAAACTTTGGTCACGCGCGAAGTATAATATACTGCATGCACTGTACGTATCGTACATCGTTGCTAGCTGTTAATTGATGACTTGTTGCTCTAAAATGACGGAAGAAGCAAACAAAAAATTGATGTGGAGTATTTAGCAAATAATCACCTTTTGGTTTCAGGCGATGGCAAACTATCACTTCCTCGGCAATCTGAATGTATAGCTACATCCAGATCGCCTCAGAAGTGATAGTTTGTCCCATCACCTTCACCAACAGTAATTATTTGCTTACTATCAGTTTGCCTCGTTCCTGTGTCACATGGTAAACTACCAATAAACTTAAGTAAAAAAAAAATCAGAAAAATTAGGTTGACAAATCTGTGTGATTTCACGCAATTGCAGCACACTGTTCCCTTCTTTCACCCCAACTTAACATATGTTTGAAAGACATACAACTTTCTTTTTATTTTTGCTGTGATAGTTTCTTAGATGGTTTATGACACCATGTTCGGACAAAACTCTGGATAGATTTACATACAATTGACCTGAAGAGTATACAATCGTCATTGGATATTCTAATAGCACTCATATTCGCCATGCAAGGCGCTAAAGGCACTCCAATATTACCTCAACTTTAGCTAAGCTACTGACTCCAGTGCTCACAGCATTCAAAGAATTGCTTCCTCTTCCTCCCAGGTATCCATATGATAATTAGATACAGGGGTACATGTACGTTTAAAGCCTGTCTGCACTACTTGAATCTACTTGCGCCCTCTATATAGCAAACAATGCCCAAATGGTACCCGTTGGTTCTCCATAATCCCCTTTTTATTATGTTAATTGAGAGCTGATTTGATGGCATAGCCACCTGTCCAGTGACCACGGCAGGAAGGTCTAATCCCTCCTGGAAAAACTAGTGCAGACAGGAATAAATACATGAATACATGAATTGAATTGAAGGGTGTGTCGTGGTCGAGTGGGTTAAGGCGCTTGACTGGAGATGCGAAGGTTGAGGGTTCGAATCCCGACACAGCACTAATATCCTTTGGTAAGATATTAACCTGCACTTGCTACTCTCCACCCAGGTGTCAAATGGGTACCCGGTAGGATGCGGCCGGCATTGTTGGTCAAACAGTTTTTGAGAGTCAAGTAACGCCTGGCTAGAATGCTCCCCAGGGAGTGGAGATTGTGCACACAGTGTGTGCGGGCAAGCACTGAATCCAATGACCGGGGTAATAGTATATTTGTAAAGCGCTTAGAGACATTTGTATTAAGCGCTATATAAAAATTAAATATTATTATTATTATTAATGCAAATACCATACCAAGCTCAGCATCCGAGTTCCTGTCTAGACTGCTAGCTCCATTGACGATGTTCATCAGATGAATGGCCGTCCAGGCCAAAGGCATCCTGTACAGTCCTAGCTTGTCACAGAAATAGGCAGCTGTGTTTTTGATCTTTTCCATGTGCTGTAAAACAAACAGTGAGATTAAAACAGAATACAAGTCACAATTGTATATTACGTATTACTGTCTGAGCCCCATAGTAAATTCATATTAGACAATGTAACATTCAAAGTTACATTTCATGGCTTGTAATTTCATGACATACTTTGACTGTCAAGTGGATTTGGCGCCTTATAAATCTTTTGTATTATTATTATTATTATTTGGCATTCATTTGTGTGCTCCACTCGTGCTTATTCAGTCATCCATAACGCGTTCAATTTCATGCATATTTTCCAACAAAAGGTTGTTCATGATAACCTAAACAGTTTTTTCAATATTTTGCTTTACTAATGACTACATGTAATACATGCATATTACTTGCCACAAATCTATTCTTTGGATTAAATAATGAAATGGATCCTTGATTATGTTTGCAGAGAAGAAACAACCATTACTTTGAATCGCACGGATATTAAGTCAAACCCGAGTTCGAGGCCACATCTCTATAAAGACCACCTATGCCAATTTAAATGTATATTCTCTGCCTCCAGCAGGAAATATATCTTGTACAACCGATCTATGATGGTCATGTTTTGTTGTTCCCTTTGTGGGAAGCCAAAACATTGGTCGGCCAGTCAGTCAGAATTTTTTTTTCAGGATTGAATGTGAATTGTATTACCTTATTTGCATAAATTACCATAAATATTCAAATGAGTGAAATTTGCATAGTATTCTTTACACTTCACTTGACATGCATGCAAATTTTTCGCAAAGATCGGCTGTGAAACGGCCAAGATCTTATGGGGGGGGGGGGGGGGGTAAATTGACCCCCCCCCCCCCCCCACCCAGTAAAAACCTGGTTAAAAGCCTAATGGCAAAAATAGTTCTATCCCATTTAATCTGTTATTACCTTTGGGTTTTCAGAGTCTTTGATGTAGGGCTCAGCACACTCTGAGATGTCTCCTTGCTGGAGGACCTTCTCTAGCTTGATGACGATGTAGACATCGTTGGATGGGTAGGTCAGAGAGAAGATGGCTCCCCGAGCTTGGCTGGAAACATCAGGGAATCCGAGCTTGCCCTTGACCATTGACTTGATGTGGTCAGGCATCATGTCAAAGTAGAAGTTTTCAGAGATCTGGGGAAGAATAAAATAATACAGAAAACGCTAATTGGTTTGGGTGATCTTAACAGGAGTGTATCATGACGAGACTATGCGTCTTTCCCGTGGCCGTACTCGGGGGCAATCGGGTATAATACGACTACGGGCAACGCGACCGCAGCATTCACGTGCGTGCAGCATAAGTGAAACCGAAGCGTTAGGAGAACTTTGGTGTGTACCGTGAACGTTAACGCGCACTGACCCAGTTAATCAAGTCCATTCGTTTATGTGCAGTTGTCCAAAAGAAGAAGTAGATGGCGTTAACCAGTATTTCCCATGATACACTCCCTTTAACTTAACATGTAGTTAAAGCTTTTACCACCCTTGAAATTTCATGGGCAAGCTGTTGTTGTGGTTTAGGTTTCAAGTCTTTATCATTCAGGAGTGAATATTTACACCTTTTCTGTTACAATTGACTTTTTTGAATATATAAATTTGGATAAATTGGATTCTTAAACTTTTTATTTAATGTTGAAGAGGCCAGTGGCTGGCGAGCAGAAGCCTATTGGCTAGGACCGACCCGGACACGGTACGTTGTGACAAGTTTCTCAACTCAGCCAAATGGTGAGCCTAGGCCCTCCGACATCTGCCAATCATCCACTCATGTGGCCTTACTCAAGTCAATTGATACTTCACCCATTTTCTTACTGTCTGCTTCCCGCGAGATTAATGGAGCAAATAGCAAAGAAACGGGACAAACATCATGGGGCTGCATACAGCAATAAATAATGGCACAAATAAAAATAAGGATGGATTACCTTTTTCTTTTCTCTTGCATCATACAAGGCCATTGTTGCAAAAATTGGTTCAAAATCTGGCTCCAGTCTGAAATAAAAAAGGAAAATGAAATACATCATATTTTCATGACAGATTGTAAAATATAATCTGAATCAGAATATTGTATTCAATTCTGGGAACACACAGCAAAGTAAGATCGAAAAGAATTTTGAAAAAGGACTTTGTTGTTACTATCCATTGGACAAAAACGAAGAGTCATAAGGAGGAAGACAAGAGACAGAGAGAGGGAGTGTGAGACATACATGTACAGACAGTAAAAAAGACACAGACATAGAGATATAGAAATAGAAGACAAACTAGACACAGAGAGAGATAGAGGGAGAGAGATAGAGAGAGGGAGAGAGAGATAGAGAGAGGGATAGAGAGATAGAGAGAGGGAGAGAGATCAAGAGACAAATATATAAATAACAGATATATATATATATAAGAGGGACAGAGAGATTAATACTGGAAAACAAATATAGTGCAAAAAAGAAAAGAATGGTTTAAATATCAGCCTAGACAGAACAACAACAGCAACAACACCTTCAGTATACCGGTAGATAGAAAGTTGAACTTTTCATAGTTTTGAGAACTTACTTGAGCTGCAAACATTTAATGAGGAGTCGGTATCCAAAGTGTTCTGATGGAATTGGTGCAAGTGTTTTCCTCTCAATAGCATCATTCTACATTAAACATCAAAACATGAATCAAAATAATACTGGATCTACATTGTATGTATGTATTAACCAAATGTAACAGTAATCACCAAATGTAGAAATCCCAATCAGTAATAGTAGAGGGAATTAATTTACAAAATAAATCTTAAATACCACCAACATATTGATTTCTAAACTGTTTCAGCACACAATTTGTTTTGTTTTGTTTTTTCATCATACAACAAATGACACCAGTATAAGCCAACACTTTCATTGCTGTAGTAGAATATTTATATATATATGTAGATAGCAGTAGGCCCTATGAGAGTTATATCATTCCTGTTACCGCACTCTACTGTCTTGGGTTTACATACAGAGGATGAACAGGAACTACTGGGGTTGAAATTAATCTTGTCATAGATCTTCCATTTCCTGCTTCCTGTATTGGGTGATGTCAGAGGAGATCCGACTTACTTTACTGACTTATATTCATCATGATGTGGTCTTTCAGGTCTAATCCCTACATGTACATATGCCACTGCAAGAGATATCTGGGGGGTGTTTCACAAAGACTAAGATCGACTTTAAGTTGGACTTAACTATGACAGGCCATTCATGTCTCTGGTTGCTCTCACTATTGGTCTCTCAACTATGATCTTTAGATGTTTTTTTCCTTCAATAATTAATTATCAAAAATGTAAATTTGGTAGAATTGTGACCATGATTTGTACGTCCCTTGAGAGACCAATGCCAGTAAACTATGACAGAAAAATGTGGCTTTAATGGCCTGCCATAGTTAAGTCCAACTTAAAGTCTATCTTAGTTTTTGTGAAACACCCCCCTTGGTCTCTTCTCAATTCCCCTCTACGCTGTGTTCTTTGATATTATTTTGTCTGTCCCCCCCCCCCCCCTCTATCTCTGTCTACCTATCTCCTCCCCTCACTCCCATCCTCCCTCCTTTCCTCCTTCCCTCTCTCTCTCAATTATTCTTCCTGATCTCTTTGTCAAACATGGCAGCAAATATTAATATTTCAAATATGGAGTGATGAAATAAAATAAATTCAATCCCCTATTGTAAATTCTTAATTTTTTAAGCCTAAATTTGTTTACAATGTCTTGATTATTCCACTAAATTTTCCAAGTCAAAAATGTTGAATATCAAATCAATGAACCTTACAGAACAGACTGGACAAATTAATTCCTTATCTGTGCCTTCTTCTCTCTAAATATCAATAACAAGACAAACCTCATCTGGTGGTGGGTAGAAGCTGAAGATGTCGTTCTCTCTGTTCCTGTCCCGGACGTCTTCATTCATGGCATCCTGCTGTTCTATAGGAATGTGATCAAGGAGTCGAGGGAGGAGGGCATCGCTCTCGCTGCGACTCAAGTCAAAGATGCTGGAAGCCCATGAGCCTCTTGGTGTGGTATCGAGGTGGATGGAAGTGCGTTTCCTCTCGTTTGTGGGCTATATGAAGTAATAGACATTACAGAGGTATAGAGAGATAAGTTTCAAGTTACAAACAAATAATAATAATAATATTAATAGTATGTGATATTTGTAAGGCACCAAATCTGCTCGAAATCAAATGTTCAAGGTGCACTTGTACTAAAACGAAATCAAATGAAAGCATCTACAAACACAGAAACAACATTAAAGACAGAACATACAAAAATGAAACAGAAACTTTCAATTAGCATAATATACAATGAACATAGAATAGGATAGAAATCCTTGGCTTGAAAAAATGAAACTGTTTAATATAAACTAATTGAACATGATACATGAGAGGCTCTTTAGTTTCTGTTTATATTGTCCAATTTCTGTTCATTCTTGCCGTTTACTTGAATGGTGAGTGCTAGACGAAAAGCTTCAGTATGTCTTTATTCATTACTATTCTTAAATTTTGCAGTACCAAACATCTTTTCAGTTTTTCATCTCTTCATGAAATGTTTCTCTTGAACAGTGCTTCACACTGAAACATATATCAAAGGATTTGATACAGAAAGACCACATGCCCCAAAAGACCTTTTTCTTGTCACTGTTCCCTTGAGCAGTCTTTATATACAGGTCTCACTATAGGTAGTGGCTACAGCCCAGGAGACATTGTCTGTCTGGTAAACCCTCACAACACTTGTCAAAAGGCCTACGAGATTGACAGCCCACTTGACCAATATTTCGGTCTCATAGGCCTTCTGAGAAACCTCTTTGAGGATTCGCCAGATAAACATTGCTGGTCTCATTGGTCTGACAGTCTGGTGGGCCGTCAGTCTTGTGTGACCAAAAAAATGGAACCATGATAACAAAAAAGGGAATTTCAAGCAAAAAAAGGAATTTATTAAAACGAAACTTATAACCACGCGCGACACACTTCCAATGCAGAAATTTCCATTCCTCATGCTGTTGTTTCCATATTAGGACCTATAGTTTATTTACAAGTAGGTATTTTTTTGTTGTTATTTTGGTATTATCGGCATTTCATTCTTTTTGAGAATATTTTTCTCTTCAAGTATGTTTTTAAGTATGTTTTTATTTTCTATTGAATTCTTGATCAAATCAACATATTAGGGCAGTTGTTTGATGTGCGGTATGGAAAAAAAAATTATTAAAAAAAAAAGCATTTTATGAAGAAAAATATATACGACCGTAATTTGGAGGAAAAACAAAATTATTTCAGGGAAAACATAATGGTTTGGCAGCTCTGCTACTGGGATGTCCCAATACTAACCGTTGTGCATTCTTCATTCTCCTCCTCGTCCACCTCATAGACCTTGTCACTGCCGATGGCTAGAGTCCTCTGTCTCAGCTTCATGATGTTACCCTGGTGAGACATGGCATTCTCCTTGTACTTCCGATCCACCACAGACCAGTCACAGGTGTACCACTTGATGCAGTCCCGCACCTGAAGGCTCACGGTTTCAGCCCTTCAATCAAATAACAAATCAAAGTCTTAGGAATTTACAACTGAGTACATGGATTTCTGCAGTTCTTGCCTGCAATTCTGTGAGTGTGGGTAGGTCCCCCAGTACATGGACCATCTGCTGAGCTGTAACAGGTCTCATGATGGTATGCACTCAGAGGGTCCTGGACTCCTGGCAGAGGCCAAAGAGATGGCTCTTACATTTGCTAGACAATGGGAAACAGTACCGTAGGGACCTAAAATGATGATAATGATGCCTGTTCTTTCACTTTCCATAATTCCATGAGGTATTCTGTGAGGTAATTTTAAATTTTTTTTTTTTTTTTTAAATGGCTCTTACATTTGCTAGACAATGGGAAACAGTACCGTAGGGACCTAAATGATGATAATGATGCCTGTTCTTTCACTTTCCATAATTCCATGAGGTATTCTGTGAGGTAATTTTAAATTTTGGATGTGTAACTTGGTGTAAGAATCAGCACCCCCCCCCCCCCCAATCCCATAAAATTGTTAAAATATATAATAACTGATACATATATTGATACCAGAGGTTGACAGATTAAATACTTTAATGATCATGTTATTAGTTCAATAATTTTGTTATTATTACTGGAAGAGGGGTGATTAGTGTTTTGTTTATTGACAATCGCCTATCCTATCACCTTTAATAGGCATATATTTTTAAAATTTACTCCACATACTAAATTTTACTCTGAAAATATTATTTAGCACACATATATACTCAACTAAAATTGAAATTAAAGATGAATTTGAGTTCTGGTCATGCGATTGCATTGTGAAAGAAACGGTGTGGAATCGACCGGAAAAGGTTGATCATCTAGCATATAAGAATTTGTGTGTATTGCAAGGTTCTGGAATCATCAAAATGATAAGAAATTTGGCCAAGTCTTGGTAAAGTTACAAACACTGTACACAGAAAGATGTATATGGGACTACACGAACATGTGGCGTAAAAATCCTACCCCGGAGTTTTACGATGTTACATGACATATTTAGAATATGAAGGCATTTGAAGAGCCATGCTTCTCAGGGAACATGTCTTATCTGATGTTCTTCCACACTTGCATAAAAAGAATGATAATGCTCACAAATTATTTTTCACCTCTTCCCAGAACTCAAACCTTCTCTTTAAGTATCAACAATGTTAAAACTGAGCTGCCATGATAGAGTGCCAAAGTATTCAAGGAATGTCTTCTTTCCAGGTACCGATTTACCTCACCTGGATGGAGAGTGGCAAATGCATATTATCGCCTTGCGAAAGCACATTAGTGCCGTAGCAGGGCTAATGCTGAAGTGAATTTTTAGTGCAACGAAATATGACTTACTCTGGTCCTGGGTGCGGTTGCCTGGTAGTCCTGGTCTCTCTTGACGGGGCTATCACCCTGACATCATCTTCAGGATACTCCAGGAGCTGCTTGAGAGGGTCCAGCTCCATGGCTCCTTTACTCTGGTGTATATACTCCTCATAGTCAAGTGGGTCCAGGATCTCTGACAGAGGGATCTGAAATGGACCAATGTTCTATGAGTGTAATTCCATATAAGGAAATAGCGTCAATTAGACAATAGTTCCAAGCCTACACAGTACAAATCATATAAGTAATAAGCATTGCTCAGGGCTTTATTTTGGCACAGGTCCAGGGTGAGGAATGCACTTGAGTTTTAGGTTAGGTTTAGGGTTGGGTCCAGGTTTGAAATTATGAATTTGGTTTGCGAGAAAATTTGATGCAAAGGAAGAGTCCTCAAAAACTGTTGTACAACCATAAAGGACTCAAGTTTGTTGGCCTTGGGTACAAATTCCATATATGAGAAAAAGGTGGCAATTCAACTACATTTTTGAAAGGGTATCAGGAATACATTTAAATACAAATAAAACAATAAAACAAAGCAATATGGTTGGGCAAAACTTCTCCTTCAGAGACAATAAAAAATATAAGTTGGTGTGATAGTTTTGTTAAATCTCTGGGTATATACTTCAGTAAGAATAAATCTTTGAGTGTGAATATGAATTAGTCTCAAGAAAGATTCATTAAAATACAACAGCTTTTAAATTCTTGGAAAAGGAGGAACTTGACATTTAAAGGGAAAGTAATTATCTTAAAAAGCATTGTTATTTCAAAATTGATTTATACAGCTCAAGTTTTATCATGCCCTATGGAATGGATAAAAGCGTATGAAAAGTTATTTTATTATTTTTTATGGGGTAATAGAGCAAAAGTGAAAAAGGAAAACATGATAAATACTCTTCAAAATGAAGGCATGAATATGGTTGACATGTGTACGCAATTTATGTCTTTACAAATAAAATGGTTGTTTAGCTTCTTAAGTTTTAAAGAACTCCAAGAAAAGAAAGGGAAATGGATAATTTTTTTTTACTATTGGATTGAAAAACTGGGAGGGATTGATATTATTATGAACTGTAAATGTTGACCAAAATATGTGACTTTTTATAGAGGGAAAATACCTGATTTTTATTGTGACTTACTTTGTACATGGTTTACGGTAAAGCAAGTTAATTATGTAAAAGATATACACCACACCTATGGAAGTGTTACAAAAGAAATGATTTGGTTAAATTGTGATATCAAATTTAAAGGAAAAGCATTGTTGTATAAAAATTGGATAAAATCGGGTATATTATTTTTAGGGGATATACATGTAGTGATAGGAAATAGATTTTTGACAGTCAAAGAACTGAAAGATAAACTTATCTATTATGATGGTAGATGGTTGAGTGAATATGCCAAAATAAGAACCGCAATACAACAAAGATGGAGGCGAATCATAAAATATGGCGAACAAGTTTATGATTTCAACGATTACAAACGTAAATCAGTTATATACTCTAATTTGAATTTGAATAGTTTTGAATTTTCAATACACTCTATTACTGTGAAGAAAATATGTACGGAACTCATAAAATTAATCCAAAAACCACTAGGGCGGTAGACTTCTGGAACAAAACCTTACAGACAAATTTTACTATTAAGTGGGATTCTTTATGGTTATTTAAATTGAAATATGCTCGTGATAATTATTTGATACAATTCAACTTTAAATTTATGTATAATATTTTACCAACACCTGTTAATTTATTCAAATGGAAAATCAAAGAAAACAATTTGTGTTATTACTGTAATAAACCTGGTATTATTATACATGTATTTTTTGAATGCGAACATATTTACCGATTTTGGAACGTTATTGAAATATTATTATGTAACTCCTTCTGTAAAGATTTAAAATTCTCACCCATTTGTGTTGTATATGGTTTTCATGACGCAAAAGAAAATGTTACAGATATTGATTTAATACTTCATTATGCTTTATTTGCAATCTATAAAGCGAGTGTAGGAAATCAATTTAATAAAAATGTAGTAACGAGAATAATAAGCAAATATTTTTTGTTTATGTTGAAATACAAAATAGAAGTAGAGGAAAACAAAACTAAGACAACGAATTTGAATATTATTAAGTGGAAGAAGACAATTACTAATTTAAAATCTGCTATCAAGTAAATAGAGATATAATTTGATTTGACCTCATTTAGACATGTGATTAAGTGCTTTGTTATGAATATTTATGTATTACGATGTTATCCATGATTTTATCTGAATAAAGCAAAAACACAGTTCCAAGCTTACCAATCATAATTACTGTACATGTCTTTATAGCTACTGTATGTAACATTTTTGGGGTAAACGTAAAGTTCTACCAAAGACCAAATAAAAAGTTACGTTACGCCAATGGACATAAATCAGTTGGTATGGAGTCAGTATGGCAGTCGGTCAGTCAAATACAGTCAGATACATGTCTAAGTCAAAATACAATATAAACATCACATACAATTAAACATTCATCATGGACAAGATTTATTTTCATTGTTTTGTTTTGTCTTTTTTTACATTGCAGTGTAGGTTTCGACCTAATTTCCAGGAGGTTGGTAATATCTCTCTTGTAAACACTTTGTGTATACTTCAAAAGTGATATGGGAATTTGCAGAGTTTAGATGTCATGGGTGATGGGTCATCCACACATCTTTGAACAAATTGAAAGTTTTGAAACACCACAAGCGATCAAACTTACTCCACCAGGTCCTAGACCGCCTGCAAAACGTGCTACATCTTTACTTGAGTATTGCGATGAAACCTGACGACGTATATCAGCTGCATGGTGAGACCTAAATGGGAAATATTAACATTTACAGTAATGGGATAATTTAAAATAGTATAGAGATATCGACTGCTTTGAGAGGCCTGGCTGTTTTACATGCTCAAGGGAACGTGCGCACCTTCTGCCATGACCCTGAGGCGCGCCTGGGTCGGTGGCGCGCAGAGGGGTCATGGCAGGACTAGTTTCCGAGAGCATATAAAGCAGCCAGATCTCGAATATTAAAGCAGTCGATATGTCTTTTATATGCCAAATTGAAACAAAAATCTATCAAGAATTCTTACCTTATCCTTTTATTGAGTAAAGATTGGTTAAAACATTACGGAAAATCTGGATTTTAGACCCTATTTGGGGCCATATTACATACCGCATGTATGCAAAATATCGTCAAAGGATTTGCAATGTTTTATCGCAAAAATATCACACCTCAAAAACATTTATTGGATTTACTTCATTCAAAAAAATATGTTGATGGGCTCTTCAAGCCCTTTCATATGACAACAAATTCAATGCAGTTGGACATGCATGTATTTAATTTTGACATGAACACCCTAGGGTAGCGCGCCCAGTATTCGGTCCATTCCCAGTATTTGATCAGACAGCCGTTTTAACAGCTGTAACAATATAAAAAATAATTTAAGAGCCACGAAACTTGCACAAATCAGGCAGCTGAACAACTTTTCTTAACTCTCAAAATTAAATCAGATTTATGGCCCCGGAAAGATCTCCAACTTAGTTCGAAATTGGTCAGTGTCGCACAACTTTCTGCACTTCCGCGTTCTCTTAGCACATGCGCTAACATGCATAGCCATATGTAGAAGTCTATTGCGAAACAACTAAGTGTGCTGTCGCAATGAATTTATTATGTGTGTGAAGAGAATCACTTCCGTGTTCACTCCATCGCAGTGAATTTGCAAATGACGCACTTGCCGATGTGCGAGAGGTATTTATACGATACCCTTGCCATGCGGTATTGCTCGTCCAGTATTCGGTCAACGCATTGACATTCAGTGCTTTATCGAGCAATTGTGTGAAAATAGTGCGCAAATACGCTTCGCTCCTTGGCAACGGAGATACCACGCACAAATTCCGTGACCAAATTCTAATCGGCGCGACCGAATTCTGGGCAGAAAAATGCTCCGTCTTCTTTCGGAAGTATTTTGCTTATCATTATTCTATATTTTAAGTGACTATAAAATCCTGTTAGAGGAATAAACTTCTTTTCTTTTGATGGGTAGATTGCCAAATAAAAGAGGTAAGAATTCAAAATATTAGTGATTTCCCCTTAAGTGACCGAATACTGGGCCCTCTACCCTACTGGAACTTTTGGAAGTCCAACAAAAAATGATTGTAAATATAAGATTGTTTTGATACAAAATCATACAAGTACTACCCCCCCCCCCCACAGAAAACAAATCTAATCCATGATTAATGAGACAATAACTAAGAAAAAAAGTGTACAAAATTTACTGTACAGAGCAAATTAGAGAAGAGCTACCAAGATCACAGTGCTGCCAGTTTGTGTTCCACTCACTGATGACAAAAATTCATAAATCATCTGATCATAACTTTCCTCTTTTTAATCGGCTATTGCTCAAATTTTAACTAATTTGTTACTCTCTTTGTTATGCTTTTTAATAAAACCAAATTAATGTCAGAGTGGGCTTCCCCTTTTGACATAAGTGAACAGAGTCTAAAGACTCTGAAATGAATACAAGAAAACTCTGTGCGCCAACACTCTAAACTGAACGCTCACAAACCGGCCCCTACAGGACGGGGGAGGATGTGATCAAGATTCGCTAGGCATTATCATCACTGAGAACCACAGCGGCTAACAACATCAACAAATCGGAAGCAAAATACCACACGATTTCATGATACTTGACAAAGCAAAATACACAAAATACAATATTGAGTTACAATTATGCCATAAAGGAAGTCATATATGGAAAAGTATAATGTCGAAATAACTTTAAATGCAATACAAATCTTACTTGTTAAGTTTTTGGGCGAAGGCCCTCTGTCCGGCCATTTTCCGCTTTTGGCTGAAGTTAGTCGCCTTAATTCGTTTGTAAATTTAGCTGAGAAAGATATGGGAAATTCCGACGAAAGATACATCAGAAAAGACATTTATTTTCCCAACTTTAGTTTCTTTGTAAGTTTATAAACATAATCTATTAAAGTCAAACTACGTACGAAAGTACCGAGCAAAGGACAAATTGAACTTAAGTTTTTATTGTCCACTCTGCAGGGGCGGCAATCCCGGGTAGACGGGGGGAGGGACACGTCCCCCCCCCCCCCCACTCAATTTTTTTTAGGGGGATCGTCCCCTCCCCCCCCCCCCCCCGCCCCCTCAAAAAGTCAACACAAAAAATGTACAGCAAATACTGACTACAGTTTGCAACACACTTTAAGCCTCTGGAGGGCCCATAGTGCAGCGTTTAGGCAAATACAAATGCAAAAAATCTTGTACTCGGGAGCTACGCTCCCTCGCATAGTATCCTTCAAAATGTTCAAGCAAGTACCGAGAAAATTGAAGTGTGAAAAAGTATATTGCTTGTTTTTATACTATAGTTTTGCTAAGGAATAACATTTTTTAATACAACAAAACTTCAAAAACCTGTGAGGGGGTAGCAGCTAGGGCACTGGGAACGATTTTTTCACCGGGGCTGCTGAGATATAATTTTCGCTACGACTCAGCCAGCCGCTGAATAAGGGGGGGGGGGGGGGGGGTAAGGTCTGTCATTTTGGGTCACCAACTTTTTTTTTTATTATATAAAAAAAAAAATCGCTTCAAAGTGGTAATTTTATAGGATTTTGTGAAAGAAACGTTATAATTTTGTACTTTCTAATCTTCATTTGTGGCTGTCGGCTGTGTGACAATTTTGTAAGCGAAGCATATAATGATATACAGTAAATATATCATACCAAAAAAATTGCAGGGGGGGCTGTGCCCCCCCCCCCTGGAAAAAATTCGGGGGTGCTTCAGCACCCCCAGAACCCCTGAGCTTCGTGAGGCTCCGGCCCTTGACACCCGCCGGGGCTTTGCCCCTGGACCCAACGTCAATTTATGCTCCACTTTGCTTTGTTTAGCTCTACCCAGGCGCGGATCCAGGATTTCTTAGGGGAGGGGGCCCAACTTTTTTTTTTTTTTTTGCTCCCGAAAATTTGAAAATCGCGCTGGCCGAAAAGTCGCTCAGTGGGGGGGGGGGGGGGGGGGGGGGGGGGGGGGGGGGGTTACAGAGCACAACTTTTGTTTTTTGTTTTTTTTTTGCTCCCGAAAATTTGAAAAAACGCGCCGGCCAAAAATTCGCTCAATGGGGGGGGGGGGGGGGGGGGGGGGGGGGGGGGGGGGTAGTGAGCACATTTTTTTTTTTTTTTGATCCTCAAAAAAAATTCAATTTGCACCCCCCCTCCTTTGAGCGCCAGGGGGGGCCCAACCCCCCAAAACTGAGGTAAAAATCACGTGATTTTACATGATTTTTTTCTCACTGAGGGGGGGGGGGGGGCCCGGGCCCCCCCCCTGGATCCGCCACTGGCTCTACCTGATCGTAATACTTTAGCCGCCCCCCCCCCTCTCCCCCACTTTGAAAAACGTTCCCATGCAGGGCCTGCGTAACATGTAAAAGTGGTGGTGATGCAGATTTTTTTTTCTGCCCCCCCCCCAAAAAAAAAATTGCTCAGTACGCCACTGCTCCTCGTCCCTCGCATTTCGTCCCCCCCCCCCCCCCGTCATGAAAAGAAATCGCCGCCCCTGGTCCATTGGGAAATTAGTTTTTCACTATAATTATATAAGTTTACAAGTCAATGTACAACAACAAAAAACTATCATAATTAAAACCATAGATATTGCAGTAATTGGTTGAAGGTTATTTATAATGCAAAATCTTTAGGGAGTAGGTTATAAACACGAAATCAGTTTTTTTTTTTTTAAATTGAGGCAAGAGGCCGACAGGGCGAGAGATTAGAAGAGGTCCTACGGTAGGCAAAGGAGAAGGGTAGAGCAGTTGAAGAAAATACATAGAGAGTGATCAGAGCCATTGCATTGTATACACGTCATAATGAGGATAAATTAATCTTTCACTTCCAATTCAACATTAGATTGAGGATGATAATAAAGATGGAATGATGTCAAAATAACTTCTTACCCTTTTTTTTCCTTTTTTAAATTCCGACCGTCCTTGAGTCGAGATGAATTTTTACTATAATCAGGGGCGTCGCTAAGGGGGGGGGGGGCATATTGCTCCGGTTGTCTCATTTTTGCTCGCTGGAACATTGCCAGCTTAAACCACTGACCTCTCCACCCAGGTGTAAATGGGTACCTGATATGCTTGAGCGCTAGTTACTTTGGCAGCTCGGCTACGACCAGGATATGTGTAAAGCACCATGAGCGTCAGAACCTGACGGATACCGGCGCTATATAAATAACCATATTATTTATTTATTTATTTACCTCCTGGACGGATCATCGCCCATTCCCATTCACTATACGTACTAAAAGACTGTATTGTCTGACCGTTCATGATTATTCATGTTTTTTGCTTACCTCGGCAAAATGTTTGCTTTTCCTAAATGGAAAAATGACGGTGGGGGGGTTGGATGAAATGGACACCAAAAAGAAGTGTTCTATGATAATTAATGCTTCTTATCCTTCGTGTGCTTGACCTATAATCTTAAAATCGCTTGGCAAACTGAGTCCAAAGTTTGACTTGTTTCACATGTGTATTATAGGCAATGACGAGCTTGCAACCTATTTTGATCAAATTACGGTGGGTGAACTTTCAAAAGTCAATGGGACATGAGGGTTCCAATGAAAGAGCTAGTGCCTAACGTACGTCGGGTGGATGTGCTTTTTGTTTAAACAAAAAAAATGAATTTTGAACGACTTTGGGGGTAAAATTCCATAGGCTATTATAACATGTAAGGCTGCTGACTTTGACGATAGGGGGCGTTGTGAAATGAGACTAAACGGAGCTATATGGGTGCGACACCCCCCCCCCCCCCTGTCATGATATTGTCGGTAAAATTGCACTGCTGTCGGGAAAAATGAAAAAAGGGGAGGGGGAATGAGAGGGAAAGGAAAAAAAGAAAAGGAAAAGAAAGGAAAGAGGAGAGAAGAAAGAAAGAGTTAAAAAGAGAAAGGAGAGGAAAGAAAGAAAAAGAAAGAAGAGGAAAAAAGGAAAAAAGGATGAAGAAAAAAAGAGAAATATGAAACAAAAGAAACGGGGTGTCAATTAGAGGAGAAAGAGAGGGGGTAAGGGCCTTAGAGAAGAGGGGGGATGTTGGATGGAGTCGCCACGTCGAGGGAGCAAACAAGATACAGATAATTATGTTGATGTATCGGGTCCGCTGTACGTATTCTTGGTCGATCCTCATCAGTGCAGAAGTTCAAAGTCGGTGAGATGTATTATGTCGGTCGGCCGGCAATTTTTTTCCCCTTCCCTCCGAACTGTGACTTTTTATCGGACAAAGAAACAGTTTTGCAAGTTCAAACATGATTAAGTGTCGGTATCCAAGGGATCGTCTTCTTTCTCTAATGATTTAATGAAACGGCAAAGCTTTCGCGGTTCGCGCGGGAGGGGGAAAATGAATTTAAACAAGGATTAAGAGTCTGGAACGGAATACCAATCGTCTTCTCTCTCTAATAATCTAATGAAATGTAACATCGGGAGGGGGACTGAAAAATAATTGAGCACCTGGCCCCGGGTTTATATAGGGTTAAATTTGTAGACATTTGGACATTGGCATTAATATATTTGTCGGTAATTGGTGGCTAGTTTTGTCGGTAATCTGTGGCCTCTACACCCCCCCCCCCCACTGAAAAAGGTCTAGCGACGCCCCTGACTATTATTATGCCTATATAGACAATAATTATCAAATGTTCAAAATTAGGCAAATAATACCCCCCAAAATATGGACGAGATATGACGGTCCTTGTGCACAAACAAAATACAGAGGTCGTAAAGTGTCATAAAATATAGGCTTACAATAAGAAATGTGATAAAGAGGAGCATCAATCAATGATATTGTAGATAGAGATAGATAGAGATCTTGATCACAAGCCTATTTTTATTCCGTTTAATTTTCTTTATTTCGAATGCAAAGTAGGGCAAACGAGCGTATAGGCTTATTAATGTATGTGGTTTAAAAAAAAGCCTAACAACGAAAAAGAAGACTCTTGTCAAGTAAACGCGGAGATATTTTCAAAACATGAACACCCCCCCCCCCCCCCCGGCCCCCAAACCCTCCGCGGCCCCAATAAATTTGTCTATAGACGTAATATATTCAACAATCAACAAAAATGCAATTTTTCATGCAGTCTATATGGCCAGAGATCGAATGAAATAATGTCATGCAATCGCCCCACCCCCTCCTCCAAAATCTCTCTCTCTCTCTCTCTCTCTCTCTCTCTCTCTCTCTCTCTCTCTCTCTCTCTCTCTATCTATCTATCTCTTCCTCTTGCAGTATGCTATCTTTCTCGTCGTTCACAAAGTTCACAGAAAAGGATGTTCCTATTCCTATAGGCATCAAGGTACAAGCAACATAATAACTTATTCTTATATTTTGTACTTTGGTGACGATGGTAAATTTAAACTTAGCCTACATAGCCAATTAAGCAAGCAGCATGCTGAAATGAGAAAAATCATAATATCAGTAAATTGCTCATCTGATGATAGGATATCCCGAAGTAAATCACCAGAGTAAAATTTATTATGATAGCAGGTGCAGTGTCATCAAGCAGGCCTAATTGGGAAAAAAAATCACAGGGTATATTATAACAACATATTGATAACTGAGATTATGTTATCTAAAAAAAAAAGAGAAGAGTATGAATTTAAGTACCAAAAATTAGAAGAAAAAAAGAAATAAAGTGAAAGGCGTAAATATTCTAAAAAAGAATGAAACGCCGACAAACAACAATGTTTTTTTGTTGTTGTTGAAGATACCTTAGTGTCCGAAAATAGTAAATTACTTCAGTCTCAACGCGCGATTTTTGATTTCTTGTTTTCATTCTCGAGTCGGAGCCGTAGGAAGAAAAATAAGAAAAGCCGTTGTTTCATGAAAAAGGTATGCAAATATTATTAATTTATTTAGAATTGTTATCAATATTTCTTCTAAGAGTAAGAATCATATCACACATAATTTATGTCACATTTTATTTAATATATGAATAAATGAATGTCGGGAACGGAAGTTTCTAAAGTAGATTGTTAACCGCCGCTCCGCGCAGTGTAAGCCAGCCAAACAGCCGTTGACAGCGCCGCTGGTTCCGGGTAAATTAAGTGTCCTCTACCGTTGTCAACGCACGGTTGTCTGACGGTACTGAGCTGCCTGTGATACACAGTGACAGTGCAGTGGACTGTAGCTGTACTGGTAACTTCTACTTCTACTACTACGACGATACTCGGCAGGATCCATAAGTCCATCTAGATCCATCTAGATCTAGTTCTTGGTCTAGAAATAGATGCTGGGTGGAAGCGCTCGGCCCTTGAAGCCCTCCAGCAAGGGTGATCTTTGAAAGTGCATTCCACGCAGTTACTGTCCGAGGGAAAAATGAGTTCTGGTAGAGTTGGGTGCGGGTCGGGATGGGATAGCCAGCAACTTTTTTGAGTGATACTGTCGTGTGTTGCTGGCAATCATGGGTGCTGTGTAATGGTGTGCATTGTTTTGGATCTTGTACATGAGGTGGAGGCTTGCACTTTTGCAGCATTTCTTCTCCTCTCCAGGCTCTCCCATTTCAGATGTTGAATCATGGCCGAGACAATGGCCATACGATGATATCTCTGGAGGGTGAATCTTGCTGCTCGCCTTTGTAATGCCACTGTAGATCTACGTGGAGCTGATCAAGGGCAAAGCTGCCCGACTGGCCCAGCCAGCTTGATTCTAAGGTCCGATTCTAAGCAAGGCCTACTTTTTAAATTCAGTTTGTTTCTTTGTCTTTTATTTATTTATTTATTTATTTATTTATTTATTTATGCATGTTCACAATTTCACAATTCATTGAAGTTAACATCACATGAAAATTAATATAAGATGACAAATCATTTTCAATTTTACAATACATTTGAATTAACTTCACGTGAAAAAGAATATAGACCTAACATTGTTTTATCAAAGACAAGTTGCAACTTATATACAGTTTGAAGAATGAACACACAAAGGTGATGAAACATAAGCAAATAGAGCTTGAATCGTTACAACACCTTTCAAATATATAATATATGACAAATAAAATTCCTAAAGTTTTGTAGTGAATTATTTACACTAGGGTCTAGACCTATTTACAAAGGTTAAAAAAAAGAAAGAAAAAAAAAAAAATTCGTTAGGCCTAGTAACAAAATTATGTTAGATTTAATTAGAACTGATAAATAGATTATAATGTAAGTAATATCTTACATCTGTGAAATGATAATACATTTGAGTGCTCTTTTAAAAGAGTTTGTTGATTTTATATTTCGAATATCATTAGGTAAAGAATTCCATACATCTGGACCTCTGTGTCTGATTGATTTCTGGGCTAATGTAGTGTGAGGATTGACCACATGTAAATTCGATGACTGCCTTGTTGAATACGAATGAACCATGTTATTAGGTTGGAACATTGAAGATAATGACGTAGGTAATAATTTGATATTAAAACGGAACATAAATATGGCAATTTGGAGGAAGTTAATATCATCAATCTTTAAGCATTTCAGTTTAACAAATAGTGGGGTAGCATGGTCACGATAACCAGCTCGGGTACATATGCGTACAGCTTTCTTTTGTAACAGAAGAATATTATTAGTCACACACTTGGATGTTGCCCACAAAATATTACAATAAGAAATGTGTGGTAAAATTAGACTATTATATAGCATAAGTAATATTCTATCAGAAACAAAACATTTTATTCTATACAGTACGCCAATATTTCTGGAGATTGGTGTAACAATGTGTTTTACATGGTCGCTCCAGTCAAGTTTTTCATTGATATAGACACCAAGGAATTTTGTACATGTCTTTCTCTCTAAAGAAATATCATCTAGTTTAATATTAAGAGCAAGGTTGTCATTAGATTTTCTACCTCTAAAATGAATATAATTTGTTTTAAGAACATTGAGAGAGAGCACATTACTTCTAAACCATAAAGTCAACTTTGGTAGTTCCGAATTTAGTTTCTGTTCTAGAGTGTTGATTTCACGATGAGACAAGAAAACACTCGTATCATCTGCAAATAAGGTATAATTTAAAGTTTTAGATACATTACAAATATCATTGATATAAATAAGAAATAATAATGGGCCCAGGATGGATCCCTGCGGAACACCACATTTAAGATACAAAATGTCAGAGTTAACAGAGTTATAATAAGTGTACTGTCTTCTCATAGATAAGTAACTCGCAAGCCATTGTAAAGCTATGCCCCTTATTCCATAATGCTCTAACTTAGAAAGAAGAATTGAATGGTCAAGTGTGTCAAATGCTTTACTCAGATCCATAAATACACCAATGACATGTTCGTGAGCAGCGAGTGCACTTGAAACGCGATCATAAAATTTCAGTAGCGCAAGATCTGTAGAATGAGACCGCCGAAATCCAAATTGATCAGGATTCAATGATTCACATTTATCTAAAAAACTGTAGAGCCTGTTATAAACAATTCGTTCCAAAACTTTAGAAAAGCTAGGCAGTAATGAGATTGGTCTATAGTTAGAAACGACCATCACGTCATCTTTTTTATGAACAGGAATCACCTTTGCCAGTTTGAAAGAAGAAGGAAACACTCCGGTCATCAAAGAGAGATTGCAAATGTGTACAAGAGGCGTTAGAATTGAACCAATGATCTTTTTCAATAAAAATGTACTGATTTCATCATGCCCAGAAGAGTGACTGTTTTTTAGCAATCTCACTACATTGAGAATTTCAATGTAATCCGTTGGTTTTAGAAAAATAGAAGTATTAGATGGTTCATTGAGGTACTGTGTGAAGTTGGTTCCATCTTTATTTATCATCTTGGCTTGATTTAGGCCAACATTGACAAAATAAGTGTTATATGCATTTGCAATATCTTCTGCATTTGTTATTTCTTTATTACCATGAACAATTTTTCCTGGAACTTCATGTTTTCCTTGCTTGCATAAAATATCCTTTACAATTTTCCAGGTAGATGAAATATTGCCATTTGCACTTTCAAACCTCTTAGAGTAAAATAAACGACGTGAACATCGTATAATTGATGTTAATTTATTTCTATATTTCTTGTATTTTTCAACATTATCTGGTGATCGTTTTTTCATACTTCTTTTATATAGGACGTTTCTTCTTTTTATCGATCTAAGTATCCCTCTAGTAATCCATGGATGATTTCCTTTTCTCTTGTCGTTTAATTGCACATATGGAAAATGTTTATTAAAAAGATAATAAAACTTATTCCAAAATACTTCAAAAGCACTTTCTACATCGTCACAAATTATAACATCATTCCAATTTTCCGAGAGTAAATCTTCATTCAGACAAGAAACATTTTCATCAGTAATTTTACGTTTCTTTTCAATTCGCCTTTTTTGTGTTACATCAGTTTTGTGGTCAAAAAGTAAGCAAAACACAGGTAGATGATCAGATATTTCACAATAAAACAGACCTGATTGAGAAAAGCCTTTAGATGTTTTTACGAAAATATTATCCAGCAATGAAGATGAATGATTACTAATTCTGGTTGGTTTATCAATCATAACACTGAATGCATTGGAATCTAGAATATTTCGAAGACGAAGTGAGTTTGGACTATTATTCAGTAAATCGATATTAAAATCACCCATAACACAAACATATTTATTGAAAGAGTTGACAGTTGACATGAGCAATTCTAAATCATTTAAAAAGTCTACCATGTCTGTGCTGGGCGGTCTGTATATAACGCAAACAATAAAATTCTTTTCATTAGGAAGATCAACTTCAATACATAAGAGTTCTGCAGTTTCGTTTTGGAAAGAAATATCACGTCTGGGCTTAAAAGATAAAGAATCCGCGATATACATTAGAAGTCCGCCGCCCCTACCACTCGACCTGTCTTTACGTATTTGTTTGTAACCTTCTAAGGTATATAAAGGTGGAGATTGAGGATTTAACCATGTTTCGGTAATGCCTATAACTGAGCAATCGAACTGTAATGATGATAACAGGATATTCATATTTTCATTATTCTTACTTAGACTCCGAACATTACAATGTAAGAAACTAAGAAATTGTGTTTGTTGAGGTTGATCCTTTACAGGATTAAACTCATTAGGTACGTAGTACCTACAGTCAATATTTGGTTGTAATTGGTAATCTTCATTAGTCATTTAAGGATGAGAGTCTTGCAGAATTCGATATTTTGGTTGAATATAGTGACAGCATAAGTTGACACTGATTGGGGAGGCAAACTTGCCAAAAGAGCGAAATAAAATAAAAACAGAAAAGACATGAAACATATGAAATAATAATCATCGTTATGGAGTTTAAGAATGTTAATCGTAAATATTGCCTACTTTATTAACTTGTTGATATCGTCTACTTCAACTTCTTGATATCATCCTTGGTATGGATGATGATCGCAGGTTCCTTCTCATCTTTCCTCACGAATATCTTGCCGTTGACGGTCCACACGAACTTGAAGCCCGCCTTCTTCCTTTCGACGTTCACGATTCCCAGCAGCTCTCGGGTAACGCTCGTCAGGTTCTCGTTGACGTAGAATTTGTTTGCACTGCCATGAACACCGATGTCCCTGGTTGTGACATTCTTCAGCTTTTTTCGGCCATCGTATACTGCATTCCTTGCTCTGCGACTGTTAAATCGTACAATGATGGATCGTGGTCGACGATCTGCCCCAGCCCTTGGAGCACCCAACCGATGCGCAATGTCGATGTCACTCTCCTTCAGTGAAGGGGCAACACATTGGGCGACCTTCAAAGCCAACACAAGAGGACTCTCTTCTCTGCTCTCAGGAATTCCCGCCAGCTCCAAGTTTATCCTCCTATGGTACTGGTCGAGGTCATGTACCTTGTGATGGAGGTCGCTGACCTGGTTATCCAGCGACTTATTCTTAGCCTTCAGTTCTTCGTTGTCTTTTTCCAACCGTCGTGTCGTCACCTTTAGTTCCTCGAATTTTTCATCCAGGAAGGATAGAGAGCGGACGATGTCTGTCTGCCCTTCCCTCACTTCCTGAATGGCAGCCTCAAGCAGATTCAACTTGCCAGTCAAGGCGTGCGAAAGTGTTTGTGACTCCTCCTTGAAAAGAGAGAGATGATATCGGGTTGGCTCCCACAAGGCCCAGCTCCTAGTTCCTCACTTACTTGCGACCTGGTTTTCTTCGGCATTGTTACGTCAGGCGTCACTGAGATGGCGTATTATGGATTTTGTCTAGATGCGCTCTTCTGCGCTTTTGTGCGCTTCAATAGTTGTGCGCAGTATACTGCGACTTTCAAAAAGGAAATAGAATAGCTCTATTGAAAAAAACTATTAAAAAATACAAGTTTTTCGAAAATATCACAAAATCGTCACCTCGTCATTCCAAGATGGGTTTAGAATCGTAGTCCTGGTTTGAAGAGCTAACACCCGATATAAAAATCATCATGCATAGTCCATTGCATTCTGTTAAAAAATCAGTCATTACCGGGAGCTCAACAAAACACGTCCACCCAGGATGAAGATAAAATTGCTCGAATGAACATTGCTGATTGCTCAATATTACATCAACTACTAGATCTCGATAATTTGCTTCATTGACTTTGTAGATCTAAATTTATCTAGTCTTTGTCATACTCATAGACTATGTGTCTGTGAATGATTCTTTTCTGTCTCTCTGATTTTCAGTTTTAGACTGCGGTTATAATATAGATCTACAACAACATGGAAGGTGCTATGTTTGATCAAGTTCTTAGCGTTGTCTTCAAATCACAAGGCCAAGACGATAGGTGAGTAGGCTGTCTGCGTTTCAGGGCTCTACAAAGTACAGACTAGACCTGTCACCTAGACCTACTCTCTTTTTTTTTCTTTTTATAAACTGGGGGTCCAAAATATAATTTGTTGAGTTGTTTAAATGAACTGTGAAACAAGTCCTTGTTTATGTTTGAAAATTGAGTCCAGTCATAAGTGTGATTTTGTTGTTTTTAAGTTGTCACCAGAGCCTTGTAAGTGTCATGCAGTGTTTTGTGAGGTCTATTTGCCAGTCATCTTCACTAGCATTCTACTAGACCGAATTTTCTGTCTCTTTTGTTCGTTAAGCCTCTTATTTGGGTAGGGTCGGCTCTCTCTTTAGAGCCTCTTATTTGGGTAGGGTCGTCTCTCTTTTTAGAGCCTCTTATTTGGGTAGGGTCGGCTCTCTCTTTAGATCCGACTCTACCCAAATAAGAGGCTTAACGAACGAAAGAGACAGAAAATTCGGTCTAGCATTCTACCAGCATGAATTTGCCATTCATTTTTGTAAATTTTGTAAATTTGACTAGAATTTACTTAAATGGAATATCTGAGACTGCCTGAAGAGTTGTTTACGTTGGAATGCTCCAGCCAGGCAGAGGGAAAGTTACGAGATTTCCCCCCTCTTATGTTGTGATTCAAGTGTTTGTGGCAATTCATGCATATCAGATAGCATTGATAAATCCCTAAGTAAATGTGTATACTACTAATTTTAAGGTTGTTCAATTCATATTTTCCTACAGCTTAAATTGCTCGTATTTTTTAATCTAATAAACCAATTTTTGTACAAATTGATGGTTTAAATCAGCATGGATTTTGATCACCAACTAGGACTGATTTTTTATAATTTGTAATGTTTCATGACATTGACTTTGTTTCCTTATTTTTCAGGACTGTTGGAATCAGGATATTTCTTGAACTGGTTTCTGTTACATCACCTATTCACAGAAAGGTATGCTTATTTGGCATCTCGCCAAAAGCAACACAAGAAAGTGCTATTGCTATGGAATTGTTGATTTTATACATAAAGCATAACTTGTAGATATATAACACTGACTTACATGTATGATATTAGGTTAATATCTACTATTTGCATATTTTCTGAATTGAATACCGGTAAGATTTGAAAATATCAAAGGACAAACTGTAAGGTGCCTTGTTTGATCAAGTCCTTAGCATTTACAGTAGGCTTGCAGTTGCACCATGTGAGAGAGGGGGAGGATTGGGGAGTCCTGAAAAGGACTCTTGGTAATCTTAGCATTGGGTGGTATTCTCATAAGTTAAGCCGGGACTAAGTCCAGACTAAACAAGAATTTTAGTTCACACTTCTATGGAATGCTAGGTTTCATCTTCCTCCTTCAATATTCATGACAAAGATAATCTACCAAAGACTTTGTTGAAATTCATTTCATACTCATATTATCTTTTTCTTCCTATTTCATTGCAAAATTAATTTTTTGGACACTTTTCATTGAAGGATTAAAATAATCTGTACAGGGTAAATTAGTTTGCAACAGGCACTCCGTAAAAGTGTGAACTAACTAAGTATGCGCTAACTTAGTACGCGCTACCGGAATACCACCCATTGTCCTTAGCATTGTCCAGGAAAGTAGGTACAGTATCCCATATAGAGTATTAGTGGGGAGCCCTGAGGCTGCAACTAATTGTAAGATATTCTGTTCCTTTTCCCTCACCAGGAGCTCCATGTTAGATTGACAGATGACGCAGATCCTTTCTTTCTCTACGATCTTCACCTCGGAGAGGAGGATTTCCAAGTGTAAGAGACAACATTTAAAGCCCCACTGCACCACTGACTCCTACTTGCGCCCTCTATATAGCAAACAATGCCTAATCGGTGACCATTGGTCCCCCCACGGTCCCTTTTTTCTTACGTTAATTGAGAGCTGATTTGATGAGATAACCACCTGTCAGTGACCATGCAGGGAGGTCTAATCCCTCCTGGCCAAACTAGTGTAGTGGGGCTTTAAGGCATTCCAACTTTCCAAGCCAGGGGCTTGTCTCACAGAATCAATGTACAGTTTCTGGACCTCCCCATTGAAATGTGTAGTTTCATAATACGCAATAAAACTTTATATCAAATATTTCAGTGGGGTGTCCATGAACATAGACTTAAGACATTTTTGCGAGATGGGGGCATTGGTTGTAGAGAAATATTTAATTGGAGATTAACAGTTGAGAATAGTAACAACCCTATTCATGTGACTTCATACAGATGGTTTAAACCTCAATCATAGTTTGAAACATTGATTTGTTTCAAGGGTAAAAAAAGGATAACAATTTAGGGGTAGAGGTTACAAAAACATTCAAAATAAGGGCTAACTCAGAATATAACCTATTTGTTTCACCTGTATCTTTCGAAAAACAACTTTTAGTCTTATTGGATCATAAACCCTTGTTTAATTGAGAGAGTCATTGTTATGTATTGGAAACATATAAGGAAAGCTCTTGCAATAAAATGCATCTGATTGTCATAGTTAATACAATATAAAATATGATTTTACTTAATGCTAAATATATTACTCATTGCGGATGTAGTATCGAAAATAATATCGCTAGTGATATTCGTTTGTCTCGCAATGTGGTCAATAAGGAATCTAAAAGATCACGACGTTTCGTGTGCTATCCCCGAATTTTGGATGTGGACGATACGCCGCCATGACACTCACCATCCTGCCGGCCAACACCGGTTGAGCAGCGTATGCGTCGGCCAATAGGCCTGGTGCATTAGCCGAACCAGCGGCCGAACCAGCGGCCTGGTGATTGGTCGATCACCGTGTGCGTCGACCAATAGGCATTGTGCGTTATTGTTCCAATTATCGATCAAATTATAGACCGCTCCGCTGGTCCTCCCGTAAAGTATAAAAGACCCTTACTTACATTAGTTTTTATCACCTGACGAAGTGTTGCAGATAGCGCACAAAACGTTGTGATCTTTTAGATTCCTTATTGACCACATTGCGAGACAAACGAATATCACTAGCGATATTATTTTCGATGATTGTACTTGTTTCCTTTTAAATTCCATCACAGGTTGAAGAATCAGCAAGGGTTGCTGGTGGATTTTAGTGCATTCCCACAAAAGTTCATTGAACTCTTGCAGTTATGTGCACAGAACCAAGGCCAGGCGCATGGCAAGTAAGTGTCTAGAGATCGAAGTTGAAGATGTATTTTCGTAGTTCTAGTACCGTATATATATTTAGTGATTTTCACCCCCCTCCCCCACCAATATCATGCTGCCATAAGTTTGATATGCACATGTCTTTATTTTCAGGAAACATGACCATGTATGCTGTAACTAGTAGGCTTGCAGGGGGTTATTTGTAAAGACTTTTTGACCATCTATACACTTCATTCTATTTACATTTTGACATCATTATGAAACTAGTTGAATTGTTCATTCATCAGCTTAGAATGGAGGAATTACATTTCCTGAAAGCCATAAGATTATTGATAATTCTTATTATTCTTTACAAAATTACCATAAAATTATAGAGGCTGAACTAAAGAAATAATGTTGGAGAAATCTCATAGCAATATTGTACTCAGATAATTGTGCTGTGCAACAGCTTTTGGGCTGATTTTTTATGATGTAATTTTAAAATTGATGTCTTTGGACCGTATAACTCCCAAAGGTTTATGCTTCAGTTGAACTAGTCAGGGGATTTAAATAGCTGAACTCATTGCCTGGCTCAGCTTAGTGTAGTTGAGACCAACTCTTTTAAGCATCTCACTCATCTGATTTTTCATTTCTTTGGACTTTTTAAAACCCATAGGTTTGTGCTTCAGCTGAATCAGTCAGGGGATCTAGCCGGCTCGCCTCATGGCCTGGCTCAGCTTGGTGTAGTTGAGACCAACCCTTTCAAGCATCTCACTCATCTCTCACTCAGTCTCAAACCGGGCTCAGACTCAGAAGTCAAGAGATACTTAGCCAAGTGCCTCAAGTTGCTGCAGGTAATACCTCAGACAAATGATGTTTTAAATCTGGCACGGTATCTGTCATTTATTAAGTGGACCTCCTACTTCTATTTCATCTTCAAACCACTTTGAATGATCACTGATGTATGATATGTACCTGATTTGTCCAATGTTGAATAACTAACATCATCCCTTGCTTGCTCAGGGTACCGAAAATGTACTATGATGGGCAAGCAAATTATCAATCAACTTTTTCTTGTCTCTAAAATTAAGTGATTATCGGTCTCAAACTTCCTACATTTAAAGCAAGAGAATCGTACCTGTTTTGTCAGTCAAAGAGTAGACCTACCGTTACAATTATCATGTTCCTGGTTGTTTTCCACATATATGTTTTCACTGAATATTGCTCTATCAGTCTAGTTATGATCACAAGGGATTACAAAATCTTTTCCAAATTCTTCCTCTGTACAGAAGTAGAATGAGCAGTGTTAATATTTTTTTTTTTTTTTTTTTTTAAATCTTAACAGGAAGATCACAAGCAGCTTAAAGCTCATCTGAGTAGCAAAGAATCTTCCCTGACACATCAGCTGCAACAAACACAAGAGGTAAATAATAATAATAATAATAATAGTCAATAAAATATCTCCATGATGATGATGAAGCTGTAGACTATGGTAGTAACGGTGCTAATGATAATTGTAGTGATGCTGATGAAAATAACGGTGATAATGGTGACGATGATGATGATGGTGACGATGATGATGGTGACAATGATGATGATGATGATGATGCTGGCAAGTTGTGGTGCTGATTTTGATGATAATGATAATGAGGATGATGACGACATTGATGATAATGATTATACTGATGACAATGGCTATACTGATGACGATGATGAATCATGTAAAAAGTTACTGATCATAATGATTATCATTATGATAGTGAAATAATGAGCTAAAACTTCATCAGTCTTTGGTACTTTGAGACAAGCTGCCAATGGTATCTTGGTTGTATCTCTTCTATCTGTTTAGATTCTCCAGACCAGGAGCAGTGAGTTGGAGCGGTTGAGAGGTCAGTGGAGCAGTCAGTCTGACAGCCTGGAGGCCAAGCATCAACAGGAGCTTGCTGAGGAGAGACAGAAGGCTCTAGAGGTATGTCTCAATCTGGATCCTTCAGTAGATCCTTCATTTGGGTCTTACCTGGCTCCTCATGAATCCTTTTAGTGTGTTGATCGATTGAATTTATTTAATCACAGTAAACTCACATCAGCCCGTTTTTCAGCAATCCTGTGTTACAAACATAAAACTAATCATATATAGACATCATATTGAATATAAAAATACAGCAAAAAACAAAAAATTAAAGATAATATATATAACAAAATGAAGAAAGAAAGGATGTAATATTAAACAAAAAGAAGTGGATCTTTTATGGATTCTTATTGATTGTTCAGCTGACAGGACTCTAATATTTTTCCTGTAAGAAACGTGAGACAAGGAAAAAAAAGGTTAATCGATTGATTTTCAAATCACATTGCCCAAGTTCAACAATTTACCCCCAAATCCCACACTGCCATTTAATTTACTCCAAAATGAAACAAAATTTATGTTTATAAGCTGGGTGATGTTGGTTTTCACAATTTTATATCCTTATTTAATATTTATTCCTCCTTCCTTTGGTCTTTATTCCAGATGCAAAGGGATATTGAAAAGCAAAGTTCAGCACAGTGTCAGGATCTAGAGGAGAAGCATAGGAAACAGAGCGACAAGATGCAGTCTCGCATTGCAGAACTACAGGCAGTTAATAGGGTAATGCACTTTACTTTATATGATGTAGGCAGTAAAATAATTTCCAATATTTTCAACTGGTTTTATCTTAGGTGTAGCTGATATGATTACAATTTTTTAAAGGGATAGTTGACTTCTGTTGCAGAAGGCGCTACACAAAATATTTTTTTGTGAGATAATGAAAAACTGGGTGTCCAATTTGAAATAATAATAATAATAATAATAATTAACCGTTCTTGTATAGCGCATAACACATAGTATTAAAACATGTCCCTAAGCGCTCTAAAGAAAAACACAACAGAATACAAAGACAAGATGTACTGGGTAACAGACAAAATGGATGAATTAAATGTTAAATAAGTGCGTCTTTAAAGCAATCTTAAACTTAACAATGGAGTCAATGTTTTTTAGATGTTCAGGGAGATTGTTCCATGAAGTTGAGGCAGTGTGAGCGAAGCTGCGTTCACCATATGACCTGGTCATCACTGGTGGAATAACAAACAATTTTTTCTTATTAGAACGAAGATTTCTAGAAGGTGTGTACAATGTTAATAGCTCTATCAAATAAGGAGGCGCAAAATCATAAAAACATTCATAAGCTAACAACAATATTTTGAATAAAATGCGAGAGTGAATGGGTAGCCAGTGTAAGTCTCTTAAAATAAGAGACACAGATTCATGTTTCCTAATACGATAAATAAGACGAGCTGCTGAGTTCTGCACAACCTGCATCTTCTGCACTTGACGAGCCGAAATCCCAGAAAGGAGGCTATTACAAAAATCAAGATGACACGCCACAAAAGCATGAATCAAGCGTTCAGTAGTGTCTTTATCTATCAGATTGCGAATTTTCCCAATTTTGTGTAGTGCAAAAGATGCTGATCTGCATTTCTGTGAAACAAATTTATCGATGGTGAAATTATCATCAAATATCGCACCCAAATTACGACACTTCCTTACAGAGTTAACCTGTGTGCCGTCTAAGTCAATGAATGATATATGATCTGTAGAACGAATACGTGAAGATATGTGAAGGAATTCAGTCTTGTTGCTGTTGAGCTTAAGACCGTTGATTTGTGACCATTCTTTAATTGCTTGAACACAGTCAACCATTTGAGAAATAACATCTTGTACATCTGAATGTTTAAATGCAATATACAATTGAGTGTCATCAGTGTAGAACATTTTATGAACATTATGACTGTCAATTAGTGACTCTAGTGGAGCAGTGTAAAGTGTGAACAACAGGGGACCTAACACTGAACCTTGAGGTACCCCTTGAGAAATACAATAACTAGACGATTGTTCATTTCCTATAACAACAGTGTGATTACGATTTGTCAAATAAGACTCAATCCAGTCGAGTGCCCCACTGCGAATACCAAACTTTTGCGACAATCGTTGCAGCAAGACATCATGCTTTATGGTGTCAAACGCAGACGAGAAATCTAAGAGGACTAGTATGACTTCCTTACCGTTATCAAGTGTCAACAATACATCATTTGTTATTCGCAGTAAGGCAGTTTCAACACTATGGAATGATCTATACCCAGATTGAAATTTTGCGTGGAGTTCATGATCATTTAAGTACCGTTGCAGCTGTAAAGCTGCCATTCTTTCTAATGTCTTAGCAAAGAACTTCAAGTTTGCAATAGGGCGGTAATTATTAAGTACATCAGAATCACATTTCAAGCCTTTGAGAATTGGTACAATATTTGCAGGTTTGAATTTTTCAGGAAAACAACCACTATTAAATGACTCATTAATAACAAAAGTTATGACAGGTGTAAGTTCGTGAAGACATTTCTTTAGCAGGTGAGTTTGGATTGGGTCCAGATTACACGTCTTTGAAGTAGAGTTAGTGATAACTTGCAACACTTCTTTTTCAGTGACATGCTTAAATTTGTCAAATGAAAAAGTTGTCTGGTGTTCAGGAAGTCGATCAGTGACAGTAGGTAATGATGATGACTGCAGTTCTTCAGTTATCTTGTTGACTTTCTCAGCAAAGAATTGAAGGAACCGCTCAGTAAGAGGAACTGCACTGTCATGATTACTTGGAAGGACCTTTGCAGATCGTGGGCGGGTAGGGTTGATCCACTTTTCTGAACAGTTCACGGTTACTGCAGTCTTTCAGCTGATCTATGTGGTGCCGCTTTTTGGCAGATGATAGTTTATTTTTGTATTGATGTGAGGCACTTCTAAAAATTTGACGGTCGATTTCCAGGCCCCTTGGAGAAAAGGCCTTCCTTTCCAGTGCCCGAAGTTGTTGTTTTGCAGTACGGAGCTCGTCATTGAACCAAGGGGAGTTAGGATGACATCCAACTATACATGAGATCATCGGAGCATGCTTATCGAGAAGAGCAGAAAGGACACGCTCATATTGATGGATAAGGGTGTTCGTGTCATTTGATGGAGAGACACACAACTCAGATTGCAGAATGTCATTGCGAAAATGTTCAAGGTTAATATCACGAATTTTCCGCATGTTGATGGCGATTTTCACAGATCCAGGCTTACGTATGTGCAGGGAGCATTTAACAGCTACATGATCAGATGGAAGGTAGCTGGTGAAGCCGAAATTGCTGACGAAACTTTCAGTGTCACGAGAAAGAATGAGGTCAAGTGTGTGACCACCTTGATGTGTAGGAAAGGACACATGTTGCTTCAAGTTAAGGGATGTGATGAGGTCCATAAACTGGCAAAAATTGACAAAATCAAAATCAGTTCAGAGACGGCTGAAATATCCATAAATATAATGATTTCTAGTACTTGTATACCACCACAAATATTAGATAATTTGAAAAAGCTGTTGAAAAAAAACACATTTTGGGGTCTAAATTTACCTTCATATCAATTTTAGGTTCTGAAAGGACACTAGAAATGTCATAGATGAGAATAAGAGCAATAACCATGCACTTCGAAGGCATTCGTGGTCTGAAAACAGAACTCAACTATCCCTTTAATGAGCATTCACTAAGTATTTCAAAAGAAATGATAGAGTATGACAAGGTGCAGTCTTGCAGAGCAGAATTACAGGCAATATTACAGGGAAGAGTTACCCCAGAATTCCAGCTTGATGTGAAGTTGTTTTTGATAAAAGGAGAAGAAAAAAAAAGAAAGGGGGAGAGAAAGATCATTGAATGGAGGGGGGGGGGGCAGACATGCAGATACCATAGATTCCCTAAGATATAATTTTGAAAGATTCAGGATCTCTGATGATATTGTAATTACGTTTGATTATCTTTTTTTTTCAGGAGATGCATGAAAGAAGGCAGGCCCAAGAGTCGACCATCAAAGAACTCAGAAGCAAGCTGCACATGTTAGAAGAGGTAGGCAAAGGCATTATATACTGTTCATGTAGGTGTAGTGCAGTAGACAAATAAAACATTTTCCATCTCACTAATTGAAAGTGTTAGAAAAATCTGCCTTATGTGTTCCCTCAATGATCCTCTTAATGGGGAAAACATAATTCTATTCCAATTTAGATAACATTTCCATATTTTATGGCCTTCATTCACAGTGTTGATGAAGTCACCAATCACATATGAACAATTTATTTGACTTAGCTGGGTTAAAATACAATCTCTCACTTCATAGCGAAGATGGGTATAGATGGTCCAAGTATGATTTGACACGCTAGGGAATGGAGGAAAGTTGCACACACTGAATAGTAAAGTACTAGTTCAGGTGATGCGCATTGACCAACAAATGCCTGGGTTCCTTCTGTGTTGTATAAACCATAATAATGCATCATGAGGAAATTTAATACGTGCTCTTTCATCATTCCTCAATCTTTTTTCTCAATCTTATTTTTTACCTTGTAAAGCGTATAGAGAAACTTCCGTTTATTATGCGCTTAATAAAGCAATCTTTATTATTATTATAATCTCCCACTCAGGACTACCAGCGAGCTCAGCGGGAGCTCCAGTCCACGAGACGTCACACTGACCGTCTAGAGACCGAGCACACTGACCGGGGACAGACCGTTGGTCAGCTCAGCACACGGCTAGCCGTCCTGGAACAAGAAGTTGGAGACAAGCAGGCTCTCGCTGACAAGTCTGCTCAACTACTAGAGGCTGCCAATGAAAGCAAGGTAATGTGAAATTTAACCAAAATTATTGGATCTATCACCTTAATGGTTAGGAAGAAAATCAGACAGATCTTCCGCTGTTTAACATACATATTGACTATTTGTTGGCACATGGATTAAAGTATTGAAGTTTAGAACATTTATTCCATGTAGCAAAATCGGCATTTCCAAGGTCAATGGATTGCCTAGGTGGCATTCAAAGACGACCATGTGAAATCAGGCTTGACTGACCACTGCCCACCCTTAAAGCCACCAATGGACTTCATAGTATTTAATCATGTACAGTTTTCATCTGAAGCGCTTCAACATGGCCCAAGAAGAAGTCCAGGGACATACAATTGGCAAGGTTGCTGAGGGGCTGTATGAAGTTTTGGGCACCTGTATTCGTTTTGCTACATATTACATCCACAGGTAACATCTTTTGCACAAGGATATTTTTGACATCAATTGTTATAATTAGTGATTAAAGAGTTTGTTACGTGCATCACAAGGAAACAGTAAGACTTGGCATAGTCTTTTGTTGCATCCTATCGAGTATAAACCAATACCAAGAGTTAAACTACATCATGTTTTTTTTTTCTTCCCAGGCTCAACTAGAAGAGAATGTTCACCAGAAGCAAGCACTCCTTGTCAAACTAGAAAGCACTGTCAAATCAACGTCTAAAGAGGTTCTAAAGGTATTTATTCAATTTACTGCAATTTAGTTTGTATTTCTTACGGCAAGAAACAAGCTTGAAATGATGATATGCATTTGCAAAACATACCTTTAGCTGTATTACTGGATATAATTGTCATACTTGTATATGTATATTGCTGGTTTATAGGATATAATCCTATTTAAGCAGTTTAGCAGATGAGAGAACATTGACTGAAATCCTTTTTTTTTTTTCTTTGGGGGGGGGGGGGGGTATTTTGACAATCACTGATGTTTTCTACAGTGTATTCTATATACTTTAGATCCATTTGATTTCTTCTTTGATTTATTGTTGTTACATGGGTATAAATGTCTGTATATTTGTAATACGATGTATGTCCATGTTGGATGTAAAAATATTATTGGATCAATAAAAACTTATCAAATATTTAAAATAAATATTGCTGGTTAATTTTGTTGTGGTTTTCTTTCTTTTCAAGTCAGTTGTAACTTGTGCATTTTAACAACATACCAGGAGATTTGAATATTACTGATATTTCTTTGAAATCGTCAGCAGTTTTTTGTTGTTACTTTGCAGTGTTATAAATGGTTGATTACCCCCTTTTTCTTTGTAAAACCACAGGGAAATGAGATCATACGGAAACTGCAAGGAGAATTGAAAGCAGCAGTAGCAAAGGTAGGATGTTTCATTGATCACGTTTTGATAAAAAATTGCATTTTTTGTTTTCTCTCAAGAGAAAGTTGAGAAATATTGGTGATTACACAGGGACAAATATTTTTTTCAAGTCACTATACGTACATGTTACAAAAATTATGTTTGTCATTATTTTGAGGGATCCACATTATACATGCTCTGCTTTTCAGTGGATCCCTCCATTTCCACAGGTTTATCTTAACAAAACATATTAAAAAAACAATTTCATAACTTTAAACCATGTAAAAATGTATATTATTGAATGTTGAGTTGTTTAGGTATCTGATTTCTTGTCAAAATTACTGTTCTGTTGGAACTGAAAAATAATACTGAAATTGAAACTAAAACATTGTTTTGACAGAAATGTTCCAATTATCGTATCATAGTATTATCATGTCATAGTACCAAATTATCGTGTCAAAGTACCAAATTATTGTCAAAGTACAGAATTTTCAAAAAGTTGACATTTATCTCCATTTTTGTAAACCTTTGATATTTGCAGATGAAGCTGAAGAACACAGTTACAAGCAAGCAAGAGAAGCTGATTGAAGAGAAGAGTCACACACTGCACTCCATGCAGGAAGACAGAGATAACCTGAAGAGGAAATGTGACTCTGTGGATGCTGAGGTAACAATTATCAAGGAATTGGGTCCTCTTCTGAGAGTCAGAGAGGCATTAACTCTTTGTACAGTGCTAGCAATAATTGACTACCTTCTTGCACTCAACAGATATCATGGAAAACAGAAAAGGAGAAATTGGGTTCGCGTTTGTATTCTTCTTTAAGGTTTTCATAATTAGTGATTGTTTGAAAAGAATGTATAAATTGTTCATACAAAGTAACAATTAATTCTTACTCATGTCAGATGTACATTCAATATATGGCCCTTTTTTGCACTATGAAGGTGATTGATATAAAGATTCTTCAAATAAGACACCTTTAAAAATAAATAATTGCCCCCCTTTTAAAACCATGACTGTTAACATGATTTACACAATACTACATCTACCTACGCAAGTATTTAATTTTATTTCATTTAGTCTGTTATTAAGGAAGTGTGAAGTCATTTTGGGCATTTTATCTTTATAATTACAGAATGAAAGATTGAAAGAAACTCTAGAGAGGACCACTACCAAGCTGGAGGAGAGCAAACAGTTGTTGAAGACAAATGAAAATGGTATGAAGAATGCTGCTACGTGTATGTGCTATTCAGATTTAAAGTGGAAGTCCACACTGATATTTAGTTGGTTTTAATAGTTAAGCATACAAATGAGAGAAGCAGGTCTGTAAATTTTTTAGCAAATTTAGATTTAGAAAAAAGTTATTAATTTTGGAAGTTACGATCAATCAAATTGGCAACACTGCGAGGTATCTTGTGAGCTCCTTTCCAATTCGCTCTGTACAAAACATTTCATAAACTTTCGTTTTTTTCTGTAATTGATAACAGGATAGATTTTTTGACATACAGGGGTTGAATAGAAACTTATTTGCAATAATGACATTTAGGATGCATGTTTAATTAAGATTTAGGGGAGCTCCTAAAATACATCACAGAGTTGCCAATTTTTGGCCACCTCTACATTTTGCCTTTCCCAGTTACAGGTAGATGACAGTGCACACTGTCCACTCTACTTTTCACTTAAAGGTAAGCCATTTGACCTCTTTCTTAAATATGTTCGATGGGAGTCTATTCATTAAAATACTTTCATCTTGTGTGTTTCAGTAATCAACTGGTTGAACAAGCAGGTGAATGAGGTCCACCTGTCCCAGCGCCATGGCACGTTTGAGCCCCCATCTCGACCCCAACCAGTCGCCTCTTATAAACCAGCAGGGGTAAGTTCTAAACAGGAAAATCTCTTAATTTTAACAAGGAAGTTCGCTTGTTTATACTTGACATGGTACAGTGTGATTGTTGTAGAAGTGTAAGAATCAGAAATATTTTGAGGAAAGTAATTTTCCAGCAATTTTCAATTTGTGTACCGTATTTGCCGGCGATAAGGCCGCAGTGTTTTTGGAAGAAAAAATATCAAAAAGTCGGGGTGCGGCCTTTACGCTACAACAACAAAATTTTGAATTTCAGTATGTTGACTACCAGAACTAAAACCTTTTATCACCTATGGGTTAAAACTAATACCTCTGGCTCTGGTCATTGATATATACAATCCAAATAATTAGCCTTTTGGTGTTATCATCCATTTAATCTGGGATTTAGAAATTATAGCCTTTGTTGTGGTTCCTTAGTATTTTTCATAGAAATAGTTCTTCATTGCATTGGAAAAATTCATATCATTATCATTCCGTTATATTTGAAGGATGTGTTTTGAATATCTGGCGTTATATATACATGAAATTAAGTGAGAGCCACAAAACTCCTTGCTTGCAATGCAACCAAATATCAATTTTTTTGTTTTTTTAGGTAGTCTATCAGCCAACAGGAGCAAACATAGGAGTGCCCCCTACCACCAGCGGCACCGGTGCTCCACCCCGCCACGCCTTCACCTCCACCCCTTCTACCAACCCCAGTGTACCTCTCAACACACCCCACTCTGGTCTAAGTGCTATCCAACATGCCTCTCATGCTAGGTAAGAAATGGCTTTTACTACATAATAATTATTATTATTATTATTATATTGGACATTTATTTTTGGGGGGCAATCTTTCCATAATGCAAGGTGCTCAAGGTTGCTCAAGCACTACCCCGACTCTAGCTAGGCTACCCAATTTAGGTGATCACAGCATTGAGGGAATAATAATGGTAAGATTGAATTATTAAGTGCATAATAAATGAAAGTTTCTCTATGCGCTTTACATAGTAAAAAAATAAGCATGTACAAGTATATTTAATTCTAAATTCCTTCCTACCAGTGCTCATTTAACACCTGAATAGAGAGGGGGGAAATATAGCTACAATGTACTGTATTCCCAAAACACACTAGTGCCAAGTCTGGGCTTGAACCCACAACCTTTCAAACTCCATTAAAGTGTTAACCACTTGACTAAGACACTGATGAGCATGTACACTGTACAGATTATGTTGAATGAGTGAATGACAAATCCAGGACTTGTCGCATGAACAGTTTGCAAGTTTCCCAATCAATTGCAAGATGCAGAAGCCTCAGAATTTTTCTTTGAATTGGGAAAAGTTCCATTTGGATTAATTTTAAATCATCAATGGACATGGGCCCCAATGTATTGGCGAGCCTAGGGTCCTTAATGCTGTTTTGTTGATATTATGTAATAAGTCGGAAATGCAGTCCAAGTACTAATCCGGTGGTTTATTCATTGCAGTTTAGAAATATTTTGTGCAGAGTAAGACCTACCAACATTAAAGTCTTTCACATTTGGTTTCATTTACAGCCCTGCACTGGATCCCAAATACCTGCAGAGACAGGAACAAGCTGGCCCGATGAGAATGGCACCTCCACCGAGCTACCCCTTTCATTCTACGGTCCAACACAGGCCCCTCTCCCAGACACACCCCCCTGCCGTCAGAGGGCGTGTCCCTTCCATCCCAGGAGGATCCAAGGGAGGAGGAGGAGGAGGGATGGTGCAGGGCAAGCCCGGGGAGCAGGCCGGGGCTGGGGCTGGGGCTGGGGCTGGGGGTGGCCAGGGACAACCCCCTCTGATGAGCGCCTACTTCCCACGCTCCATGCAAACTGCATCATAGCTGGTGGTAGAGTGATTGTAGTGATCGTTATAAAGTTCTAAATAACTTCCCAGTCTGCCTCTCCTTAAAAATACATGTACCCGATCTAACACAAGAGCTTGGCCTATTAAAAAGAAGTGAGCCATAATCTTCTGTAGAATATGGCTTGCATATAAATACAAAACATTATTGTATAATAAATGTCCAATTTTGTCTTGCTAGTTTGAAGTCTAATACGAATGTGAACACCATTTTTCAAAGGGTCTCAGAGAATCTTCTTACACTCTAGGAGGCAGTGTGAGGGAGGGTTTATATATATGCCTTTAAAATACTATTTTCATTGAGAGCATAATGTAAAGTATATACAAAACACAATAGTGAAAGAAAATTAATGTTGTACAAAAGATTTATTTATATACATTAAATACATGTACATGGCAAACTCAAATTCTGTACATTTTATCACTGAGAAATCAATAACAGGTGTTTTTTTACGACATAGATTCATTTATTTGAAGCATTTTAATTTGTTTACTTATTGTATCACTATTTTGAGGGAGGCTTTCTTTGAGTTTATAGATGGACTCGATGCAAGAAAAAAAAATGGTGGAAAGAGAATATTGTATCCTCTTTCCTTTGAAATGTTATGTTTCATTGTATGTTCAAATGACCTACATTTCATGATTTAAATCATTTGTAAATATCCATATCATTTCTTTTTTAATCACACACCTGAAATACAGGCTAGTCTGTTCTTAAATTATTTTCAATGAATTACATAATTAAAGTATACGATCATGAAAGACAAATTCATTTTGAGAATTTTATACGTGTAAATTGTTTATTTGTAAATAAGATGTAAATATTACACCTTTTTATCATAACCTGTCTATTATTTAGGTATTATTGTCAAATTGTACAGATGTTTGAAATAAAGTTTGAATGCGTCACTCAAAATATGAACAAATACTTCTTTGTTTTATCTGTTTAACAGATTGTGCACAATCACGAACACATACATTACGGTACTTGAGGTTTTAAAAGTAGATAAAAAAAATACAACAAAGTTAATAAAAAAAAAACTGTCATCAAAGGGAGGGAAAGAGATAGTGGTAAAAGAAATGAAAATGGGAATATACAGAGAAGAGTTTAATAGAAGGGGAAAATATGAGAAAAAGAGAGAGGAAGAGTTAGATAAAATGAAAATGAAATGAAAGGGAGAGTGTGAGTGTAAAGGCTCGTTCAGTAGCCAGTAAACCATCGCAAAAATAGCCACCAGTTTTTTTTTTAAATGTGTAAATGAAAGGACTTGTGTGTATTCACTAAAGCACTGTGTTATAAAGTACAGAAATGTGAAGCGGCGTAAATTACAACGCTTCATGTTTGAATGAACCTTAGGAGAGAGGAAGACGGTGTGGGAGATGGAGATGTTGCCAAAGAGTAAAGGAAGTGTGAGGAAAACAAATTAAAAGAAAATTCACAAGAGAAGAGGAGGAGATAAGTACAATAATACGTAAAGTACAATTATTTTTGTTCCAAAGTCATGCTGCTGTCATGATAAAACTCCCTTTTTTATTTAGAAGAGAGGTACTAATTTGGATCAATGGCAACTCCATAGGATATGCCCCTGATCTTTATCATCTAGATAATGACCCAAAAATTCCTTCGGTGCCAGTTGTCCTTTCCTACACGTTCCGGATTCCCGTTTGTTATGTCCTGTTTATAAATTGCCGTTTGGTCCAATTCCATGTGACCCAAACACCGTCTAACAGCAACTTGTCTGAACCAAGTTTTGATACCTAATGGCAATACACATTTCTGTTTGGAACCAAGTTTTGATACCAAATGGCAATACACATTTCTGTTTGCTTAATCACACAATACGATAATTATCCAAATGTCGTTGCATCATCTGACAGATGCATATCATGATATGTCATCCAGCGGCTTGTTGATATTAAGATGAACTTTGCTCAATCACTCAATATGAGAATTATCCGAACATGACGGTGTCACTTGACAGACACGCTGACGATGCGTATGTCATCCAGCGGCTTGTCGGAACATGACGGTATCACTTGACAGACACGCTGACGATGCGTATGTCATCCAGCGGCTTGTCCGTCTTGTGAACCTTGGCCTCACTGATCTTCTGGATGCACTCCATGCCCTTGATGACACGCCCAAACACGGTGTGCTTCTGGTCCAACCAGGGCTAGAATGAAAGCAAGAAGGGGGAATAAAAGCGTATAAAGAAGTATTGTGAATGCAGTTTGCAAATCTGGGGGGTGTTTCACAAAGATCCTAAGTTGGACTTTTTATGGGAAGCCATTAGAATATTTGAAAATATTTTGTAAAAGTTATTTTGAAAAGCGTAAAATATTGATTCAAATCATTCATATTTGTTAACATCAAGGAGATTTCATGTTCTTGATGTGGAATTTATGAAAAGTCTAAAATATTTGAAATTTTGCTTTTGAATTTAATTAATTTATTAGAGTTAAGTTCGACTTAGGATCTTTGTGAAACATCCCCTAGGCCCTACAGAAGCTTGCTGCATTAACACATTGCAGAATATAATGGCGCAATACTTGTATTACTGGAGAGAAATTCATACAAACTCAAACTGAGAGAGAAATCATTGAAGTACTGTATATCTGTTAGCTCATTTTTCCCCAATGCCTAAACATTTGAATGCTGCTGCATTCATCAAATTAAGACTTTGACACCTTTAAAGGTAATACAAATTTTTGGGAAATTTTGAAAATGGCCGGATAGCGATTCTTTAAAATGTTGATATATTTGGATGCCCCCGAGGATACATTATAAGCACTAGAAAAATTAGCCCCTAAAACACTTCTGCTTTCGAGAAAAATTGAATATAAAAATTTACCAGTGCTCCCGGCAAATTTTGATAAATTTAAAATAGCTTATACGGCCATTCAATGGTAGCTGGGACCATTAAAATCTCAGAATATGCAGTTGTGATATATATAATCTCCAAACAGGAATAGAAAATCGGTCCATTTTAGTCAAGAAACATTGTTTAAAACCTAAATTAATATCTTGACCTTGAGAGGGAGCTATACAACATAAAGACTTTATTATTTACAATTTCGTCACTTTAGACTCGATTTCAACAGCAACAACGGTCACTGAATATTGTAGGATCGCATATGCTTCCAATACGTTCATTTCAACCAAATTCATGACCCCATACCATAACTTTGTATTACCTTTAACATTTACGGCGGAGCCAACTCTATAGGCTATATTGAAGAGATGTACAGTAGCACAGGAGCATAAAAAACAGCATTTTCCCCCCATTGATCTTGTAAATTTGCAATCGCAAATATGCAAACTAAATGGTATTAAAGCACTGCTTTAACATGGGAGCATTTACTCTTCTTGTAATTTGTTGTAATGCACACAATCTTTAGGCAATGTTGTTTGGTGTAATAACTACAACAGTGAAGGGAAAACACAGAAATAATATTACTTACACATGGGACTACAGTGATGAAAAACTGAGAACCGTTGGTGTTGGGTCCTGCATTTGCCATGCTGAGCGTGTAGGGACGATCGTGTCTCAATTTGGGATGAAACTCATCTTCGAATTCCCCTCCCCAAATGGATTCTCCTCCAGTTCCATCACCTGAATGCATACAATAGTATAAATCATCAACATTACAAATAATAATAACTCAAATATCATAGACTACTGCACTACACGGACACCTCAAATGTATAAAATACTACTAACAGTGCTACAAACAAAATTGTTTAAATGCTGTAATAATATTACCCAAATTTATGTAAAAAGAAAGTTTGAAGAATGTGAATTTAAACAAAAATCAAACAGAAGATTCTCGTCAAACCATACCTCAATTACTTCCTAAGATCGAAATTAGATTTGATTGCACCTGTGAACATGTGGGTATTGCAGGGCATATAATTTCTTCATTAGATGCAAGCTTTACCATGTTGGTATCTGTTTCGCGAAGTATTACACTTTTCATAGTCCAAACATATTGATCAATACTCACATACCTGCCAACATTTGAAAATAAGAATTAGGAATTTTTAGCATGGTATGCCTTGGAAAATAAGAAATCGCACTTGCAGCGGCACTGTATTACTGGTAATACACGGTAAATCTGTACCAAAAAGCGAATACAAATTCACTGCTCGATCATGCAGCAATTCAACGTACACAATACGTGAACTCTCAAATTGCGGCACATGATAAAACAAGCTTAATTTGACTTTAGCAACAAAAACAAAAAAACAAACAAAAAAAATTAAAATTTTGGAAAATCAGAATATTCCGGATTTTCAGGTCCTAGAAATCCAGAAAAACAGAACGTTCCAGATTATTCTTAAGAGTGGCAGGTATGCACTCATATTAATGGGGGTGGGGTTTGCTGCTGAAAGTATGGGAGGCGTTCATATGCAAAATAATCAAAATAATAGATTTGTGGGGCATTGATATTTGGGCACCACTCTAACCCCCACCCCCTTTAAAAAAAAAATATGTGGGGATACAGTGTACATGATGTAACCCCCCCCCCCGCCACTTCCTTTGCCCCCTGGTGGGTGGGATTACAAGCCCATGATGGTCTTTCCTCTCAGTCTCACCTTGAGGATCTCCGGTCTGGATCATGAACTGCTTGATGACTCTGTGGAAGATGTGACCGTTGTAGTAGCCGTTCCGACTGTGCACGCAGAAGTTCTCTATCGTCTTTGGACATCTGGGATACAAAGTTATATTTTGAGATGAAATTTGTAAGTTGCTTCTGGTATTTGTTCCTCAAATCTAGGTACTCATGAATTTGGAAATATTTGATGAATTGTAATATTCAAGAAAAGAGTGATGTCTATCTAGAAAGCTGAGACAGGGCTCTCTTTAGTTGAAAACAAGTTCTCAACAAAAACTACAAGAAACTAAGTTGGCTAGGAGACCCCCCCCCTTATCTCTCTAAAAAATTGAAAGAATAAATGATAACACTTGGATTAGTGAACTTTTAATCCAAGATAGATTAATGCACTGTTAATCCAAGATACATGTATACTTTTATTTCTTTTCCCTCATGGATAAATAATGGAAAGTTATTGTTTTAATGACAACCAACGAGAACAACAAAAAAATAGGTTATTTATACAAGCTTGAAAAAGAAAAATGCAAGAGGTATACACTGTACCCAAAAAGCAGAAACAGAGAAGCATAAATACATGCACTGGCATTATACAGATCCAGAAATGGGCACTGGCACCCGGAAATAACGTATTGGAGGCTAAGCGTGAGAATATTTGGCTTAAATAAAAGGAAATATACGTTAATTTAAAATGTTCCCTCCAAAACATGTAAACAAGATGTACAAATTCAAGTACAACACTCACTCTTCTGTGAAGAGTTTCACATGGACATCCCCCATAGTAGTATGAAGGATAGCTGTACTGGATAACCTAGGTGCAGCTCCTCCCTGTATTAGGTGCGTGTGGGGAATGAATAAAAGGGGAAAAGAAAATGTTGGTACCATTGTGGATATGGAAGGCAAACATAGATTACAGATTTGAATGATGCATACATGTACAGTAGTTACCAAAGTGTCGAAATATCATGATTTATGAAAAGTAACGACTGACATACTAATAGCAAAGACTCAATCATCAGTTCAGAGCAAAAAGGGCATTACATTATCTTTATGTTATTATATGGGATAATGCTCTTCTAAGCTTTTAGAGCAGAGATAATTTTCGTAAAATTTTGTCACATCACAATAACAAGAAATGGAATTTCCTTCCTAATAGTTGCGTTATATTCTACATAATATACTCTTTTCTTGTCAGTGTCAGAAAGGGCTTGCACTGATCGTAGCGAAGAAGTTTCAGATTTCACAATATGATAAATCAATACACTTACTCTAAATTTGCAAACATTGACAGTGGGAAAGCATAC